AAGACTCTTCAAAGAAGAAGAGACATGAAAAAAAGAATGTCCTGTTTTGGAATGTCACATTTGAGGTTCAAGCGGAGGCAAGAAAATGGGGAAGCACCTTTGGAAAATCATTTGTTAGTTTCTCAAAATCTTAAACAGAGGGACCATGTAACCCAGCAGTTATTTCAGTTGTGTGTGTGTATGTGTGTGTGCGCGTGCATCTCCAAGAGATATGAAAATATATCTACCCAGAACTTAGTATATTAATATTTGTAGCAGCTTAGCCAAGTGTGGTGGAGCACACCTATCATCCCAGGAGTTTGGGAGGCTGAGGCAGAAGGATTCCAAGTTCGAGGCCCTAAGCAACTCAGTGAGACCCTGTCTCTAAATAAAATATAAAAGGGCTGGGGATGGGGCTCAGTGGTTAAGAGCCCCTGAGTTCAATCCCCAGTACCCCCCCAAACATATTCATAGCAGCTTTATTCAGTTGGCCAGTTGGATTATTGAGTATCCTGCATATTCATCAACTGACTAATGGACCCACATAACATGATATATTCTATTCAGGAGACTATTTGGCAATAAAAAGCAATGAAACAGGAGTACATGCTAGAGCATGGATGAACCATGAAAACATTATCCCAGGAGAAAGAAGCTACATAAAAGCCATATGTTGTAAGGCTCTGTTTAGATGACCTGTCCAGATAGGTCCATCCTAGGAGACGTAGGTTGTCCATTGCCAGGGCTGGGGAAGGAGCAGAATGGGGACCAGGACTGCTGATAGGTCTGGCATTTCTTTCTGGAGCAATGAAAATATTCTAAAATTAAATAATAGCAGTGATCAACTAGGAATGTACTAAAAACATTGAATTAGGATATACTTTGAGAAGGTGAATTTAATGCACTCTGAATTTTATTTTAATGAAACCGTTACTGAAAAGTAATCATGACAGTAAAGCTATGTAGAGAGGGAAACAAAGATGAGCAAGGATACCTAGACCATTCGTGCTGTGATTTCCACAAGGGTGAAATTTTATTATTTAGTCGGGTCTTATAAAACGATTAGCAAAGTGACCTTGTAAATTCCTGAAACACTAGCCCGATTCCATTATGCTAAAAGGTCACTAACGAAAAAGGTAGATGACTTTCTTTTTATCCTAACAGTCTGTGGTCCCGTGGTGGAAATTATACTCTGTTATTATGATTCTATTCAGGGGAAAGGACTTTGAGTAGGTATCTAAGATATAGTAGCTATTTTTATGCCATTTCTAATGCTCAATTTAAAATTACTTGCAAAAATAGTTACTGTGCTAGAAATTAGTTGGGCTAATTTGGACAATAAATATGATTCTAATCCATTAGATAAAAGACTGGGGAGTATTATGTATTGGAAGATGTTGCTTCTGCCAGGCGAAGTGGCGCACACCTGTAATCCCAGTGGCGCACACCTGTAATCCCAGTGGCTCAGGAGCTGAGACAGGAGGATCACAGGTTCAAAGCCAGCCTCAGCAACCTAGTGAGGTGCTAAGCGACTCAGTGAGACCCTGTCTCTAAATAAAGTCTAAAAAAGGGCTGGGGATGTGACTCAGTGGCTAAGTGCCCTTAGGTTCAATTCCTGGGACCCTCCCACCCCCCAAAAAGAATGAATTCTATGCAACATTTTCCCAAGTGTGTTTCCCCATGATAAGTGTACCTTTTCTGAATCAATCTAATCTGTCAAGTCAGACTATGCTGTGGTTTGGACTTGCATCAGAGATTCACATGTTGGGACTTGGTCCCCAATGTGGCAGTTCGAGAGGCAACGGAGCCTTTAAATAGTAGGGGCTAGGAAGAAGAGGTTAGGTGGTTGGTTGCTCTGCTCTCAGAACAGAGTGAGGTAGTTCTCATGAAAACTCAGGTGGTTTTCACAAGAATAAGTTGTCAAAAAAGAGTGGGCTTGATCGCTTTCTGCTCTCTGGCTTCCTGTCTTACCCTGTGACACCTCTCTCCTGTGCTTCTGCCATGATGCCATCCGCCACGTGGCCCTCTTTGAAGGCCAAACAAATGGAGTGTCCAGTGTCAGACTTTTAGCCCCACAAACTGTGAGCTAGCAAACTTCATTTTTTTAGACATTATGTAGCCTCAACCATTTTATTATAGCAACAGAGAGCAGACTAATCCAAAATATTTACCTAGGATATTAAGGATTATTACTTTCACAAACTTGGTGGTATATTGTCTTTAAAAAAAAAAAAAAAAAACAGCTTAACCAGGCATGGTGGTGCACACCTATAATCCCAGTGTTTTGGGAAGCTGAAGCAGGAGGATTACAAGTTCAAAGTCAGCCTCAGCAACTTAGCGAGGTCTTAAGTAACTTAGCGAGACCCTGTCTCTAAATAAAATATAAAAAGGGCTGGGGATATGGCTCTTGGTTATGGGCCCCTGGGTTCAACCTCTGATACCAAAAATAAAACAAACAAACAAGCAAGGGTCAGTTTAGTAGGAAGGTACAGTAGTTATAAACATGTATGCAGAAAATTTGAACAGGCTGTACACCAGGTATGTCTAGCAGACAGCTATAATATATCCAATCCAACGACAGCAAAATGTATATTCTTCTGAAGTCTACACGGAGCAACCTCTGGAACAGATGACATGCTAGGTCCTAAGACAAATATATGGTGATAAATGAAAATGAAGACACAAAATGCGTATGCTTGTGGGATGCTGATAAAGTGGTGTTTAGAGGAAAATTTATAGGTGTGAATACCTGTATTAAGAAAGAAGATGCCAGGCCTGGTGACCCCCCCCCCCCCGTAATCCCAATGGCTTGGGGCACGGGGGCAAAAGGAGGCTGATACAGGAGGATCATGAGTTCAGAATCAGCCTCAGCAATTTATCAAGGCCCTGAGCAACTGAGGGAGATCCTGTTGTCTCTAAATAAAATATAAAAAGGGCTGGGATGTGGCTCAATAGTTAAGCGCCCCTGGGTTCAATCCCTGGTACAAAAAGAAAAAAAAAAAAAAAAAACCTAGTTAGTGTCTATTCTATATTCATTTGATGATTTCAAATTTGAATGACAACTGATTGGCCCCATGACACTGGTATACATATGTGAAATATCCTTAAAAGAGACTGAAAGTAAAACCAATGTCACATCCAGCTTCAGGCCAGTCATTTTGTCCATACTTGGGATCCGCATCATCCATTTGACAGGTTGGACAGATCTCACTATTCACATTATCACCCAAATGCTCAAGTGTTTATGTTTGATTTAGCAACGTGTATGTGCTAGACTCAAATGATCGGTTTAGCAATTGGTTATCTTGGTGAAATATTTGGCCTCTTCAAATAGTCAACCACTTACTTTTTTGTCTGTATATTTTGGTATTGGGGTGACAAATTCTGCTCCTTAGGTCTTAGCCACCTAAGTGTGTTTCTTCCTTGTACAATTCTGTTGCTTAATCTAGACTCCAAGCTAGTGCCATTAAAGCTCTCAAGCACATTGATGAACTGATGTGCAAGAGAACTGATGAAATTTTGTTTTTACTCAAAGTGGGTCCAGACAGGCACTTCTGTGCCTACACTCTGTGGACTGTGTGTGGTGGGTGGTGTGAAAATTGGATAGGTCTTCTCAAAAACTCAGTATGAATACAAGTCACTGGGGGATCCTGCAAGGTGGAGACTCAGGTCTGGGGTAGAACAGAAAAATCCCATTTCCATCCACTTCCAGGTCCTGCCTGAGCTCCTGGTGCACAGACCATGCTCTGAACAGCAGGACTGTGGGAACCCAAGAGGCCCAGGCAGGAGCCGGCAGTGAGCAGAGCTGGTCTAACGTTGTAGACCCCTGCACGCACTCAGACTTTAGTCTCCTTCCTTAACTCAGCCCTGAACCCACTAATTAAAACTTCAGGGGCATTGAATTCCACCAACTGTGTTCTTCTATTTCCAGTTTTATAGTGCTCTAAAAAGGTAATAGAATACAGCAGTAGGTATTTTCTATAGTTCCTCGGCGCTGCCTCCTGGCCTGCCCACCTGTCAGATTTCTATCTAACATGTCATTGAGTATCAAAAGTGATCTACCTATGAAACATCTCCATTTCCCTTCTTTAGAGCCCTGGAGCTGTGTTCTTGGCCCTAACTATATCTATGGCAATGATATAGTTAGGGCCAAGAACTATGAGGCAATGAGGGAGAACCTCTCAAATCCCAGCAAGGCTTCTGGTACCCAGTGGAAGGAATCTTGCACATTGTTTGCCTAAACTCAAGCCTGGTTTTCTAGTATCTTTTTTTTTTAATATTTATTTTTAGTTGTAGTTGGACACAATACCTTTATTTCACTTATTTATGTTTATGTGGTGCTGAGGATCAAACCCAAAGTCTCACATGTGCAAGGCAAGCGTTCTACCACTGAGCCACAACCGCAGCCCCTGGTTTTCTATATCTTAAGTGTACATTTATTGTAGCTTCCCAGGGAAACTAATCTCAGACCCTCAGTCATTTAAATGAGATTGCAAACTGAGTTGTACCTATAGAGGCTGCTCTCTGTAAGACAATACGACATAGGGCCAATCAAGTTTTATATCAAATCTGAGTCCAGAGGCAGCATTTTAAGTCATTTCAAATTTAATTTTTTTTTTTTTTTTGTACCAGGGATTGAACTCAGGGGCACTCGACCACTGAGCCACATCCCCAGCCCTATTTTGTATTTTATTCAGAGACAGGGTCTCACTGAGTTGCTTAGGGCCTCACTAAGTTGCTAAGGCTGGGTTTGAACTCACGATCCTCCCGCCTCAGCCTCCCAAGCCACTAGGATTACAGGCATGCACCTCCATGCCCGGATTTGTATTAAAAAAAAAAATCTTATCTAAGTATTATCATTTCAAAAATTACTAGTGAGATTTTATTGATTTTGTTTTTTACACCAACTTGTTTAATGCTCATGGCCCATCTCCATTTGGGCTGGCCACATTTCAAATTAAATTCTCCATATGGAATGGATGTGGCTTGTCGTGTAATGTACTCTATTCGATTTGTTACAGATCACAGAAGCAGTCACAGTAAAGACAGGAGGAAAACCAGGACAAGAAAACGGAAAGCGAGGAGCACAAGCCTGGCTGATGATTTGGCAGTGTTGAACGGTGGCTTGGCCACCAAGGCGATTTCTGCCTATGGGAACAAGACAGACAGCATGAGGGAAAGGAGGACGCACAGAAGAAACAAACGTTTCTTATCCTACCCACGGTTTGTAGAGGTGATGGTGGTCGCCGACCACAGGATGGTATCATACCACGGAGCAGACCTGCAACACTATGTTCTAACGTTAATGTCAATTGTAAGTATGCTCAGAAGAAGGTCATTCAAGAGCTCTTGAAATGCACCCTGGGGGAATGGGTTCCCCCCAGGGCTTTGGAGGGTTACTCAGGGCTGGCATTTCAACCTTTCAGGCAAGTGCCCGAAGGGAACCTGAGATGGCTCATTGGTTGCCTTTGTATGGTGATGACAAGGGTTATTAATGTGGAGTGTTTATTCTGTGTTAGAGACTTTGCTTCTTAGTTTAGAGGCCTAATTGCTGACTCTGCTGGTATCTCGCTAGTTGGAATTACGTACTCATTTCACAGATAAGCACGCTGAGTCTCAGAGGAGTTAGGTCACTTGACCACGGTCAGGTAAATCTAGCAAGTGGCTTAGATGTTGCAAGTGGCTTTATCTTGTCTACTTCCCTAAACCCACGATCTGATTTCTGAATTTTGCTCAGCCAGGTGTGTTTCTTCAGTCCTTCTGGGTGCTGCTGGCTGTGAATCAGAGTCACCCATGAGCTTTTGTTACATTCAGTAGTCTAATTAAGTAGCCCTGGGGCGAAGCCTGGGAATCTATTTTTCTTCTCCCATTGAAATTGGATTGAATTAAAAACACTAAATTTTCATGATTAAAAAAAATCATTCCCTATATATATCATTTCATCAAAAGGAACCCAAATACTATGTATAATCATAATGCTCTTATAAAAAATGTAGAAAGAAAAAAAAACAAATGAAACCCCAAACTATTGTTAGAAAATAAGTTTTCCATGCAAGTTCCCTGACCATTGCCCAATAAAAGCCACATATTTAATTTCACATGTTTTAAGAGGCATTATTTTTAGAAGAGAAAGAAGTGAGACTAATATTAATAGTATAATTTGTCTTATCTAAATATTATCATTTCAAAAATTACTAGTGAGATTTTATTGATTTTGTTTTTTACACCAACTTGTTTTATGCTCACAGCCCATCTCCATTTGGGCTGGCCACCTTTAAAGTGCTCTGTAGCCACATAGGGTGTTTGGCCACCACATTGGGCAGGCTAACGCTGGATATGTACCTAAGCTAATGACTTATGCAAATATGTGCATATACTGTTGGCCCTCTGTAGCTATAGATTCAGCATCTGTGGATTGAAAACATTTGGAAAACTAATTGAACTGTACTGAACACATATAGACTTTTTTTGTCATTATACGCTGAACAATACAATTATTTATATAGCATATAACATTATAAGAAACTATAAATCATCTGAAGCTGCTTTTAAAGCTTAGGGGATATGCAGAAGTTAGATGCAAAAATTATACCATTTTATGTGAGGGAACCTGAGCATCCTCGGGTTTTAGTATCCTTGAAAGTCCTGGAGTCAACCCCCCTGGATATGGAGAAACAACTGAGCAATTTTTTTTTCACCTTATACAAAAAAGGAGCATCTCATGAGTTTAACACATTGCTGTTATCTTGAACTAATAGGGATTGTTCCATAGCAGCCCAGATAGATCTGTCTAGCTCGTTTTTAGCCTTAGCTTGACATTCCTCTCTATAGACTAACCCTAATTTACCTGAACCTACTTTTTTTTTTTGTACTGGGGACTGAGCCCAGGTGTGCTTAACCACTGAGCCCCATCCCCAGCCCTTTTTATATATTATTTAGAGACAGGGTCTCACTGAGTTGCTTAGGGCCCCACTAAGTTACTAAGGCTGGCTTTGGACTCACGATCCTCCTGCCTTGGCCTCCTGAGCTGCTGGTATTATAGGCCAGTGCCACTGCACCTGGCCGGAACCTATTTTTAATAAATTCCACAGATGAGTGTGAAAGAACATGTTTGGGAATGTTGCATTAGGTTTTCTCCTTCCCACCCCATGGCTGGGGACCATTCCCCCATGCTGCCCCAACCCTGCCACCCCTCACTCTCTCACCCCCTCCCCTTGCTCAGTCCCATATACCCCAGCTCTCTCATGACCAGAGGAAGAAAACCAACCTTCCACAGCGCCAAGTCCATATCTACGCCATGATTTCAGAAATGTAATGAGAATCTTGATGATACACACAGCTGGCCTAGACTGAGATTTCTGGCTCTGCCACTCACCACTGTATATTCAATTTCTCTGAGGCTTGGTTTCCTCATCAGTTGCACGGAGATTGTCATAGTAACCAGCCCAGAGTTTTGCTATGCAGACTGATTGCAAACGCCTATGGAGGTTTTCAGCAAGGATCTAGTTCATAATAAGCACTCCGTGAATGCTCGCCCTCATAATTAATTACAGCAAAATAAAACAAAAGCAGGTTTCTCAGGTTCTTGAGAATGCAGATGGGTGATAAGCATAAAGAACCGCAGTTATTAGCGGAGGTAATTTTGTAAGTTAGCCATTGTGATTTTGTTAAGTTAGCGATCCAGGACTTCAGATGGGAGGAGAGACGGTAATTGGAAATTAATATCCAAATGTTTGGGTACAGAGAACTGTGAAGCAGCAATACAGTTTCGAGAGAAAATACCATTTGGCATTTAAACCTGTTTGAATTCATTATTATCTAAAAGTGCCATCTGTGGATTACAAAGAGATTTCAATAAATGCATGTTGAATGAATGAAAACTCAGAACAACAGAATGTGTATATGTCATGGAACATAAAAAAGAGATGGAATCCAACCTAAGAAGTGAATTGCTTATTGCTTACAGAGAGTTCACAATTAACTTTGAAAAATTTATCTCGGTTGCAGGTAGCCTCTATCTATAAAGACCCAAGTATTGGAAATTTAATTAATATTGTTATTGTGAACTTAGTTGTGATTCATAATGAACAGGTAATCACGTTTTTTTTTTCTTCTTTCTTCTATCTGTATCCGAAATGGCATCTCTGATTGGTATTGCTAGCAGAGACCAACCGTAATTCTTCTCTGTATTTAGGAAGGACCTTCCATATCTTTTAATGCCCAGACAACATTAAAAAATTTTTGCCAGTGGCAACATTCCAAGAACTATCCAGGTGGAATCCAGCATGATACAGCTGTGCTCGTAACCAGGTATGTGGATTTCTGATTCCTCCAATCTCTCTGTTCAGGTCAGGCTGACTGGATGGGGTCATCTAGAGCAACCTTTGTAGGATGTTTCTCAACTTAGATGCTATTGATGTCTTGGACCAGATAATCACTTATGGGGTGCCCTGACTACTGCAGAACATTTAGTAGCACGTCTGCCCTTGGCTCACTACATATCAGTGGCACTTCGTCTTCTCAATGGTGACAGTGCCTCTAATCACTGTCCAGCATCCTCCTGAGGAGGAGGGAGGAGGTGAAGAATTACCCCTCCTTGAGAACGACTCCTGTGGAGGTGCCAGCTAAGAGTCAATTTGTTAGGCAGCTCTGAAAGTCAATGCCTTTATATACAGGGGACAGCTGCTGTTCAGATGAAGCAGGTTGTGGTGACTCGGATCAGAGTCCCATGATTTTGTAAGAAGCTAGAAATATGGATTGGGGGAGGGTCATGGGGGATTGAACCCAGGGGCACTTAAGCACCGAGTCACATCCCCAGCCCTTTTTAAAAAATATATATTTTATTTGCAGACAGGGTCTTGCTAAGTTGCTTAGGGCCTCACAAAGTTGCTGAGGCTGGCTTTGAACTTGCGATCCTCCTTCCTCAGCCTCCTAAGCTGCTGGGATTATAAGCATACACCACCATATCCAGTGAAATATGGGTTTTTTAAAAATGTGAAATCCCCCAAAATTTTAGTGTATTATAGTTATGCATAATAGTGGGGTTCAACAGCCATAAATGCATATAACATAATTTTCTCCATTTCAATTCCCAGCCCTCCCCCTTTCCTTTCCCTTCTCGATTCCCTGTGATCTCCTTCCTCTGCTCTATTGGTCTTCTTTCTCTTTATTTTTTAATGGATGCATTATATTTACATGGTAGCACTTGTCTCAAAAGAGCAGGGTGTAGTGGCTCACGCCTGTAATCCCAGTGGCTCAGGAGGCTGAGGCAGCAGGATCACAAGTTCAAAGCCAGCCTCAGCAACTTAGAGAGGCCCTGAGCAACATAGTGAGACCCTGTCTCAAAATAAAATATTAAAAAGGACTAGGGATATAGCTCAGTGGTAAAGTGCCCCTAGGTTTAATCCCCAGGACCAAAAAATAAATAAATAAAAGTGTTTAAGACATTGCACAGGGTAACAGAGAGTTGCTGGCCTAAACATACCTCCCATCCATTGTGCCGTACACTGGATTTTTCAAAAATTTTTTATTTATTTAAATTTTGCACAGTGCTGGTGATTGAACCAGGGCTTTTTTTTTTTTTTTTTTTTTTTTTTTTTGCGGGGGGTGGGGGTGCTCCTTTAAGTGAAAAGCATTTAGCACTTTTTTAGGAATGTTTACAAATTATATATAAAATTACAATCACTCGTGGGTGTGTTGGTGCAGGCCTGTAATCCCAACACCTTGGGAGGCTGAGGCAAGAGAATCCCAAGTTCAAAGCCAGCCTCAGCAACTTATCGAGGCCCTAAGCAACTCAGTGAGACCCTGTCTCCAAATAAAATACAAAATAGGGCTGGGGATGGGGCTCAGTGGTTAAGAGCCCCTGAGAACTCCTTGGTACCAAAACATTTTTTTGCAAGTTACAATCACTTATGCTGGGTATTGGGGAAGTCCTGGTTAGAGAGGCAGCAGGAGCAATCTTCTTAATGTAGCTGTTAATCCTGAATCAGTGCCTCCCAAAATGTTTGCATTGTAAAACCTGGGTCTTATTAGTTTGTTTTTGGGGAGCGAACCTCCCCCCAGACCCCACACTTACCCCCCACTGTAGCATGTGGTACTGTGATGCCTAGAACCCTCTGAAGTATTTTCTTGTGTTGACCTTTGCTCTTTGGTGTCATCAAGGCCTAAGTCTGCTTTGCTTTCAGACAGGACATCTGCAGAGCTCATGACAAATGTGACACCTTAGGTGAGTCCTCCATTCATATCCTCTGTGGCTAAAACAGTTTGCTACACGTTTCTGTTCTAAGTCACAATTGCTCTTTAAAGTAAGTCCTTGTTGGTCTTTTCTTTCCCCTTTCTAATAGGTCTTGCTGAACTGGGAACCATCTGTGATCCCTACAGAAGCTGCTCTATCAGTGAAGATAGTGGACTGAGTACAGCATTCACCATAGCCCATGAGCTGGGCCACGTGTAAGTGTCACTTCAATAATGTCATTTAATTCGGAGTCACCTACAACTTGCATTCCTTGGCTTCTGTGAGCTTTTGCTTGATGTTAGGGTATGTGAGTCACTTTCCATGTCACAGTAGAGTTTCAAGGTTAAAGAACTTTGAACCTAGTTGGGAGAAGTGACCTTGACTTCCAAAGTTAAAGGAACACGGTGCACCGAACCCTCTTCAGCCAGAGCTTGTGTTTTAGTCAGCTTTTTACTGCTGCGACCAAAAGACCTGACAGAACAACAGTGGGGAAGGAGTAGTTTATTTGGGGGCTCAGGGTTTCCGAGGTCTCAGTCCACAGACAGCACCCTCCATTTCTCTGGGCTCCAGGTGAGGCTGAACATCATGGAGGAAGAGTGTGGTGGAGGGAAGCAGCTCACATGTGATCAGGAAGTAGAGAGAGACTCCACTCTCCAGAGACAAATAGAGACCCCAAAGCCACGCCCCCAATGCCCCCTCCTCTAGCCACACCCACCTGCCCCAGCCACCACCCAGTTAATCCCATCAGGGATCCATTCACTGGTTGGGTTAAGGCTCTCACAACCCAGTCTTGTCTCCTCTGAACCTTCTTGCATGTTTCACACATGAGCTTTTGGGGGATACCTCACATATAAACCACAAGAGCTTCTGTGTTTTCAGTAAAACTGCTCCAGTTTGGTATGCAAAATCTAGTAACAGATTTTCCTTCTGGGAACTGGGGGAACAGGGCCTTTCCACTTCCCTCAGGATGTGTTAATGTGAAGAACATTCCTGGGTCCACATCTTGGTCTAGAAGGGTCCCCGACACTGTCCTGGCCCCCAAGATTTTTACGAGTCCAGCTCACTTCTGCATTGAGCTATGCATAGCTGTAATTGAGACAGGAAGCACCTGCAGACTGTAATGTCCCTCTTTCAGGGAAGAGAGTGAGCCAGGATATGCAGAAAACAGTCATTTCCTAATCAAGGCCTCCAAGCACCTGGCTATAATGAAATGGGTCTTCCCTTTTGTTTCTGTAGAGACAGAGCCCGGTTAGAATGTGGGCTCATCAATGTGAATTGACTAGAAATCGGTCTGATTTTCAATCTGCATTTTTTTCTTTCTATAATAATCAAATCACTTACCCTCTATATTTGGAAAATAACTTTTCTCAATCGATGCCATTAGTAGAACATCCCCATATGTCTATTTGTGTGTCAGACGCTGACTTTAGAGCTAACGTTATACAATCGGCAAGCTTTTCGTGCAGGTGTTTTCTGGATTCACCTGTGGGCAGTGCACTCACACAGATCAAGATGCCCACAGGCACACACAGGTATCTCCAAGCTTCAGAAGCAGTGGGTGTATCTTCAAATGAAGACCTTTCAATCGTATTTTAAGAATACATTCCTCATCCTGAAAGGGAGAGCTCCAGATGACCACTAACTGAGAACATAAAGAGCCATGGCTTTCTAGGTAGCCGCTGTGACAGTCCCCAGCATCTTCTCTGCCCTGAAGGCTCCTAAGGCACCTCCATGAACCTCAAGGACTCCTTGAGAAATTCCAATTTCAGTCCCCCTCCCCTCAGTCCCCTTTGACCTTCATCAAGTCATTAGACCTCTCTGTGGCTCAGTTTCTCATCAGCAAAATGTGGGTAATAGCCCAGTCATCCCTGTGTGTCTGTGGGGGCTGATTCCAGGACCCTCGTGGATAGGGAAATGTGCAGATTTGAAAGTCTTTTTTATAAACTTTTTTATACTTTTTTTTTTTTTTTTTTTGGTAAAATGGATTGAACCCAGGGGCAACTTAACCACTGAGCCACATCCCCAGCCCTATTTTGTATTTTATTTAGAGATAGGGCCTCACTGAATTGCTTAGGGCCTCACTAAGTTGCTGAGGCTGGCTTTGAACTTGAGATCCTCCTCCTTTAGCCTCCCAAGCTGCTGGAATGATAGGGGTGCACTACTGCACCCAGCTATACCTTTATTTTATTTATTTATTTTTATGTGGTGCTGAGGATGGAACCCAGTGCCTCACAAGTGCTAGGCAAGTACTCTACCACTAAGCCACAATGCAGTCCAGATTCTCAAGTCCTTTATGTAAAGAAGCCTAGTGTTTGCATGTTATCTGTTTTAAATCATCTCTACAGATTACTTATAATACCTAATACAAAGTAAATGTTGTGTAAATAGTTGTCACACTGTACTATTTAGGGAATAATGATAAGAAAAAAAAAAGTCTGCACATTTTTTTCATCTGAATAAGTTCCACCTGCAGTTAGTGAAGCCCGTAGACGAAGGATGTGCAGACTCTGTCGGTAGACTGTGCTGCCCAGGAGGTTAAATAACTGATTAAATGAAATAAAGCATTTAAAACAGTAATCACATTCTGGGTACATTGTGAATGCTGAAAAGTCTTTTTGTAATTAGTTTTTTTATTTTTAGTTGTAGATGGACACAATACCTTTATCTTATTTATTTATTCATTTATTTATATGTTTGTGTTTTGTGGATGCCTGGAATTGAACTCAGAGGCATTTGGCCACTGAGCCCCATCCCCAGCCCTATTTTGCATTTTATTTAGAGACAGGGTCTCACTGAGTTGCTTAGGGCCTCATGAAGTTGCTGAGGCTGGCTTTGAATTTGTGATCCTCCTGCCTCAGCCTCCTGAGCTGCTGGAATGACAGGTGTACACCTGTAATTATTTTCATGTGGGCTGAGGATCAAACCCAGTGCCTCACATGTGTTAGACAAGCACTCCACCCCTGAGCCACAACCCCAGCCCTGAAAAGACTTGGTTCTTACTATTTAACCAGGGTTCCATAAATATTTACTATAATTTAACCCCTGCCACGAGCAAATGTGTCTGGCATCTGGATAAAAACAAATTGTTATTTCATATGATGAAGTAAACTTGATTTCATTAAGTAAACTTGATTTCATGATGGGATAGGATTATCTGCCAGTTACCTTGCACCACAGAGAAGCAAGCTGAGGTTTGAACACTTCCTGGTTGTACAATGGATGCCTCTGGAGTGAGGGACACCATCATTCCCAGCCCCCTTCCTCTGACTAAGCCAAGAATGGCAAGTATGTATTCATGCAGCTGCCAGGTTCCCTCCCAGGCCCAGGAGGACGGGGGCGGTCCTCAGGGCCTTCTGGGGTCAGAACCTGGGTTAGTTTAAGAACGCTTTGTGCCGGTTTTCATCAAGACAGCCCCCCATATGGTGACCTTGGCACAGAGCACAAGACTATTGCCATCGCTGAGTCCCGCCTGCTCCATCTGCATGCCTCTGGTCTCCATGATCATCATTTTCTTTCATGAAAATGGGCACCCACTTTACAGACCTTTTTAATGACCTACCTGCCCAGGTATATCATTTGTCATCTGGGGCCCAAAACAGAAGATGCCAAGACTCACAGTCAGCTCCTTATTAGAAAGCTTGGGCTTCAGAATTTTTATTTTTTATTTTTGTTTTTTAGTTTTTTGATGCCAGCAATTGAACCCAGGGGCACTCAACTACTAAGCCCCATCCCCAGCCCTATTTATATTTTATTTAGAGACAGGGTCTCACTGAGTTGCTTAGGGCCTCGCTTTTGTGGAGGCTGGTTTTGAACTCGCCATCCTCCTGCCTCAGCCTCCCGAGCTGGTGGGGTTACAGGTGGGCACCACTGCGCCCAGCTTGTCGTGTTCTCCACCCCGTCTCAGGTAGCTTCAGATCTGTTCTGCTGCCCTGGACTCCGATTCTGATCCATAACCCAGTAGCCTCGGTGCTCACGGCGCCCGCCCTGGTGTCCCCTAGGTTCAACATGCCGCACGACGACAACAACAAGTGTAAAGAAGAGGGCGTCAAGAGCCCCCAGCATGTCATGGCGCCGACGCTGAACTTCTACACCAACCCCTGGATGTGGTCCAAGTGCAGTCGGAAATACATCACCGAGTTTTTGGAGTAAGACGCCACTTTCTCTTAACCGGGTTCCTGGGGCAGATTCCTAGTCAGTGTTCAGAAGGTCAGGGCAGAGCCGAGGAGGAGCCTGGGGTCTGAAAGGGAACCCCAGTTGGGCTTGGACATGTGTGGCCACCTGGGAAGAGGCCCTGTAAAGGCCAGAACGAAAGCCACCCACATCTCTGCACCTGTAGCTTAGTGACCTGGGCACAGGAAGGACAGGATCAGGAGATGATCCCCAAGGGGGTAGAAATTGGAGCAGCCTCCGTGTGGTTGAATGGAGGGTGCGTGTCTCTCCTACTCTCCTTAACACTCCCCTTCCCTTTTTATCTGTCTTTCCTTTTCCTGTTTTTGTTTGTTGGTTGGTTTGTTTGGTACCAGGGATTGAACCCAGAGGCACTCGACCACTGAGCCCCATCCCCAGCCCTTTTTAGATTTTATTTAGAGACAGGGTCTCCCTGCGTTGTTTGGGGCCTGGATGCTGAGGCCAGCTCTGAACTCATGATCCTCCTGCCTCAGCCTCCTGAGTTTATTTAATTATTTATTTTTAACTTCCGTCTCAGCTGCTCAAAGATCCAGTTTCATTATAAAATTGCCCCAATGTCACAAATATATTGGTCTTCTCTCCCAGTTACCAAAAAGCACCAAAGTTAAAGCAAAAACCCCAGGTTTCTGCAACTACAGGGAATGGGTGGATTTCTTCATCAGAACTCAGGGGTGACACTTTCCCAAAACAGGGAAAACATCCTTTGCAAAAAAAAATAAAGTGAAAGAACTGGAGGATTCCATTTTTCCTCTTCGTCAGGGGATGTTTTCTTTCTGTGAGTCACTGATTTCCTTACTCATCCCTTTGGCAAACACTTATTAAGCACCTGCTGCTGTGGACCGGGCCCTGTACTTGAATGAAGGAGACACTGTCTTCCTGCCTTCGACTGTAAGAAGCTTACAGTCTTTTGGGGAAGACGATCAAAAAATAAGCTGGTAACTGCCTCCAAATGCAACCAGTGCCCTAAGATATTCATACTTCCTGTATGTTGTATGTAGATCTGGTTCTAGAAGTATACACCAAGGATACAACTCCAACTTCTGGACTTAAGATGGATGAAAAGAATAAAGCCGGCTGCGCTTGATGGCACTCACCTGTAATCCCAGAGGCAGAGGCAGAAGGATCAGGAGTTTGAGGCCAGCCTCAGCAAGTTAGTGAGGCCCTAAGCAACTCAGTGAGACCTTGTTTCTAAATAAAATAAAAAATAGGGTTGGGAATGGAGCTCAGTGGTTAAGCACCCCTGGGTTCAATCCCTGGTACCAAAAGAATATAAAAAAGAAGAAGAAAGCCAAGATCAAAAAGGAACTGTCCTCTCTTCATTGGACTGGGGTGTGGCCTCCACACTGAGGGGACCTTTGTCAGTCCCTCCTCTTACCTTCTGTGTGTCTCTACTTCCTGTAGCACCGGGTATGGCGAGTGTCTGCTTAACGAACCCGAATCCAGACCCTACCCCCTGCCTCCCCAGCTACCTGGCCTCCTTTACAACGTGAATAAGCAATGTGAGCTCATCTTTGGCCCCGGTTCCCAGGTGTGCCCCTACATGGTAAGTGTTTGGGGCTGTTTCTGTCCTCATCAGATTTGGGACGTCTTGCTCTGCCTGCCTTCCCATTAGCTTCTCACTCGGCCCAAGGACAGTCAAACATGCAGTTGGCACTTAGGGGGATCACTCTGCTGATGGTATCAGTCATGCTCCATACGTTGGCGCCCTGTGGCATCTCTTATTTTCCCCTCCTGACTGGCCAGAAGGGACATGCTATTGCAAGTGTGAGGTGGGGCTCCCAGGGGGTGCAGGGACAGAGCTAGTAATCCCAGAGCTTGGGTGTTTCTCTCTCCTTGTCTTCTCTCATGCCCTCCTCCGACTTGTCCAAGTGACTTTCAGCGATTCAGTAAAGATGACACAGGAGGCAGACCTGGCTGCTCTTCCTAGCTTGCCAGCCTTGGGTCCTGGGTCCACTTGGAGCTTCAGATCCTTTCTGGTGGTTGCTCACCGGGCTGCTGTGGTTTGTGCCGTGAATGTCTGGACCAGTGATATCACCTAGGGGTGACTGGGTAGAAATGAGGAGAATGGTGCTCCTGTGGGTTGTCCCGCTCTGTCCCTTTGGGGCTGTGTGTGTGTGTTGCTGGGAGACCCTTCAGAGGTTGCAGAGTAAGTTGCAAAAAGTACAGTGATTCCATGGAAATAATTTAAAATTTTGAGTCATTCTACCTTAATAATACCCATTTATATGTTACCCATGATGGCACGAATTAAGAGTCATTGACTCTGAGGCAGGAGGATCACAAGTTCAAAGCCAGCCTCAGCAACTTAGTGAGGCCCTGAGCAACTCAGGGAGACCCTGTCTCTAAATAAAACATAAAATAGGGCTGGGGATGTGGCTCAGTGGTTGAGTGCCCCTGGGTTCAATCCCTGGTACCAAAAAAAAAAAAAAAAAAGGAGTCATTGAAGTGTTAAACAAAAGAAAGGTTAAGCATATTTTAGTATCTCCATTTAGTGGAATATTACATAGCAGATGAAAATGATCTACGCAAGACACATGTTCCTGCTCATGTAATTTAAGTTAAAGAATAAGATGAATAATTGCATAGAGTGTGTCTTCAAGTCTCAAAAGAGGGGGAAAAGTGACAGGGAATGGGTGGAGAGCTCGAGGGACTTTTTTTCCCTATTTTTCAGAGTATATATTTAGTTCTTTCTTAATTTTTATACCATAAGCCTGACTGATTTTGGTTTATTTTAATAATTAGGAAAAATATAAATTAGAGAAATCTTTTTTTTAAAAGTATGCATTGAAATAGCTAAAATAAATCTTTCTTTTAAATTTTTTTATTTTCTAGTTGTGTTGTCAATACCTTTATTTATTTATTTATTTATTTATTTAATGTGGTGCTGAGGATTGAACCCAGGGCCTTGTACATGCTAGGTGAGTGCTGTACCGCTGAGCCACAACCCCAGCCCTGCTAAAATAAATCTTTAAAACATAGTATTCAGAGGAAGAACAATGTTTCAGAATGTATCAAAATCAGTTTGCATGAAGCTTAAATGCTGTGTAACTGCTAGATTTTTATGCTGTTGTGTAAAAACTTTGGGACCAATGAAGTCATCATCAATCAGAGTGGGTCACCTCTGCAGAGAGGGAGCAAGGAAGAGACCCAGGATGGGTACAAAAGGTTTTAGCTTACCTGTGAACTCTTCTTTCCTTAACAGGGCAATGGGTACATAGGTATCCATTATGTTATTTTTTTTTCCTTTTGCTCATTTTTATTTGTTCTTTCTTGATGTACATGATAGTAGAGTATATCTTGACATATTATACATACATGGAGTATATCTTATTCTAATTAGGATCCCATTCTTGTGGTTGTCCCTGGTTGTGTGCTCATATATGAACACAGGAAAGTTCTGTCCCATTCACTCCACTGTCTTTCCCATACCCATCCCCCTCCCTGCCCTTCATTCTCCTTTGTCTAACCCAGTGAACTTCTATTCTCCCTCCCTTCCTTATCTCTGCATATCAGAGAGAACATTTTATCTTTGTTTTTTTGGGACTGGCTTATTTCACTTAGCATGATAATCTCCAGTTCCATTCATCTACCAGCAAATGCCACAATTCCATTCTTCTTTAAGTTTGAGTAATATTCCATTATGTGTATATACCACATTTTCTTTATTCATTCATTTGTTGAAGGATGCCTAGGTTGGTTCCATAGTTTAGCTATTGTGAATTGAGCTGTTATAAACATTGATGTGGCTGCATCACTGTAGTATGCTGATTTTTAAAAGTCCTTTGGGTATATGCCGAGGAGTGGGATAGCTGGGTTCCATTCCCAGTTTTCTGAGGAATCTCCATACTGCTTTCCAGAGTGATTGCACCAATTTGCAGTCCCATCAGCAATGGATGAATGAATCTTTTCTCTACATCCTCGCCGACATTTTTTGTTGCTTATATTCTTGATGATTGCCATTCTGACTGGAGGGAGATGGAATCTCTGTGTAGTTTTGATTTGCATTTCTCTAATTTCTAGAGATGTTGAGCATTTTTTGACCATTCATATTTCTTCTTCTGTGAAGTGCTTTATGTTACTTTTTAATACTTTGTGTAGGTCTGAAATATTGTACACTATCTAATACCTTCTATCCTCTAACAACCCCTAAAAGCCTTAGAAACGATTCATAATATGATCATGATAATACATGGCCCTAGTAGAAGCACACACACAGAGACATACACACACACATGCATGAATGCACTTTGAGTCAGGCCAAACTGAAACACAAATCATATCTGATCACTCCCTAACTCAACAACCAAACTCACATCACACAATTCCCACATGCTCCTTTGTCTCTCTGAACCTCAGTCTCTTCATCTGTATATCTCAAATGCATGGTGGGTCCCCTTTTATGCTACAGTCTATCCTCCCAGGCAGACAGGGCTGCTCAGGGCTGCTCGTTATCACCCTGGGACTATTTCATCATTTAATGAAGAAAAAAAAATCCCTTTCCAAGTTCCCCTATACCTTTGGCAAAGCATTCATTGAAAGATTCTGTCTTAATTCCACTGTCTCTTCATTCAACTGAATCGAGCAGGTGCAGTGTAGACGGCTCTGGTGCAATAACGTGGATGGGGCTCACAAAGGCTGCCGGACTCAGCACACGCCCTGGGCCGACGGGACTGAGTGTGAGCCTGGAAAGGCAAGTACCCCCCATTGCCTCTCCCCACCCTGGGGCTGCAGAGAAAGGTTCAGGGAGCTTTTGAAAATGTGAGACTCACATGATGGCATGATCCTGACACCAGAGATCATTATTGCCTGCATGTGGGGACAGTCTCCTAATTGAACACTTCTCTTTTGAGCCATTCTGAAATTCTAATGCCGTGTGCAGGAGTGTTTTTTGGGTTGTTTGCTTTCTGTTTTGAGAGCGGCACTGCAAACTTGACGGAGCATCTCAGAATCAGGAGGTGCAGAGAACGGATTCTGTCCTCCCCTGTGACACCAGGCTCTTGCCAGCCTCTGCTGTTCCCTTTAAGGAGAGATGATGTCACTTGGTACATATCCAAGTCCAGATTCTCATGAGCTACTACTTGTCATGGTTCCCAGTGATTTTGTTAATAACTAAACGAAATCCACTCCTTATGTGGCCCGGGGACAGCTGTGTCCCACGCACCTAGGGGTATGATTAACTTACCCTCCTGTCCTGTGTGCATCGAAAAATCAGAGTCATGAGTTAGTGATATCATCATCCCTCCCCCCCAAAATTTGGTGGCACAAAGTTTGAGAGATAAATCCTGATTCTTTTTTTTTTTTCTTTTTATTTTGTAATTCTGTAAGGATGAATGCATGTAGCATTGACAGTGATCCAGTCGCTGGATTCTATTTCTGAGATTTGTCGTCTTTATATGTAGGTAGTTCTTCTACCTGTTAGCTATCTTACTCACGTTTATAACTCTTCATTCTCATTCATCTTCTTTCCTTTTACTTTGTAGAATTATTAGGACCCAGAATGGCTCCTTCAAAGGGATCTTAATTGATAACAGGGTTTTACTCCCACTTCCCCATTTTTTTTTTTTTGTACCAGGGATTAAACTCAGGGGCACTTAACCACTGAGCCCCATCCCCAGCCTTATTTTGTATTTTATTTAGAGACAGGGTCTCACTGAGTGGCTTAGGGCCTCGCTAAGTTGCGGAGGCTGGCTTTGAACTCGCCATCCTCCTGCCTCAGCCTCCTGAGCCGCCAGGCTGACAAGTGTGCATCACCATACCAGCACAATAGGTCCATTTTAATCATATTCTAGAAGAGTGGCCAAGTCTAACAGCTTTTACTGAAGGTGTGGGGATGTACAGGTACTCTTAAGATCATGCATTTTGCAAATGCTGGAGAAGGTACCCAGGCTGGCATAGGAGTCCCTTGTGATTTTTCTTGTTTAGTGTTGATTTCACAGAATTGGCAGTGTGGGTCTCCGGTCTGCATGCCAGCATTCCGACTCCCGTTGCTGCTGGGTTAATTTTTTTTCTTTCTGTTCTCTCTGCCCTGCTCCCTCCGTAGTAATCCATCTTGGGCTGCTGACACAGTGTTATTTTGATGAATGACTCACTAATGTCTCTTTATTTGCTGTGCTCTCTTGTTAAGTCCATTAACATTTCACTTTAACCCTGTTTTTTGAGTCCAGAGAATCCTTGAATTGAAGTTGGCCTCCACATTTACCTTCCAACCTCTTAGATAGATGCATGGATATAAAATATCAGCTAAATAGTTTGGGACACTTTTAAGAAAGGCTGACTTTTTTTGGCTCTAGTTCCATCCACCAGCCACTTAAAGCTTTGTTATGATGTAATGGCAATTCCCATATAGAATTAAGATTTGTCGGATTTGCCTGGTAAATAGTTTGAGGTTTTTTTTGTTTTATACTGGGGATGGAACCCAGGGGCACTCGACCACTGAGCCTCATCCTCAGCCCTTTTTATATTTTATTTAGAGACAGTGTCTCACTGAGTTGCTTAGGGCCTCACTAAGTTGCTGAGGCTGGCTTTGAACTCGTGATCTTCCTGCCTCAGCCTCCTGAGCTGCTGGGATTACAGGCCTGCTCCACTGTGATTGCCACTGTGCCCAGCCAGTTTTTGTTTTGTTTAAACATATTTCCCAAACATCCCCAGCTTGTATCACCCTATTCCTCTGAGTTTCTTTCTCTGTTTTGGATTCCTGGTAGCAAGATGGGAAGGCTGAATTTCACCTTGATTTTGTGTTAGTTAAGAATTTTGTTCAGGTTCAATCCAATTATTATGTTTTAAGCAAATTGCCTCTTTATATGATACAAAAACTAGACAAGTTATGGAGCTATTATGTGGCTCATGCCTGTAATCCCAGCAGCTCGGGAGGCTGAGGCAGGAGGATCGTGAGTTCAAAGCTAGCCTCAGCAACTCCGTGAGACTCTATTTCTAAATAAAATATAAAAAAGGGCTGAGGATATAGTTCAGTGGTTAAGTGCCCCTGGGTTCAATCCCCAGTACCCCCCTGCCAAAAGAGAGAGAGAGAGAGAGAGAGAGAAGAAAAAAAGAAATGAAGGTATTAGGGGCTGGGGTTGTAGCTCAGTGGTAGAACACTTAGCATGTGTGAGGCCCTAGGTTCCATCCTCGTACCACATAAAAATAAATAAAATAAAGGTACTGTGTCCATCTACAACTAAGGGAAAAAAAAGAAATGGAGGTCATGCTAGTCCCTTATCTGAAGGGCTGGAGGTTTGAAGGGGCTCAGATTCCAGAGTTTTCTTGGACTGTGGGATATTCACATGCACGTAGTGAGCACCTTGGTGACGGGACCCAGGTCCTGTGCACCTTGGACACACAGATTGAGGACAGTTGTCCATGATATTTCTGGTCTCCCTTGGTTCTGATCAGCACCCACCACGTCAAGCCCAGTGGGGAACCGTGACCGTGGCCTCGTGCCCACCCTTAACAAGTCTGGGATTCGGGGCCTTCTGGGTTTTGCATTTTGGAACCGGGATAGTCAACCTGCTCAGAGCAGTGCCCGGCCCTGGTCAGTGTGGATGCCCACCGGCACCCCAATCCTACCTAAGCTGCACCCTGTGCTCAGCTGTTCCCAAGGCCTCCTGTCATCAGACCCAGGACAGCCTGGTCAGAGGGGCTCCCTTTCCAGCTGTGGACACAGACTCCCACCCTGCCCTGGGCCACAGAGCCAGTTTCTAGGAGCCACCGCTACAGCAGAGGCCTGCTGATCTGTTGACCTTTGACCCCAGGCTGCTTGGTCCTGGGTGTGGCCACGTGTGGCTACCATGCACTTGAAATGCCAGTCTGGTCTGGGGTGCACTGACATGCAAAATACAGCCAGGTTGTGGGCCCTAGAGGGCAAGAGAAAGCTTCCTGCAGTGGCCGCCTCTCATTCTGTCATCAGACCCAGGACATGTGTGAGGCCCTAGGTTCCCTGATACTTTGCAAGTGTTTGAGATATTGGGTGGTACTGAGTGTATATCAACATTATTTATTATTTATATAGTGATAGACATAATATGATGATATATGGTATATTATATGTGATGGTATATTGTATGTGATTATTATAGCATCAATAATTATTAATATATATGTTATTATGATGTTATGTGTTGCATATAGTATATGCATGTATACATATACATATACACACATATACATATATGACATACATATCTTATATATCACATATAGTATATGTGTATGCACATAAGTATACATATAATATTTATGTATATCATTCATAATATTTGTAATATATATGTTTATTATTTATAATTGTAATATATGTGTGAATATACATATATCACATGTATATTACATATATATATTCATATATTACATGCATATTATGTGTATAAAATACATATGTGTATATAACATGTATATACATGGAATATATGCATGTATATGTAATATATATTTATAATGTTATACATATTAGGTATGTGTATGATTATGCATATATGTGCATATATAATCATACATATGTGTGTATAATTATACACACATACATCATACACATATAATATATAAACATATATTAGCAATACCATATATGTCTATACATTCATATATAACATTTCAAACATGTGATATATATAATGTCTTTCCTAGGCACACATACCTATGATAATGTCTGATTTCTAGATTTGGCATGGTAAGGGATTAACAGCAATAGTTGACAATAAAATAGAAAAATCAAAGTAATTTTTATACTGACTGCATGTAGAATTAATAATGTTTTTAGATATACTGGGTTAAATACCATTAGGATTTATTTCGATTTTTGTTTCCAAAATGCTTTAGTGTGCTTCTAGAATTCTCCGTCCTCTCTTGGGCCTGGTTAGCTCCTCCTGGGCGGGGGCTCCAGGCCCAGCTGCCCTCTTGCCTGTCTTTGTGCACAGGCACCCCAGGGAGTGTGACAGTAGAGACAGGATCAGTGATGTCAGGTAGCGTGGGCCACCGCAGCTTGGCCAGACAGCCCAGGGAGAAGGACGTCTGCTGTCCTCAGACGCTGGAGGGGATCAGGTCAAAGGAGGAGGCGGGGACTGCCAGGGACAGGCTGGGCTGCACCTCCAAACAGCCAAGCCACGGCCTTCAGTGGACAGGGACACTCTTCCCATGGAGACGCCCTGGCCCCGCTCTGCCCAGCCTGGAGCCTCTGCCTCCGCCCTCCAGAGGCGGCTCTGTCCCCCTGAGATCCGTCACACAGCCACAGGCCGCTCCACTCCAGAGATCTGAGAGAGCGGCGGGGTGTCACCCTCCTGCAGCCACTGCCGCCACTCTTCCTTTGTCCACTGCTCGGTGACCTTTGTGTCAGGGCTTGCCACCCCCACAATGGCAGAGGGTCCACGTGGGCCACTCCCTGTCCTGCTGAGGAGTTTAACTTAATTCTATTTTTGTAATATCTTTATTTTTTTTGTTGTTTATTTTTCTGTGGTGCTGAGGACGGAACCCAGGGCCTCACGTGTGCAAGGCAAGCACCCTGCTGCTGAGCCCCAGCCCAGCCCCTATTTTATTTTTTATGATTCTTTTAAAATCATGGCCTCCCTCCTGCTCCAGGCTGCAGAAGCTGAAGCCTTAGTAACAGCAGCAACAATAATAAAGGAATCAACTTTAGGGGACCCTGAGAGGGCCCTTTGTTACTTCCTGATCCTAAGTATTTTCTTGAAGTGAGTTTATAGAAATCATGTAACTACTTTTTCCCCTCCCTCTTCCCTGGTGAATTAAAATTGGGTTTTCAAATCCAAGGGGAGCTGGACAGGGTCTCACTGAATTGCTTAGAGCCTCAATAAGATTTGGGAGGCTGAGGCAGGAGGATCGTGAGTTTAAAGCCAGCCTCAACAACTTAGTGAGGCCCTGAGCAACTCAGGGAGACCCTGTCTCTAAATATAATACAAAATAGGGCTGGGAATGGGGCTCAGTGGTTAAGCGCCCCTGGGTTCAATCCCTGGTACAAAAAATAAAGATAAGAAAAACAGGAAAGCATTGCTATTTTACCGGAGGCCTTGTGAATGGAGGTCCATATGCAAAGCTCACTTTGTCCTGTCCTGCCTACCACCACCTGCCCATGTCCACTCTGCATTTTTCCAAGCTGGAGACTTAAGCAGTCTAAAGCTGGCCACTGGAGTCGCTCTGCCAGCCTGCAGCCCCTCACTCAACTGGCTTTTTTTCCCCCACAAGCAAGCTATACCTGAAGACCCAGCCTAAAATTAAGATCCTTACAGGGCTAAATCCTCACAGAGCTCACGCTCCCCATAGATGGCACATGCGCAGCATTTCATAAACTATGGTAAAGAATAAAGAGATGAGAGAGGAAGGACGGCATGTTTAAGAGGACAGGGTCCTGCAGTGACTCCTGGCACCAGCCCTCCCTCACTGTCGCCCTTATTAAATACAGCACTGCAAGTATGGATTTTGTGTTCCCAAAGAAATGGAGGTCCCCGCGACTGACGGATCCTGGGGAAGTTGGAGTCACTTTGGAACCTGCTCAAGAACATGCGGAGGGGGGATCAAAACAGCCATCCGAGAGTGCAACCGACCAGAGTAAGTTCTAGAATTATCGTTGACTGCCGGAGGGGGGGGGGAGGGATGGGGGGGGCGGGGTAGCAGGAGGCTGACAGGAACATGGTCCAAGATAGTCAGCAGGTAACTCCAAGTACCTCTCGATCTTCTCCTTATTTAGCCCCCCAGGTCCTTCAGTGTTAGGTTGGTCTCCCAAGCAATTGGCAGTCCTGGGATGGTGGGTCTGCTTCCCGGTTTGGGCAGTCAGGTGGGTCTCAGTGCCACCTGGAGCATGGGCCAGCTTGCTCATGGAGGGCACACTTACTTGCACAAGGAACTTTTTAAAACATACACAAGGCATATTCATCCAGAGTTCAGTTAAATAACACTGAGATGCCACAAAGGCTCCCAGGATCCTTTATGGCTGTGAGCAGCAGACCCCAGATATCCTGGAGCCACAGGTCAGGGAATAATAGTAATAATAATAATTTTAATTATTATTATTATTATTTGGTACCCAGGGGTGCTTAACCACTGAGCTACATCCCCAGCCCTTTTTTATATTTTATTTATAGAGATAGGGTCTCTATAAATATAAGTATATATATATATATATATATATATATATATATATATATATATAAGTTGCTATAAATGAGTTGCTTAGGGCCTCACTAAGTTGCTGAGGCTGGCCTTGAACTTGCAATCCTCCTGCCTCAGCCTCCTTAGCTGCTGGGATTACAGGCATGTTCCACTGCAGGGAATTACCTTTTGAATCAGTCTAAATTTATAGGTGAGACTCCTGGGGTTCCTATCCCATAGCCTGACTGTGTCCAGGTGGGGAGTTGACCTGCCTTTCAGTTCTCAAGATGTGACCCTGCAGCCTCTGCCAGCCTAGCCTCGCTAGCACTTATATGTTCCAATAAGGCCATGGATCTTGTGGTTTTTTCCAGCATTTACTATGTGTTTGTCAGGGGAGTAGACAGTAAATCATATCTTTATGTCGGAAGTAATGGTTTACATGTCACTTCTTGGATTTGTCATTGCATCTATATAGACTGGGAACCCAAGGAGTCTTCACGGTGTAGGGGTAGCTTTAGATGTATAAATCAACGACTTTGATTGATTGATTGATCAATTGATCAATGGATTGATTGATTCAAAGTCTCCCTCTGTTGCCCAGTCTGGTCCCCAGCTCCAGGGCTCAAGGGATCCTCCTGCCTCAGCCTTCTGTGTAGCTGGGACTGAAGGCATGCACCACTGCACCCAGCCCATCTACTTTGGGATCATGTAAAACAAGTCTGCCTTGAAGTACTCATTTATTTATTTTTTTAACACTTTTGATTAGTGATAGCAAACTCAGTTGTGGAGAGAAGTAAAAAAAGAATAAAGAGCTAGCAGACTATAAAAGTTTATCCTATCTGGGCATCATCATGCACACCTGTCATCCCAGCAGCTCTGGAGGCTGAGGCAGAAGGATGGCAAGTTCAAAGCCAGCCTCAGCAACTTAGTGAGGCCCTAAGCAACTCAACGAGACCCTGTCTCAAAATAGAATATATAAAGGACTGGGGATGTGGCTCAGTGGTCGAGTGTCCCTGGGTTCCATCCCCAGTACAAAAAAAAAAAAAAAAATGTTTATTTTAGAGTAAAAGTGGTACAATTGTGCTGGGTGCTGCTCAAATCTAATGTTGACAATATGTTTTTTGTATAAGAAAAATCTGCATTTTATTTACAAGAAATAACAGAGCTATAATCCACTGGTTTATAAGCAATGGTCTAAGTAAATATTCTATGGTACAAATAATAAATAATGATCAATTTATTTTTGCTCACAGTGCAGTATGTGTATCTTGTCTGCTTAATATTAGTCTTGGGTTAGGGATAGAGCTCAGTTAGTAGAGCGCTTGCCTTGCATGCACAAGGCCCTGGATTCAATCCCCAGCAACACACACACACACATACACACACACACAAAATGGTCTCCAAGGAAGAAAAAAGCCCCAAAACTGGTTCATAACACTAACATTGTAGCTATAGGTAAAAATGAATAAACATTAGACTTTCTACATAGCATATATCTCATAGCACATACTTTGCATTTTTATAGTAGGAGAAATAGTGTTCATGTTCAGAAAAATTCAAAAAGGTATGACTTGAAAGTTTTTGACACCATTTTTCTTACCCCCTTAAGAACTTTCTGCTGAAAAATAATGTTTTTCTTTTTTTTATATATGCCAAAAAATAATTTGATGTGTGTCAATTCAGACTTTTCAAATAGATTGCGGATCTTGTGTGTATTATATGAAATCAGTATCCCATAATTTAAAGTGAGGCTCGTGTTACTTTTTTAAACCTAACTATATATCCTAGCTGCCTGTATTGTTGAAGTTTAAAATCAAGTCTTTTGATCAACATTTGCTGTTGGGCTGTGGCTGTCACTCAGGGTGTAGAGCACTTGCCTAGCGTGTATGAGGCCCTGGGTTCAATCCTCAGCACCACATAAAAATAAACAAATAAAATAAAGGCATCCTGTCCATCTACAACTACAAAACAAACAATGAACATCGACAAGACCTTTGCTGTTAGCAGCAAATCCAGTGATTATTTTTAACGAATTAAAATTCATCAGGTGCCTACCTTGAAACCAAATTACACTAAGTGCTGTATTGCTATATTTCGAATAGTAGATGCTTTATAAGTGCTTCTTAAACTTTGATTCCAGAATATTCCATTCCAAAAGAAGTGACCTTTTGGTTTGGTTTTGTGTTGGGATTTTTTTTTTTAAAGTCTTAAAGCCATTCTTGAAGAAATGAGGAAAGTGAAGAGAGATAAATCACTCCCTAATTGGAAAGGGCAGACAAAGAAAATCACCCCAGTGTGAAGCTCTCACCAAAAGGAGTCTGAGCTTCAAAGTGAAACAAAGATCCTCCCATTCAGAAGTTAAGAGCCTATCATTAAAGACCTCAATTAGAGGCCTTTGTCCTTGCTGTGTGCTGGGAGAGACTTGGGGGGAAAAATACAATCCACCTCCTTGAGGGTCAGAGCCACATCGTGCCATTGAAACTCCTCGGAGTTATTTGCTCTTTAGGGTGCTCCTGTTAATTGAGGAAAGGAGACTGCTTCTGAATACTTGGGGGGGGGGTGCATTGGAAAAGTGAAAGGGACACAAAGCAGAGAAAATCCCATCCCAATCTCAGGGCAAAAGCTTGTTCAGAGAACTTCAGAGCAGAGGGCTCACTTTGTACAAGGTGGAAGTGGTTTCTTCTGGCTCCGTTATCAGGACCCATGGTTTCATGTTTCACAAGGATCTTGAGGGGAACAGTCCCTCCTCCCTGGGAATCCTCTTTTTCTCAGTTGGATGAGCCTTTAGAATACATGGTAAGCTCCATTTTTAGGGTCCGATACATGTGTCTCCTAGGGACACTGGATTGTTCTATTTAGCATTTTAACAGTATCGATGTGATTTAAGAATGTATTTAGTTAGTCTCTGGAAATTTTATGCCATATTTTTAGAATTCTCCCTCTGCCCTGAAATCAAAAAAGTCATAGAAGATACATAGTGCAGGTGCAGCTCCGGAGGCTGAGGCAGCAGAATTGTGAGTTCAAAGCCAGCCTCCACAAAAGCAAGACCCTAAGCAACTCAGTGAGACCCTGTCTCTAAATAAAATATGAAAAAGGGCTGGGGATGGGGCTCAGTGGTCGAGTGGCCCTCAGTTCAATCCACGGTACAGCAAAAAGAAAAAAAAAAAGGTAAGAAAAGTAGCTTTCCCCAAGTTTTGGGTTGAACTGGTATATGTTACTACAGGTGGAGGCCTGATATTTGTCTTAAAATGCTTGCTTGCTTTTTTGTTTGTTCATTAATGGTATAGGGGATTGAACTTAGGGCTGCTTAACCACTGAGCCATGTCTTTAGCCCTTTTTTTACATTTTATTTAGAGACAGGGTCTCACTAAATTGCTTAAGGCCTCGATAAGTCGCTGAGGCTAGATTTGAACTTGGGCTCCTCCTGCCTCAGCCTCCCGAGCAGCTGGGATCACAGGTGCACCACCGTGCCTGACTTTTTAACTCTCCATTTGATCCACCCTGTACATAATAAGATGCCCACATGTCTTGGTTTGTAAGGTTAATCCCACTTTATGTCTGTTCCCCCGGGGAAATTATTAATAGCTCTTATTTTCACTCCTGTGAAAAGTGTCCTGGATTGGACAATTAATTACGTGGGTCTCCTGACCCATAAGAAACACGTGAAAGAGTAAAATCTAAACTGGGCCCACCAGAAAATGTAAAAGTTAGAACATCAAAATAAGACCAAGCGTTGGAGCTAGAAGATGTATCATCAGGCTGCTGGGCCCTTTGGTTATTGCTTTGTGTTCAAAATTTGGCCTTGAGCTTCCTGGTAGCTGAAACAAAACAGGTAATAGAATTGCTCCAGTCTGTCAAAATAGAAAAAAAAAAGTCGTGCCAATTCTCTAGGTAAAGCAAAGAACTTTCCTTTTTCATGCTACTATTTTACTTTTAAATTAAGAGACTGATGGAAATAATAATAAACTCAGATATGAGAAAAGGGATCATGAACTACATATTTCCTGCTAGATATAGCAACTGCTGATGAAATCTTACTTAAACGTAGAATACACCTGTGATGATCTTTGCAAAAATCCCTTCTTAACTTTGGCCACACATCATCCCAAACTTCCTCTCTGTTTACAGGTCGTGGTTGTGTAATGTGCCAGAGGAAAGATCCAACTTGGCTCTACAAGATAACAATGACTCTAGCAATTTCCTTCAGTCCTTCCCACCTATCTCTGGCATGCAATATCTTTAAAGGATCTTAATAGTTAGAAAATGTGGTGGATATTATTTTTAAAGCTAAATTTCCTATAATTTGGGGGTTTTGCCTACATGGAAACATTACCCTTCTATCCAGTTAAATCATTAAATTATAAGTTTAATTTTTCCATGATGAAAGATTAAGTTCAGCTGGCTGAAGCTTTCCCTAGCTCACAGTACCATGCAAATTCAGCAGAAACCACATTGTCTAAGAAGAAATGCCATATGGTTCAGAAGGGCACATTTACATTCATTAAAGTCATATGAAGGCTGGGTGTGGTGGCGCAAGCCTGTAATTCCAGTGGCTTGGGAGGCTGAGGGAGGAGGATCACAAGTTCAAAGCTGCCTCAGCAACTTAGTGAGGCCCTGAGCAATGCAGCAAGACCTTGTCTCTAAATAAAATATTAGAAAAGGGCTGGGGATGTGGCTCCCTTCACTCCCCTCTACCTAAAGTACCTCTGTTTTCCCTAGCCCTGCCCACTTACTGTGAGTTAGCATCTGCATATCAGAAAAAAACATTCAGCCTTTGGTTTTTTGGGAGTGGCTTATTTCACTTAGCATGATAGTCTCCAGTTCCATCCATTTACCAGCAAATTTCATTCTTCTTTAAGGCTGAGTAATATTCCATTGTGTATATAGACCACATTTTATTTATCCATTCATCTGTTGAAGGGCACCTAGGTTGGTTCCACAGCTTAGCTATTGTGATGCTCCAATTTCTTTAAAATGATAATCAGTCTGAAACCATGAGCCATGTGGCAGGCCAGATTTGGTTCATGGACCATATTTTGCCATACCCTGTAATAGCTAAGTGTTTATTAAACACTTACAGTATGCAAAGCCATGTTCAAGTGCTTTGAATGTAATGATGAAGTTAACACTCCCTACAGCCCCATGGAGTAGATAGTGGGTGTTTTCTCCCTTTTACGGACTGAAAAGCTGAGGCTTTGTGGGGTGAACCCGCTGGCCTGAGATGGTATGTTGTTAATGCAGAGCTGGAATTCAGACCCTCTGTTTCTAGAACCCATGGAAATAGCCCCTAGCAGGGCTTCCTCTTACAGATAGTGGTTCTTACATGTTGTTTATCTTAAAATGTTTTAATAGAAATAAATCATAGCTTGCTATTTCCTCATACTCCAAATATGCAAAGTTGGAAACTATTAATAAATTTCAAGGATCAGCCAAGATGGTACATAAGAGAACAACAACAACAAAAAATCTGCTTAAAAATGTTGTTTTCAAAGGGGAAAGAAATACGAGATACTTTGGGGCAATTAATAATCATTCTACCACAGTCAGTTGGAACATTAAGAGGCTTTCCATATAGTTCCTACCTCAGGAAAACTTGAAGGGGGTCCTCTTTAGTACATTTAGAACAGGTTTTACCTGAGCAGGTACGTGGGCCTAGTGAGTTATTCATGTGTAATTCGTGATGTTTTATGCATGAGGTGGAAAGGGTCTGGTATCCAGGAAACCAAGCCTGCATCTCTAAGTGGCTATAAAACCAAAAAGCCAAGACTCACAGTTTCTGGGGAGCAGAGCAGAAAGAGCACAGAGCAAAATCCTGGACAACTTGGATTCTAGTCCTGACTCTGCTCCTCTATTGGCTGTGTGACCTTGGGCAAAGTACTTAACTTCTCTGAACCTCCTGTCATCTGGTTTCAAAGTACATTTATTGCCTACCCTTGGGCAATAAATGAAAGTCAAGTGCATACTACAGATTCAAAGCATATGGACTTAGTTGTATTGAACAGGGAAACAGTCAGACATAGACACTGCTGAGTGACATTGCAGTTTGTATTCTTAGATTTCGCTTTTTCATGATAAATAATGGCAAATATTCATCCGACTCCTGATAAGCTCCTCAGATTCATCCAGAAGCCTCACATTTCTTTCACATAAAGATGGAGCCCCAAGACTCCAAGCTTTTAACTATGCTCTCTCCTTACTTTACAATTTTTGATCTAAGGAGCACATTTATAGCAGTATGAGGCCAGGCTTCCTTCCCCCAGGGCCCCTTCCTGAGTCCTGGCCACTCTTCAGGAGCATTGAGTTGCCTTTCCATGTCCAGAGTTGGTACTCAAACGTACTGCTGGCTAAACTCAGATTAGACTGGGCAATGTTGACACATAATGTCACAGTAGCTAACATTTTCCATCATCCATTAGCAACATTCATTTCAAAGGAAGGGATAAGTCGAGGTTCAGAGAGGTTGGGTACTTAGTCTAGAGCTACACAGTGAGGACAGGGCGAGACTGGAATCCAGGTTCTGCTCCAGCACTCTGGCTGCATCTCATTCCATGTTTTATGTCTGTGGAGCTATTTCCCATATCCTAGAAACCCTACTTGAGAAAACAAAGCAAAACAAAGCACTCTTACAGTCAGGATCACTCTCACAAATTCATTGTTTAAAAAAAAAAAAAGGTGAAATTTTTCAGTTCTGGGGTGTCCCGGGGTAGCTGTTCCGGCCCTGGTGGGTGGCCCCAGCATCCTGCGATTCCATGATCTCCCCCTTTTCCGTGGTGAATTTGGCCAGCTGCTGACTGCTGGTCGCTGTGTGGTGTGGTGTCCCCTCCAGATCACACCTGGTGTAGGACTGCAGGCCGAGGGTAAATCTGCACTGTGGTGCTGTCCATGGCTTCACGGTCCCACAAAGATAATGAAGCCAGTATGTCCTCCTCTTGATTCGAGTCAGTCCACAAGGGGACACGTGCCCTTTCTTCCATTTTATTGTAAAACAAACCAACTAAACCAACAGTGGCCAGGAAACAGGGAGGGAGGTGCCGGAGGAGTGGAGGTGGAAGGGCGAGTCCTTTGGCCTCCCGTGACTGCATCTGAAGGTCCAGGTGGCAGTCGGTGAGCAATCCACCTGCTGGGTGGCACTCTCTCGCCATTAGTGTTTTTAAAACCAAAGGACTGCAAATGTTCAGGAGAAAGAGGACTCCCCCAAAACACCACAATTCATAAATCCAGGCTTTGTGTTTTGTATTTTGTACTCTTTTATGCTGACCAATAGCCTTGCAAGGTGGCAACAGCCCATTTCACAGATGTCAATGCCGAGGCTTGCCAGAGTTGCCCAGATGGGCCTCCATGGTCTATATGAAATTAATGCCGGCATCTTTAATAGAGAGCAGAATGCAAACCCAGAATCCGGAGCCCCTGGGCTTCCCTGGGTCATCTGCCACCGCCAGTTTGCTTCTCTCCATCACAGGAAGTCATGAATGGGATAGAGATGTACAGAGAAACCCATTATAACACAGTGCGCATATGTGCATGTTTATATTTTCTCAGGCCCAAAAACGGTGGCAAGTACTGCGTGGGGCGCAGAATGAAGTTCAAGTCCTGCAACACGGAGCCCTGCCTCAAGCAGAAGCGAGACTTCCGCGATGAGCAGTGTGCGCACTTTGACGGGAAGCATTTTAACATCAACGGTCTGCACCCTAATGTGCGCTGGGTCCCCAAGTACAGCGGAAGTAAGTGCCTGCGGGCGAGGGCCCCGGGATGGCGGGCTGGCCCTGGTCCAGGCGCACACATGTCCCATGGAATGACGTCTCCCCTGCAGTTCTGATGAAGGACCGCTGCAAGCTATTCTGCAGAGTGGCCGGGAACACTGCCTACTACCAGCTCCGGGACAGAGTGGTCGATGGAACGCCTTGTGGCCAGGACACCAATGACATCTGTGTCCAAGGCCTTTGCAGGGTGAGTCCCAGATGGCCTTCTCTTCATTGTGCTGTGGATTGTGGTTTATGGCTTTCTTGATAGAACAGCACGCAGTCCTGAGCAGGGCTTCTCAAAGTGTGGTCCCTGGACCAGCATGAGCGGCGGCCAGTATCATCTGATTCTGACCCATGCTCTGTCAAAATTTAAGAACCACTGCCCTGGGTTTTTCCTGACATTTTTAGCCTCTATGGGGGCCCCCAGATCTCCCTGAAGGTTTATTATGCTAATTTACGCTCCTTTAGTGTGACCTGAGTCCAAGGTTAAACCCAAATGCTCTCTGACAGCATTTCCTACAGTGAATAACTGTGTTCCAGAAAAATGTCAGGAGAAGAGCTGGCCTCACTCAGATTCCTCTTTGTGATTTTAACCATAATTGCTTCCACCTGAGACGTGCCTGTTAATTATTCTTGGAAGGTAAATTGAGACACTTCTGGCAGACAGCAACGTCTCTGTGACTTTCGGAGAGCTTGGTACCTCTTCGCAGTTCTCGCTGACCAGAAACTAGTGCTAACTGTGCCAGGTTCATTCAGGTGATGTGTTTCTCCCTGAGTGTGGTCCAGATGCAGATGACAGTTCCTCGGGGACAAGGATTTGATGCACAGAGCCCCTAAGAGCCTCACCCCTTCCCAGCCTGCACCTGCAGGGCAGGTCCCCTGTTCCGTCCAATCCATAGCAACATCTTGAGCTCTTTCTCAAAGAGTGGTTCACACAAAGGGACAAAAGGGACAAGCCTGTGGCCTCTCCTTCCCAGTTCTGCAGGTTGTTGCCAGGGTTGGCCTCAGGGCTCAGTCTGTACTGATCCATGTTGCAGATTCCAGAGGCCAGGGATGGAGCCAAGGTCTCAAGCTGCCACCTGTCAGTCATGCTTTCCCGTGCAAGCTCAGCCCAGGATTTAAACATAGGGGATTTTGCATAATATCCAGAATTCCCAACTTCTCTTGAAAAACAATTTGGAAAATGTCAACAAACGTTCTTGTTGCTAAATGGTCCAGCAGCAGGGAGTGTCAGCAGCTCCTCCCTAAGGTAGAGCCGGAGCTCCTTAATTAAATATAGCCTCTCACCACCCCACTCCTTCTTTTTCTCATTTACTCTGCTTATTCTTTGTTGGGGGTGTGTGTGTTTTTTTCTTTTTTGTTGTTGTTGTTCCAGGGATTGAACCCAGGGGCACTTGACCACTGAGCCCCATCCCCAGCCCTATTTTGTATTTTATTTAGAGACAGGTTCTCACTGAGTTGCTCAGGGCCTTGCTAAGTTACGGAGGCTGGCTTTCAACTCACGATCCTCCTACCTCAGCCTCCTGAGCTGCTTGGTGATCACAGGTGTGTGTCTCTGCACCCAGCCCCACTCTACTTATTCTTCGGTGCTTCTCAAACTTTTCTCTGCAGATGAAGTCTTGTTAAAATCCCAACTCTGATTCGGTAGATCTGAGTGACTCCTGAGAGTCAGCATTCCTAACAACATCAAGGATGTTCACGGCTGCTGGACCAAATTTTAAATGGCAAAGCCATAGATGATTTGAGTTCTCAACCCTGGAAAGTTTCAAGGGCCATCTCTTCCTTGTGGTTTTGAATTTGCATCATTGAAAGAAACGCATTCGTTGCCATTTTATTATCTCATTCATGCTTCACCATTTATTTCTAATGTTTTCTTTCTTTCTTTCTTTTTTTTTAAAGCAAGCTGGATGTGATCATGTTTTGAACTCAAAAGCCCGGAGAGATAAATGTGGGGTTTGTGGTGGCGATAATTCTTCATGCAAAACGGTGGCAGGAACATTCAATACCGTACACTATGGTAAGAATCTGCTTCTAAAGATTGTGAGAAGGAAAAGGTTTTTTTTTTTTGTTTTTTTTTTTTAAGTTGAATTGTACATATCATGTGAAAGTATTAATGTCAAGCGTAAAATCAATCTGGTTACAGTCCATTTTCATCCATCTGGCCGTAAAGTACCTAATAATGAGAATCACATTTCCTTGTGGCCCACCTTGGCTTCCGCTCTTAGAGAAAATGAACCACTGAATTTTTGTTAAATTCTTTTCAGGTTACAACACTGTGGTCCGAATTCCAGCTGGTGCTACCAATATTGATGTGCGACAGCACAGTTTCTCAGGGAAATCGGAAGATGACAACTACTTGGGTGAGTCGGGGTGCCCCTGCCGTTTTCTTCAGACATTCCGGTTTTCTGGGGCAGTTGGCACAAACTCCTCCCTCCTCTCTGACGCCTTCCGATGGGTTTTCATAAAAGCAGTTGATCTCGAAATTCATTATTTTACTTCACGCTCGTACATAACCCCCTCAGAATATTGATTCAGGGGTTAAGTGGTTGCCCCGTTCAATATCAAGGGATTGACTCTGGATTTTACAAAATAGATAGGCTTCAGGTCAAATTCTGAAAGAACTTACCCTGGAAGTTTAGCATAAAAATCATTGGTCTCGTTGAGGCTTTTGAAAAATCTTTCCTGTGGGTAACTGACTTAGAGATATTACTTGACTTAATTTTTTTTTTATCAGCTCCTTCCAAGTGCAGAACATCGGCGGGGGGAGGCTATTCAATATTTTATTATGCCTGGTGATTCCAGAAGATTCTGTAGTGGCACATATTTTTTCTGAAGTCATTACTAGAATAGCTAACTTTGTTGCTTTACAGATTCTTCATCCTTCTCTCTGGATTAATTCACATTTTTTTTTCCTGTACTGGGAATTGAACCCAGAGGTGCTTAACCACTGAGCCACATCCCCAGCCCTTTTTTATATTTTATTTAGAGACAGGGTCTCACTGAGTTGCTTAGGGCCTTGCTAAATTGCTGAGGCTGGCTTTGAACTTGTGATCCTCCTGCCTCAGCAACCTGAGCTTAATTCACATTTTTCCTTATATTTAACCACTCCATTAACTTATTTCTATTTCTTGCATTAAAGGCACAACATGCCAAAGGCACTATGTTAATTTTTACCTGTTTTTCCCCACCAGTCTTACTTCAATTAATTATTCTATAAACTTCCATAAATTGTTATAAATTTACCCAGTTGCCTTTTAAAAGAAGGACCTATGGGAGAGCAGAAAGACTGGAAGGGATTCCACTGGTCACCTTGCGCTGGCCTCTTCCTAGCCATGCCTTGTACCTAGGGAAGAAATCAGGCAGGCAATCTTGCTGAAAAGCCAATTTTTAAAAGCAATTAATATACTTTCTTTCCAATGGTGTTCAGGCAGGAATTTATTTATCCATGTGAATTCAGCCTCTCTAGAAGCTCAGGCCAAGCACTTGAACGCACTGAGCTAGTTAGTGAGTATTTGTTGAATCAAATTAAAACCTACATCTGTGTTTTGAGATGTCTCCATGAACCCGCGCATTGATAGACAGAGACCCTTCCGCCGAGCTCCCTAATCAAGCATGATATTCGTGCCTGATTCCCTGATAGTGTTTTCTGCTATGGATCTCCATTCATTCGCTGATTTAATAAGCACCAGCGTTATTTGAGGCACAGTGAACAAGAGAGACAAAAAAATAAAATAAAATCTGTTTCTTAGAACCTGTATTTCCATGGAAGAAGGTAGACAATAAAGAATAAGTTAATAAACGAACAAAGATGTAAGTATTTATAGTATATAATAGTATGAAGGTGATACGTGGGATTAGAAATCAGAGCGTGATAAGGAAAGTTGGGATCTGAAGGCTGGGTGGGAGGGCAGGAGTGTGGCTCAGTAGCAGAGCTTCTGCCTGGCCTGCATGAGGCCCTGGGTTCAAAGTAAAAGGAAAAAAGAAAAAGAAAATCAAGGATGGGACTGAAATGTTTGGAGTGGAGGAAGACAGAACGCGCCATCTTGGGCAAAGAAAGACATTCCAGTGGGGGGAACAGCCCTTGCGAAGTCTTTGAGGCAGGCGCGTGCCTAGGTCCGTGCAGAGCAGACAGGGACCAGTGTGACTGCAGGTGGTGGGCAGGGAGGGGGGTCCGAGGTGGGGAAGCAGGTAACAGGACTAGACCATTCACCCAAGGCCCTTGTGAGGACTTGGGCTTGGACTCTGAGAGACCTGGGGAGCTCCCGGGGGTGTTGCATCAAGGGACGATGGATGCAATCACACTTAGGCTGTAAGGAGAACTCTGGCCATTACCGTGCTCGTAGATGATGGGGCAGGCACGTAGGGTAGAGGGGTGGCCTGGCTTAGGGAGCTGCTGCAAAACTCCGAGAGAGAGATGTTCATGGCTCTCCCCCAAGCAGGAATGTGGAGATGGACCTATGTGGTTAGGTCCTGGGGACATTTTAGAGTTCAAACCATCATGACTTTTTTCTTCTTTTTTTTGATCCCAGAGATTGAACCCTGGGTGCTTAATGACTGAGCCACATTCCCCAGCCCTTTTTTGTACTTTATTTAGAGACAGGGTCTCACTGAGTTGCTTAGGGCCTCACTAAATTGCTGAGGCTGGCTTGGAACTCGCAGTCCTCCTGCCTCAGCCTCCAGAGCCACTGCAATTACAGGAGTGTGCCACCGCCCCCAGCTGACTGTGATTTGTTGATGGATTAAATATGGAGGTACATGGGAAAAAAATAGCCGAAGATGTCTTGGAGTCAAAAGGAGTCAAAAACTCTCTGGTTTTGACATGATCAATGGAAAGGAAGGTGTTGTTCTCCACTGAGATTGAGATTTGGAACTTATTTGTGCATGTGACTACCAGTGTTTTAGGTCAGGACTGTGTCTTTGCATCTTTGCTCCCGAGACAAAGCCTGTACATGATAGGTGCTCAGTAAATGATTGCTGAATTGTTCAACAGGCATCGCTCCTACCGTGAGCTTCATGGGGAACGGAGCTACCTTGGAGATATTAGATTCATTTCTTCTTCTAAAGACCATAAAAAAGTCTTCCTTGTAATTAAGCGCCCTATCGCTGCCTCAGGTTTTTGCCACCCTAAATACCCAACATCTGGCAACATTATAGGAAAATGAACGAGCCAGATGCAGGGGTACACACCTGTAATCCCAGAGTCCCAGGAGGCTGAGGCAGGAGGATTGTGAGTTTGAGGCCAGTCTGAGCAACTTAGTGAGGCCCTAAGCAACTCAAGGAGACCCTGCCTCTAAATTAAAAATAAAAAAGGGTTGGGGATGTGACTCAGTGCTTAAAAGTGCCCCTGGGGTTCAATCCCCAGAGCCAAAATAATTAATTAATTTAAAACAAAAAGAAAATTACCAGGGTGAGGGGTATAGCTCTATGGTAGAGCATGTGCTTAACAGGCACAAGGCCCTAGGTTCAATCCCTGGCACCACAGTTACAGCAAGAAATCAAATAAGACAATGGACAAAGTTCTTGGAAACCATTTTCAAATGATATTTTCAAGGATTTCTCATTTCCCCACGATGCAAAATGGGTCAAAGATTTTTCTCCATGTACTTGGTTATAAATTTGTGCCTGTGACTGTGACCTTCCCTGCTTCCTAATTAAATCAAGCAGCGCTGCACTCAGCTTCCTGGGGAAATTGAATTCCTGCTAGCTGAAAGCCATGTTGAGCTGTTTCTTTCCTCTCCTCCAAAGGAAGAGGATTCTCTTCTCTCCTCCTCCTGTTTGGGAAAATGATCGCTCCCCAATTAAGCAGCCTCAATTCCGTTCAACTCAATCAGCCCGTGTCAGGTGTTGGAATTTGGGGTGGGCCTCCAGAGAACCTCTTATTCATCACCAGAGGATCTTAATCTCCTTGCAAAGGATGAAAACAAAATTAAAGAAGATCTGTCATCTGGAACAGGCAGTCCTAGCCACTCGTGGCTCTTTAATGGAATAGTAGGAGGATGTCCCTTGTTGGCCTAAGAACAGTCTCTCTGGACACCAAAGTGCCCAAGCACAGATTTGGAGACACAGTCCGTCGAGTGTGAAAGTGGAGACTTCAGAGCCTTTGAACCTCACAGAGGTGTCTTAGAAGGCAGGAACAATTTGATGTCATCAAGGCTGGGGCGTGGAAATTTACCCTTGGCTTAGAGGAGATATGGCAGGAAGGGGACCGCAGCCCGCGCTGGGTTAAGCATGTGCCCGTCTCTCGGCTCTTCTGTTGCTAAGCGATCTTCACCCTGATCCCTGGTGGTTTTATCAAATCAGTCCAGCCAGGCGCTTCCTGTGTGTTTTGATGAGGGAGCAGTTTCCAGAAGACAGCGCCTTTGTGGCAATCGGGTTCTGATGGGTGCAACGGGGAGGAAAGCCCCCAGGAAATCAGCTCTCCTAATCGCATTAGCGGGAGGTGGAGCAGGAGGCTCTGATTTTCAGGAAACTATTTGTTTCACAAGGTACCGAAGCAGAAAGCCTCCCAGTCAAAGGTGGTCCTTGCACATAGACCCCTCCCTGCCACGGGGTGAAAGCCAAGTTGTAGGGCCTCACTGTGTTCTGAGCCTATCCCTTGGGGAAAGTGCTCATTTCTTTTTGTCTTTTTTTTTTTTTTGGGGGGGGTGGGGAGTACCAGGAATTGAACCCAGAGGTGCTTACCCACTGAGCCACATCCCCAGCTCTTTTTTATGTTTTATTTTGAGACAAGGTCTCACTGAGTTGCTTAGGGCCTCGCTAAGTTGCTGAGGCTGGCCTCAAACTTGCGATCCTCCTGCCTCAGCCTCCCAAGTTGCTGGGATGACAGGCCCTTGGCTAGCTGTGGCAGTGGGAAAACAGAAACTGATTCAGTGAAAGATAAAGCAGAAATTTTCTTTCACCGGATGGCTTTACGTGTACCTGGGATGGAGCCGTTTACCAGAGCAAATCCCAGCATTCCAGCTCCTGGCCTCTTCTCTCTTCCCTGTGAACTGAAATAAGAAAAACAGGGTGCAGGATGGCACCCCCCAGGTGGGCGTAATTAGGAGAAGAAGCCGGGTTAACCTTCGCCGGCACCGCCGTTCGGTGAGCATGGACAAGGCTCCACTGTGGCTTCCTTGGCGGGGCTGGCATGTGACATTCCACTTCCCCGTCTCCAGTGAAGCGTCAGCGGCATAGCCAGCACGTAACTTAGCTTGAAAGAATTAGGTGATTTGGTTGACAGCACATCATGCCGTCACCGTGTAAGTGACCCGCTTGAGGGAGCAGCCCCAGGACACCTAAGGTGCCATGGAAACCACTCGTCCAGTCAGTGACCCACTGGAGCTCCGGCATCCTGCATGGCAGGTGGGCCTCACACTGCAGGGGCTGCAGCGAGACAGGGCTGCCCGAGGGTTACACCGACTGGGGACAGTCACTGGGCTGGAAGCACTCTGTTCTCCCTGTCACCAGTGTCAGGTTCAATCCGTCACTCGCTCTTTATTATTTTTTTGGGGGGGTACCAGGGATTGAACCCAGGGGCCCTCGACCACTGAGCCCCATCCCCAGCCCTATTTTGTATTTTATTTAGAGACAGGGTCTCCCTGAGTTGCTGAGGGCGTCACTGCTGCTGAGGCTGGCTTTGAACTCATGATCCTCCTGCCTCAGCCTCCCCAGCAGCTGGGATGATAGGTGTGCAACACCACTTCATCAGTAGCACACCTACTAAGGGTAGGGATCTTTCTTGGGTTTACAAAAGCAATTTTTTAAACGATTTCTTTACTCCAAGGCATAGGCTGTCTTGCAGGACCCACTATTTAAATTTTTTAAAAGCTGCAGACCTAAACAAATTTGATTTCCACTTGTAAACCAAGGAAAGGATGCATAAATTCATTCATTGAACATTTGCCGAGACCCTTCTTGGAAAATGTTAGTGGTTCCCAAATTCTGGAGAGAGATTTTCATGATTAGAAGCCACCTGGCCTCGGGAAGTTAATTTAATACCAAGTCAGGCCTGTTTCTCCCTTAAGTCAGGAATAGCAGAGTTGATGTCACGGAGGTGTGGTGAGGGGACCGTGCGTGGGAATCCATGATGACCTTCCAGGTTAAATGGCCCTGAAGCAGTGGATGACTGGGAAGTAGAAGGCCAGCTCCCTAAAAATGAAACCAAGGTTTTACCACAAATAGAAGGAAAAGATATGTTTAGAATTTTATCTTGAGAAGTAAATCTGAAAGCATGCAAATAAGATTCTTTTTAGCTCATATTCAACAAATTACATTTTAATTGGAGTCATTCCAAGTTTTTTAGATTGGAGATCAAAAGCCATCAGAACATATATTTCTGTAAGTTTTGCAGTCAGTTTGTATGACAAGACAGTAGTGCCTTCTTCTCTTAGAGTGTGACTCCATGAGCCTTTTAATTTTTATTTTATTTTGTTTTATTTTAGTTTTTGGTACTGGGGATTATACCGAGGGGCACTCGACCACTGAGCCCCATCCCCAGCCCTTTTTATATTATATTTAGAGACAGGGTCTCACTGAGTTGCTTAGGGCCTCTCTAAGTTGCTGAGGCTGGCTTTCAACTCACGATCCTCCTGCCTCAGCCTCCAAGCTGCTGGGATGACAAGCGTGGGCCACCGCGCCTTGCTTGCCATTTTGATATAACTCTACATTGTGAAATAATCACCAAAACAGAGTAATGTACATGTTTTAGCATAGTGACCATTTCCTTACCTGTATTTGTGCATGTGCACATCCAGCTAGAAATGACACTGATGGCCGACCCTCTGGACTCATTGTCACCGTGCAGTACACCAGATCTGCAACATTTATCATCTTTGAACCCTCTCCCCATTCCCCCTCCTTCCAGCCCCCTGTAACCACCGTTCGACTGTCTGATTCTCTGAGTTTCATTATCTTAGTTTTCATCTTTGCTTCAATTCAGCCAGCTCCTCATCTGGCCAGTGTTTTGGCACTTGATCCAATCAGTTTTCCAATTCTACTTCTTCAGCTTCACTGATTCTTTTATCTTTTGCAAGATTTGGAGAACATTCACTTTAAAAAAAAATAAGTGTTTAGTGAGCACCTGCTATTTCCCCTTAGGAAGCACAGTAGTAGTGGGTGCCAACACCCACAGTGCCCACACCCTGGCCCCTGGGGGCCTCCAATAGTCGTGCAGAATCAAAAGGTCATGGAGAAAAAAGAGGATGGGAAAAGAGATGGAATCTGTGCTGACCCTGAGTGACATTTGCAGTTTGGAAAAGAATGGTCCAGGCAGGTGTCTGGGACTGCTACTGTGTGACGAGTTAACTCAAGACATAGTGCGACATCACAGGGTAGGAAATGTCTCTGTTTCTCACATCGGGAATGTGGGAGCAGTGTAACGGGGTGTTTCTGGCTTGAAGGCTAGTGTGAGGTGATGACACTTAGGGCTGTGGTCTCATCCAAAGGCTCCCCTGGAGCTGGAGGATCCGCTCCTGGCTGGCTCACGCTCCTCTGGTTGGCAGAAGGACTCAGTTCTCTGAGCTTCCCCAGGGTGTTTGCTGGAACCTCAGTCTGGGCATCCCATCACCTGGCAGCTAGCCTCCCCTAAAACTAGAGATCAAAGGAAGAGAGAGGCCAGGCATGGTGCACAGGCCTCTAACCCCATTAGCTTGGGAGGCTGAGGCAGGAGGATTGCTAGTTTGAAGCCAGCCTCAGCAATTTAGCAAGGCCCTAAGCAACTCAGTGAGACCCTGTCTCTAAATAAAATACAAGAAGGGTTGGGGATGGGGCTCAGTGGTTGAGCACCCCTGGGTTCAATCCCTGGTTTTCCCAGTCATTCCTGTTGGGTGTGGGGGTGGGGCAAGACAGGGTGACTGCCTGGAAAAAAGGATCCGCAGGGCCACGTGTGAGGCTGGCCGCCACCCTGGGCCTCATTGGAAAGGTGGCACTGAACATCACATTGTGTATTTGCAGATAACACCATTTGTCAAACAGAGGTGACCTCACAAAGACTCAGCAGGCTCAAGTAATGAAGGCATACATCAAGTGTGCCTGTGTGGGAGGGGATTGAAGACCTTCTCCACGCACGGCTACGCATTTTCAAATCAAATGAAATACATTTGCTTCCATCTCTGGTCCTGTGACTGTGGGGCTTCTACAGGGAGCCCCAGGCTCACCAGGACCCCTGTATTCTGTTTCTCTTAGTTTTCTCTATTCCACTTGGTTTCCATAGTCACCATTAGGAGTAGATGTTTTAATCTCCATTTTAAAGAAATGGAGTCAGAGAGGGAAAGTGGATTGCCTAAGGACACACAGCTGGCATTGGGCGAATCAGGAATGTGCTCTTGCCTATGGGGCTGCAAAGCCCCTGATCTGTGGACTCTCTGCCTGTTAGGGTGGGATCTCATTTTCTTTTTCTTTTGTTTACTATTTTTTATTTGATCTTTTTAGGTATACATGGCAGTAGACTATATTCTGACCTATTATGCATACATAGAGTCTAACTTCCCATTCTAGAGGTTGTGCATGATGTGGAGTTTCCCTGGTCGTGTGTTCATATATGAACACCCAGGAAAGTTCTGTCCCATTCACTCCACTGTCTTTCCCATTCTCATCCCCCTCCCTTCCCTTCATTCCCTTTTGTCTCATCCAGTGACCTTCTATTCTTCCCTCCCTACTTCCAATTGCGTGTATCAGAGAGAACATGTGGACTTTGGTTTTTTTTGGATTGGCTTGTTTTGCTTAGCATGATGATCTCCAGTTCCATCCATTTACTGGCAAATACTATCATTTCATTCTTCTTTAAGGTTGAGTAATATTCCATTGTATATATATACCACATTTTCTTTATCCATTCATCTGTTGAATGGCACCTAGGTTGGCTCCATAGCTTAGCTATTGTGAATTGATGTGGCTGTGTCACTGTAGTATGCTGATTTTAAGTCCTTTGGTATATACTGAGGAGTGGCTAACTGGGTCAAACAGTGGTTCCATTCCTAGTTTTCTGAGGAATCCCCACACTGCTTTCCAGAGTGGTTGCACTAATGTGTACTCCCACCAGCAACGCATGAGTGACCCTTTCCCCCACACCCTGGCCAACATCTGCTGTTACTCGCATTCTTGATGATCGGGGTATTTCATATTTCACACAATGCTCATGGGCAGCGGATCAGCAGGTTCTCTGTCCTCACCCACAGCTTTATCAAGCAGTAAAGGCGAATTCCTGCTCAACGGAGACTTCGTTGTCACCATGTCCAAAAGGGAAATCCGCGTTGGGAGCGCCGTGATTGAGTACAGCGGGTCGGACAACGTGGTGGAGCGCATCAACTCCACGGACCGCATTGAGCAGGAGCTGCTGCTGCAGGTAGGACCTGCCCTGGCCACGCCCCTCCGTGGGCTGGGGCTTGGCTGACCGCCCCATCTCGCCGCCCGCAGGTTCTGTCGGTGGGGAAGCTCTACAACCCCGATGTGCGCTACTCCTTCAACGTTCCCATCGAAGACAAGCCTCAGCAGTTCTACTGGAACAGTCACGGCCCCTGGCAGGCATGCAGCAAGCCCTGCCAAGGTACCGCCTGTGGGTTTCTTTTGTGGGGATTCCAAGAGGAGGAGGAGGAGGAGGAGGAGGAGGAGGAGGAGGAGGATTTTTGGTACCAGGTTTGAACTCAGGGGCACTTGACCACTGAGCCCTATCCCGAGCCCTATTTTGCATTTTATTTAGAGACAGGGTCTCACTGAGTTGCTTAGGGCCTCCCTTTTGCTGAGGCTGGCTTTGAACTCACAATCCTCCTGCCTCAGCCTCCCCAGCACCTGGGATTACAGGCCTGCACTTCTATATATGAGAGAAACAAACAACCCTTGACCTTCTGAGTTTGGTTTATTTCCCTTAACATAATGATCTCTAGTTCCATCCATTTTATTGCAATTGACATATTTCATTTTTATTTATGGCCAAAAATAAAACTCCCCTGTGTATATAGACTGCATTTTCTTTATCCATTCATCCACTGGTGGACACCCAGGCTGATTCCATAGTCTGCCTGTTGTGGATTGTGCTGCTGTAAACCTGGCTGTGCATGTGTCACTGTGGGAAGATGACTTTAATTCTTCAGGATAAACACAGACGGGTGATACATTTGGGTCCTGTGGTGGTTCCTTGCCTAGTCTTCTGAGAAACCTCCATAACGGATTTCCACAACAGTTGTACCCATTTTCGATCCACCCACAGTGTGAAAGTGTCCCTTTCCCCCAGCATCCTCTCCAGCACTTATTATTTGTATTCTTGGTGACTGCCATTCTGACTGGAGCTACATGAAATCTTGGTGTTGTTTTGGCAAATTCGGGTTATGCTAGGTTCTCTTATCTAAAGAGCTTGGCACATAGGCGCATAGCCAAGCAAGATCCATTTGCCACTTTAATTTTTCAGAGACATGGTTTCAGTAGTCACATACTCTTGATTTTTTTTTTCTTTTGCTAAATTAAGGTCAGCAAACTACAGCCACAGGGCCAATTCCAGCCTGCCACCTGCTTTTATAAATAAAGTTTTATTGGAACACAGCCATACCCATGTGTTTATGGATCATCTGTGACAGCTGTATTTTCTGCCCTGTCATGTTGAGACGTGCAACAGAGATCGTGCTGGCCAATAAAACTGAAAATATTTATAAGCTGGTGTTCCTGTAGAAAATGCTTTCCAGACCTTAGTCTAAGTAGGACTGTGTGCTCTGAATAATTTTTTTGTCCTCTTTGCTCAGGGGAGCGGAAACGGAAACCTGTTTGCAGCAGGGAATCTGACCAGCTTACCGTGTCGGATCAGAGATGCGATCGGCTGCCCCAGCCAGCACCCATCACGGAAGCCTGCGGCACAGACTGTGACTTGAGGTGGGCCCTGCTCTTTGCTGCTGAGTGGAGAGGGTCTTGTGGGGAGTCTGGAAGGAGGTCTGGGCGTGTGGATCAGAAGGAGGGGGTGTTCAGCTTTAATCTTTCTTCCTAATGTTTTGTGAGATGAGCTCTAGCCAGTTCTCCATCTGTTAGATCCTATCATCTAAGACACATGTTGGTGGATTTCTTGTTCTCCTAAGAATTAAAGAGTCAGTAGAGTGTGGCCTTTGCCAGAAAACATTCCACCTTGATCTTCAGAACTCACTGATGAGGCATTCAAAGTCAGCAAGAGGTGGGGAAACTCACCAGGCACACGCCTGTCATCCCAGTGGCTCCGGAGGCTGAAGCAGGAGGATCAAGAGTTCAAGACCAGCCTCAGCAACTTAGCAAGGCCCTAGGCAACCTAGAGAGACCCTATGTCTAAATAAAATATAAAAAGGGCTGGGGATGGGGCTCACTGATAAGTGTCTCTAGGTTCAATCCCCAGTACCAATAATATTAATAATAATTAAATTTTTAAAGTAATAATTAAAAGTCTTCAAAACAAAGAGTAGGGGGACTTTATCCCTCTATGCCCATGATGTTCTGCATCCACCCAGGGCACATTCCACCCAGAACATGAACTCTTAGGCATGCCAAAGTTGCATGGAGGAGCAAGAAGAAAGTCTATTTAGAACTATCTATATTCAAACAAGTATTTATGAAAGCAAAGTCGGAGGCAGGAAGTATTGAATGGGTGGAGAACCCTGAAGCTTTCCTCTTGTCTGCAAGGTTAACAGTGTCCTAGTGAATAATTTGGGGGTGCCTTGTGTATTCTACATGTCAAGTGAACTCAGTTAAGGTGTGCTGCCATTTCATCCCTCTTTTGCAGTCCAGAGATTAGGGACAGAGAGTGGTATATGGCTGTGTTAAGGTCTCACCATTCATAAGCCACAGAGTGACTACTTGAACATTTTGAAGTTCCCACAGCACTGGACCAAAGCCTTCAAGTAGTGCAGGCTTCCTATAGTGCTGGATGGAGTGCAGATTTGGAGGCATGGAGAGAATAGTGCTGTGATCGATTAGTAATGCCTGTCATGGGAGTCAAAGTGGAAATTGTGATACGTGTGCTGTCTCTCAGCCAGTCCTGACCTGAGGCTCTGACTTCAAAGACAGGACTTTTCCACCCTCACATACTTCTTCTTGACACATTGTTACTGATCTGCTTGCTCATTGGCTTGCTCAAAAGCATTGACCAAATATTTATTGTAAAAAATAAAATAAAATATTAGTCATTAAAAGGTGAACATTCACACTAACAACATTCTTTTTTTCAGTGAAGTAGGGGGTACCAGCTCAGGGGCACTGGACCACTGAGCCACATTCCCCAGCCCTACTTTTTGTATTTTATTTAGAGACAGGGTCTCGCTGAGTTACTAAACACCTCACTTTTGCTGAGGCTGGCTTTGAACTCATGATCCTCCTGCCTTGGCCTCCCTAAGTGCTGGAATTACACCTTGTCACCATGCCCAGTTTAAGACAATATTTTTATTTTTCAGAAGTGTCCATATAAACCCATTTGCTTCAGTCGATTCAGTTAAATTATAATTAAAGATCCTTTCAGAAAAAATAATCAGTGGACTAACTGCTGGACTGAATTAATCACTAATGTTTGGCAGAAAAAAACTAAATTGGTGCATAGATACCTTGAGATACAGCCTTAATAAATTGAGAAAGGTAGCACTTTCAGGTTAGCCTTCTTTCTAATTATCACTGTGAAAGTCATGGGATATGGTCACGTGTTTTCTAAGAACTATTTTTAACACTTATGTTATTCTGTTAATAGTCTCATATTGATAGGATAGTATTTATATTTCTTATTGCCTTGTATATAATCTTATATTATCCTATTGATAGAACTAATAGCCTGTTGATTTCTCAAATACCACTATAACACAGGTATCGTCACCATTTTACAAATGAGACTAAGAGAAGTTAAGCAGATTGCCCAAGGTCACACAGCCATCTAGTGCCACCTTCACTCTGTCAACCTGATGTCAATATAATCATGATTTGTGCTAATTATTTTGGGTACTGGGGATTGAACCCGGGTTTGCTTAATCACTGAGCCACATCCCCCAGGCCTTTTTAATATTTTATGTAGAGACAGAGTCTCACTAAGTTGCTTACAGCCTTGCTATGTTGCTGAGGCTGGCTTTGAACTCAGGATCCTCTTGCCTCAGCCTCCTGAGCCTTTAGGATTACAGTCATGCACCACCATGCCCAGCTCAAACCAGTGTTTTTGAAAAGCCCTACCAAACAAGTCCTTCCGCAGGTGGACATGCATAACACTGATCAATATCCTGGAGGCTCTGAGAAGATCTGTAGTATGGAGACCAGTTTAATTTGGTAGTTCTCAAAATCATTTAATCCTACAATCCTCACACAGACACCCCCTCATGAACACAATCACACATTGTCCCTCAGTTTCCACTTATTGACATTGGAGGATGCTTTTCTGAAATATACTCATTAAATATAATTGTGTTTAATTTCCCACGAAATGAACTCAATGGTCTCAGCACACCGAAGTTAGACCACTGTCCAGAAAGAGAATCTAAGTCATGTGACAGTGTTTGGGAAGAATTTTTCACATGACCTTCCCACAGACTCTGCAAGCCTCTCTGCTGAGATTCTGGGCATCGTGTGGACATCAGGGAAATGACTTTGGTTGGGGTGCCCGCCTCCTTGATCCTGGATGGAAAACAACCCATCCCAGAGGGTAGCCAAGATCAAAGTGCAGCTGAAAGTTCAAGATGCTTCTGTTGAGTTGGTCCACACTCTTGCCCTCCTTCCTGCAGGAAGGGAGAGTTTGCCCCTGTTAACTGTGATGGGATGAGATGAAGCGCTGGTCCGCAAGCCCCGCTGAATGTGTTCTGGATTAGAACAAAATCCTCTCAATACTGTGTCCCTCCAAGGGAAAGTCTCTAGCCCACTGTCCTTGCCAATGGGCACCTCTGACCTGCTTCTGAGCATCAGTGAGAAATTCCATGACAAGCATATCATGGAATAATCCTCTCCCCCTCCCCGCCCCCCCCCTCCTTTTCCAAACAGTTGTACATAGAAGAACTCTTAAAACACTGGAGATGAGGAAGCCATCTAATTTCCAAGCAGTAGCCAAATTCCAAAAGTCAAATCCAGTGAAGATTATCAAGAAATCATCTTTTTTGAATTTGTAAATCCAATAAACAAAATTGTATTTCAAGTTCTTTTATTTAGTTTATTCCTGCTGAGGTAAGAGTTCCAAGCCAGCCTCAGCAAAAGTAAGGCCCTAAGCAACTCAGTGAGACCCTGTCTCTAAGTAAAATACAAAATAGGGCTGGAGATGGGGCTCAGTGGTCGATTGCCCCTGAGTTCAATCCCTGGTACAAAAAAAAAGACTCATTTTATTAATTTTCCTTTTTTTAAAAAATTTAAGCCCTGCTGACTTTGTTTCTAGGGTGTTGAAAGAAACTGACAATTTATTGGTATTTATTGAGCACTTACTGTGTGCCTACAAAGTTTCATTAAAGATACTGGGGATACAAAGATTTATAGATTCAAATCTAAATTTATAAGTGTATAATTAATTTTTAGAACATGTAGATCACATCTTTGCAGAATTTAGTCTTTGTTCTCAGATAATAGTGCACAGGGTTTAACATACTGGAACTTCACAGTTGCAGTGCGAATTCTTCATTCTTTGAGTAACTCACAGAATGTTCATTGAGCACTTCCTAGCCTGGGCCTAGGCAGCAGAGGCTTCCTGTGATTTGTTTCCAAGAGAAGTTCTCTGTTAGAAGAAGCCAAATGAAATGCTAGATTGCATGAACTTTTTAAATATAAAGTGGCTCTTTCTGCTCTGTTGAATTCCAAAAAAAAAAAAAAAATTTTTTTTTCTTTCTTGGTTCCTTAAATTTTAGATGGACTGTATCAGAGAGAATCTTCCCAAAGATAGAGACTCAGGTCATCATTCTTTGACTTCGGCGCATACCCACAGCCATGAAAAATACATGGATAGTTGGTTTGAAATTGGATTTCAGTAACTCACTGGGGCTTTGAGCTCCAGGGTATTTGAATTAAGGAAGAAAAAAGAACTCACCTCTTCCACTCGTTGGCTGAGGCACATGTGTTTTAACAGATGCATTGGTTTCTCTTTATTCTGCTTCACAGGTGGCACGTGGCCAGCAGGAGTGAATGCAGTGCCCAGTGTGGTTTAGGTTACCGCACATTAGACATCTTCTGTGCCAAATACAGCAGGCTAGATGGCAAGACTGAGAAGGTGGATGATAGTTACTGCAACAGTCACCCCAAACCAAGCAACCGGGAGAAATGCTCAGGAGAATGTAACACAGGCCGCTGGCGCTATTCGGCTTGGACTGAAGTAAGTTGGTTCTCATAGAAGAGCGTCCTCTTGGATCAGTTGGAGGAGTTGATGGTGACTCCTTGCAGGATTGCATTAAGAAGCCCATTTAGCTGGAAGCGGTGGTGCACACCTGTCATCCCAGCAGCTGGGGAGGCTGAGGCAGGAGGTTTGTGAGTTTAAAGCCAGCCTCAGCAAAAGCGAGGCCCTAAGCACTTCAGTGAGACCCTGTCTTTAAATAAAATATAAAAAGGGCTGGGGGTGTGGCTCAGTGGTTAAGCATCCCTGGGTTCAATCCCTAGTACAAAAAAAAAAAAAAAAGGAGAAGAAGAAGCCCCTTTTAGGCTGTATAGAAAAGAGTACTGCGATTGATATTTAATGCCTGAACCCATTCAAGCTCAGCTGGAAAGAATCCCATGATTGATTGGTAATGTCTGGCCCGGACAGAACAATTGCAGAAGTGGTAATAACAATTGCAAGTGGTAAAACAAATCAACCAGCCACTTTTCTAGACCTCTTGGGCCATTTCCAATTTTATTTTCCTATGCCAATGAGCTACTTAGGACTTCAATATAAACCCAGGTATTAAATTGAGAGCATGCAAAAGAAATCTCTCCAAAAGAAAAAGTAGAGTCAGCCGGGTGGGTTGGTGGTTAAGGTTAGAAGAGGATCTTGACTCCACAGTGGTCTGATTGGACTTTTCGTTACAGTGTTCTAAAAGCTGCGATGGGGGAAGCCAAAGGAGAAGGGCTATTTGTGTCAACACCCGCAATGACGTCCTGGATGACAGCAAATGTGCCCATCAGGAAAAAGTCACCATTCAGAGGTGCAATGAGTTCCCGTGTCCACAGTGGAAATCGGGAGACTGGTCAGAGGTGAGATGGAGGAGCTGCTGATCCCCAGGTGGCCTCGGATAGCTGACTGTGGGTCCCCCTGGTGTGTTGAAGGCTGAGCCTACAGAACCTCTCCCTCCACCCCTTGAGAAAGCAGCAGGCCCGTTCCCCACCCAGGCTGTGGCTGAGTACTGGCTGGGCCTTGTCCACCAGAGACCTTGACGTCACGGGGTGTGTCTGGATCCACCATGATGGCTTCTGTTGGTGACTTTGGAGTCCCAGCTCTCACCCTCCCCCCTCGTTGAGCCCTAAGTATCTGAGTGGGAGTCAGGGCTGTAGTAATCCTGAGGCTCGGCTAGCTCAGGCCTCAAGTCCTCATCTTGGAAATAAGAGACGTCCACCCCAGGGAGGGACCTCTGACTCGGGCATCCATTTACCGGAGGAAAACTTAGATGAAAGAGAAAAGGACCAGGCCGAGGTCCAGACCTGTGCCTTCCTCATCCCTGAGCTTGTGAACTTTGTGACCCAGGACAGTGAGGAGAAGAAGGGCTCTGAGCTTTGCCCCGGGTGAGCCAGCCCAGGGACAGTCACCAAGAGGCCCACTCCTTCCACCTTCCTAAGGGGACGCAGGAGGAAGGGGATCAAGGTTCCCGTATGAAGGAGCCAAGTCAGGAGTGTGGGGAGGAGAGTCTTTATAGCCACAGTGACCACAGCGGTGTCCTTCCCTCTTCCACGGAAGTGCAGCCTCAACCATTTACCTTCACCATCAAATAAAGTGCGGGTCTGAAGAGGAGAGGGTCAGTGTCGGTGGAATGGTAGGGAAGCAGTGGTAAAGGCGGTGGTGAGGGCTCCTGGCAAGGGGACCAGTAGACCTAGTGTCTGAGGTCTCAGGTTAACTGTCTCATATCTGGTTTAAAAAAACTGAAAGGAGGAGGCCAGGCGCTGTGGCCCACGCCTGCAACCCCAGCAGCTCTGGAGGCTGAGGCAGGAGGATCACAAGTTCACAGCCAGCCTCAGCAACTCAGCACGACCCTGTCACTAAATAAAATATAAAAAGGGCTGGGAGATACGGCTCAGTGATTAAGCACCCCTAGGTTCAATCCCTGGTACCTGCCCCCCCCCCCCAAAATGAAAGGTGGTAGTAGGCTTGAATTTTACTTAGATGGCTAATTCTAGGTGAAGTGTCATTTCAAATTAGGTAACAGACCTTTGATCAGTTAGGGGTGGGGAAGATCAGACTAAGAACTCAGAATGGTCCAAAATTCCTTAGATAAAAAGATTGGAAGGGAAACAGCTAAGTGTGGTTCACACTTGGCCCTCATGCAGTGAGATTTTGACTATAGGAATGTCCTTTATTTTTCAAAATTTCTAAAGGAAGCTGGGTACGGTGGCGCACACCTGTAATCCCAGAGACTTGGGAGGCTGAAGCAGGAGGATGGCGAGTTCAAGGCCAGCCTCAGCAACTAGGGAGGCCCTAAGCAACTCAGAGAGACCCTGTTTCTAAATAAAATATGAAAAAGGGCTGGCGATGTGGCTCAGTGGTTAAGCACCCCTGAGTTCAATCCCCAGTGCTTGACCCCAAAAAATGTTTCTTAAATTGACATGAACAATAATGACGTTGATATTTGACGTGTTTTGGGGTAAAATTTGTGCTAAGTCCTTTACCCGGATGCCTTTCCTTTAGTGTTCACAACACTTTGCAGTAGGCAGGGCTGTTAACCCATTTTACAGATGAGAAAATGAAATCCCAGGGGGCCCCTCTCACTTGATTGCATTGGGGTTCAAACACAGTTTGGTTGGACTTAACCCCCTAGAGAATCACGAATGCTGTCTTTCTTTTCAGTATTTCAGGGATTGACACTCTGTTGAGTTTATTCTCTGTTTAAAAGTGGCTCAGAGACTAAGTACAGAAAGGAAGAGAGAGAGGAGGGCAGGAGGAGGAGGAGGAAAAGAAGGAGAGAGAGAGAGAGAGAGAGAGAGAGAGAGAGAGAGAGAGAGAGAGAACGTGTACGTGCATGTGTGTGTGTGTCTGTCTGTCTGTCTAGACAGCCATGGGGACAGGCCATGCCTCTTCTCACTGGTGACTACCCGCCGCTGGCCCGAACCACAGCCCTGGATGAACTGGCCCCTGACTGCCTCTGCTTTTCATTGCAGTGCTTGGTCACCTGTGGAAAAGGGCACAAGCATCGCCAGGTCTGGTGTCAGTTTGAAGACCGAGTAAACGACAGGCTCTGTGACCCTGAGACCAAGCCAGTGTCCATGCAAACTTGTCAGCAGCCGGAATGTGCATCCTGGCAGGCGGGTCCCTGGGGACAGGTATTTTAACCGATAAGATTCTTGGCTACATTCTTTCCGTCTTATCTGGGGAGGGCTTGTGCGGGGCATTCCAGTGGCCTCCCCAGATCAGTGGCCTCCCCAGATCAGCGGCCTCCCCAGCTCCGCGGCCCTGGAGCAAGCACGTGAGACCCTCTGCCCCATCCAGCTCCCCTCCCCAGGGTCGCCACTTCCCTGCCAGAGTTCAGGGCTCTGTCCACAGCCTCACCACTCATTTGCGCCCTTTGGCTTCAACTGCACGTGCGCCTTGAAACAAATCCACAGCAGACTCTGCGTCTGGCTGATGTTATCTTCTCCTGCCTCTGCTAGGCTGCTACAGAGTACAATCCGATCCATGCCAGAGCCTTTGGCAGGAGGTCTGGGGTGGGATGTGGAAGGGCTATTTTGGCTCCCAGCGTCAGGATTCCAAAGCTGGCCTCCCAGAAAGAAGCCAGGCTCTTCCAGCCTAATGAGTTAGATCAAGGGCGCAGAGTCATCAGGCTTGGAGGGAACCTTTCCCAAGTCCTCCTGGTCTGTGGGTCCTGTAGTCTTTACTTGATCCAGTCTTAAAGGAGAGAGGGGGCCTCCCTGGGTCTTGCGTTCACCCCTGGAATTCAGTCCTCCCTAATATAGAAGCAAATGTTCGTGTTCTGTTGAAGCAGGACTCGGAGTTCCCAGCACAGGGCTAGCAGCTGTGGGATGTCACTTATGTAACCTCTTGAAAAATGTTGAAGAATGACTCTCCCTGCACCCTGACCAGCCACGGCCCCTTCTGTCCTTTAGCCTCTGTCTTTATTTCCAAATTTCCGCTCAATCAATGACAGCAGCTTCATTGCCTCATTTCTGCAATGTCTGCCATCCATATTTTTTGGCAGGGTGAGGGGGTACCTGAGATTAAACTCAGGGGCACTCGACTACTGAGCCACATCCCCAGAGCTATTTAGTATTTTACTTAGAGACAGGGTCTCACTGAGTTGATAAGGGCCTTGCCGTTGCTGAGGCTGGCTTGGAACTCATGATCCTCCTGCCTCAGCCTCCTGAGCCCCTGGAATTACAGTCATGCGACACTGTGCCCAGCCTTTTTTTTTTTTTTAATTAAAGTGAAAGCCATAGTATAAAACTAAAATTTTTAAATGAAAAAAATCAGAGACCTCTAACGTATTCATAATGTTTTGCAGCCTCTATTTACTTCCAAAACATTTTTATCAGCCCCCACCAGAAGAAACCTTGACACATCAAGTGGGTTGTTCTCTGTACCCTTCTTCCCTTAGGTCCTGGCAGCCACCAGTTTGCATTCTGTCCATACGGGTTTGCCTGTTTGGACATTTCATAGAAATGGAATTATATGCTGGGTGTTGTGGCGCACACCTGTAATCCCAGCAGCTGGGGAGGCTGAGGCAGGAGGATCGTGAGTTCAAAGCCAGCCTCAGAAACTTAACAAGGCCCTAAGCAACTCAGTGAGACCCTGTCTTTAAATAAAATACAAAATAGGGCTGGGGATGGGGCTCAGTGGTCGAGTGCCCCTAAGTTCAATCCCCAGAACCCCACCCCCTGAAAAGAAATGGAATTACACAGTACGTGCCATCTGTATCTGTCTTCATATTACATGCTGCTTTCAAAGTTCACCTATGTGGTAGCATGTATTGGTATTTCATTCCAATTCTTACCTGAATAATATTCCATTCTGTGGATGTAACACAATTTGTTTATGCCTTTATTTTTTTATGGATATTTAGGTTGTCTCTACTCTTTGGCTACTGTGAATTACTAGCCTGAATATTCACAAATATGTATCTATTTGAGTACCTGATTTAACTCCTTTGAGATCTATATACCTGGGAATGCAATTGCTGGATCATCAATTCTGTATTTAATTTTTAAATTTCCAAGTGGTTTTCCATAGCACTGTACCATTTTACATTATAAAAGCAATATGCAAGGATTCTAATTTTTCCATGTCCTTTTCGGTGGGCAGGGTTGGGATACCAGGAATTGAACCCAGGGGCACTTAACCACTGAGCCCCACCCATCCCCAGCCCTATTTTGTTTTTTATTTAGAGACAGGGTCTCACTGAGTTGCTTAGGGCCTTGCTAAGTTGCTGAGGCTGGCTTTGAACTCACAATCCTCCTGCCTCAGCCTCCTGAGTTGCTGAAATTACAGGCATGTGTCACCACACCCAACTTTCTAATCTTTATTATTTCCTTTCTTCTCCTAATTTTGGGCTTACTTTGCTCTTCTGTTTCTTCCTTCTTAAGCTACACATTTTGCTCATTGGCTTGAGGTTATTTTTCTTTATCTTACACAGTCATTTGCAACTATCAATTTCCCATGAGCCCTGCTTTCCCTGAATCTCATAAATTTTCTTATTTCTGTTTCGTTTTCATCCATCCCAAGTACTTTCCTGTGTCCCTTGTGATTTCTTCTTTGGCCTGTGGGTTGTTTGAAAACATGTTAATGTCCATGCATCTGTGAACTTGGCCGATTTGCCTCTGTTGATTCCCTTGTGGTCAGAGAACATGCTTTGTGTTACCTTCTTATTAAATGTCTTGAGCCCTCTTGGGTGGCCTAATGTGTGACCTGTCTTGGAAAATGTTCCCAAAATTGGAGAGCAATGTGCAATATGGTAGGTGGGTGAGCAAAGATGCCATCACACTGTCTTATTGAAATTGGTCGGTGCTCTCCGAGTGGCCATAAGATTTTCTGAGATGCCAGAGTTCCAAAAATATTGATTCTGCCCGTTGTTACCAGCTTGGTGGTTGCTTCAGTGGAGAGACTAAATTTTGGAACTTCTTACTTACTCTGCCATGTCTCTGACCTCACTCCTGCTGTTAGACTGCTTTTCAAAATCTGTTTATCCATTATATTTATTTTGCCCTTTTATTTATTTCCTTTCCTACCTGGATACAGTGGTGTCTTTTTAGCTAACTTTTGATTATTGCATTTTTAGGTGGTTTCTAACATCTTGTGATCTATTATAAGAGCATCGTGCTGTTCAAAAATAGTGACGCGAACTCCTATTATTTCCTCAGAATGTTCTTTCAGAAGCCAAGGAAGGCCGCAGAGCTCTGCGAAGTACCTGTCTGAACTAGAGTGCTGTCTAGGTCGTACGTGAAAGGGGGCTCTTCCCTCCCCTTGGGGCTCACAGCCGAGGGACTGAACCCTGAGTCACTGAGCTGTGACCAACTACCTAACGGAAATGACTTAGAGGAGGAAGGGTTCATCTTGGCCCAAGGTGCCAGTCTGTGGTCCCATGGCACCATTAGTTTGGGCCTGTGGCAGGCAGAACCCAAGTGGTGAGAGGTGCAGGGGAGGAGATTTTCAAGGCAGTTGGAGGCAGAAAGAGTTGGACAGGCAGGGACCAGGGACAAGATATGGTCCCCAAGTCCAGTGACCTTCTTCCTCCAGCTGTGCCTCACCAGCCTGCACTTCCGCCACCTCCCAGTTGTCCATGTGGCTCTCATGGGTTAGTTCCCTGATGAGGTCAGGCCCACATGATGTAGTCACTTCCCAGAAGCCACACCGTTGAGCATTACTGCCTTGGGGACCAAGCTGTCACACATGGGTCTTCAGAAGACACTTCATATCCAAACTGTATCAAACCTCTACATATATAATTCCATTAGGAAGCAACAATAATTCCATGTGTCACATAATAGTTGATCAGTAAATAGACTGATGCATTTTGATGAATGGTCCAATCATTATAGTGTAATCATAATCACGGGCAAATGAAGCTACTGATTGGTGCAGAGCTAGCAGCTAAGTGCTTTGGGCATCGGCCCCTCTGGCCTCCTACGATGGAAATGCTTTTTTCGGGCAGACACTTGGAACAGTAGGAAAAGGGAAGATTTCTGAATGTTGTGTCTCATTTTCCTCCCCCAGTGCAGTGTCACCTGTGGACAGGGGTACCAGCTGCGGGCAGTGAAGTGCATCCTTGGGACCTATGGGTCAGCAGTAGACGACAGCGACTGTAATGCAGCCACCAGACCAACAGACACCCAGGTGAGTCCCGCTTATCCAACTCAGTGACCAACATTGGGCATTGAGACGCCATGACATCCCAGGGGTTCAAACAGAATCAGAACCTTCTCCTCCGTGAGGACAGCAGTCAGACCAGCACTTGGTTAAATCACCTGGATTTACTTATATGTTGTGTTTACAGTCTGATATTTTGTTTTATTGCTTTTCTTCATTTTCTGATTATTTGGAATATATATATATATAAATCTGATTTTATTTTTATTTATTTTTGGTACCAGGGATTGAACCCAGGGACACTCAACCACTGAGCCTCCAAACCCAGCCCCATTTATATCTTATTTAGAGACAGTTGCTTAGGACCTCACTGAGTTGCTGAGGCTGGCTTTGAACTAGCAATCCTCCTGCCTCAGCCTCCCAAGCCACTGGGATGACAGGAATGCGCCACCACACCTGACTCTGACTTTATTCTAATCAGGTGGCAAATATTGGTTGACTTCCTTTTACTTGAACTTAGATTTAATTTTTAATGATTCCTTTAAAGAATTTGGTAACTAACGTCATGATTTCAGGCAGTGTGTGCTGAAGCTAGCTTGACCCCCTCACCAGAGCCTGGTCAATGTCACAGGAACTTGGTGAGCTGGAGATTAAATGTAGCCATTATTTTAACATGAGAAATACAGACTTTTATTTAAGTAGATGGTATTAAAGACAAAGCTGATAAATACCTAAGCTTATCCCTTCCTAATTATTTCAGTAGTCACTCTTGTCCGTGCCCTCGGGTCGTTTGCCTCTGGTACCTGTGTGGGGGAAGCCCACTGTGCTGCTCAGCACCTTCCCGACTCTGGATTGACTGACGTCTCTTTTTAGATGAGCAAGTGGATCTATAATAGGACTTTAAAAATCATTAAGTAGACCTGGCCCTGAATCCAGACATCTGAAAAGGGATTCCCATGGTGTCACATTCTGCACTGACGGAATCCAGCCAGGACTATGAGGAGACGTGGACACACACAGGAATCTGATCTGGGTTTGCTCCGCTCAAGGCAGAAACAGAAAGAGCCAAACAGGAAGGGACCAGGGACGAGATATAGTCCCCAAGGCCAAGGGTTAAGGGAACACTTTTTTGTCATTGTTCCTTTTAGATACCCAGGGCAGTAGAGTGTAATTGCACATATCTACATACATGGAGTCTAACTCCCCATTCTGTGGTTGGACATGATGTGGAGTTTCCCTGGTCGTGTGTTCATATATGAGCATAGGAAAGTTCTGTCCCATTCATTCCACTGTCTTTCCTGTTCCCATCTCCCTTCCGTCCTCTTCACCCCCCTTGTCTCAGCCAGTGACCTTCTACTCTCCTCCCTACATTGTGAGTCAGCCTCTGCACATCCAAGGGAACATTCAGCCTTTGGTTTGGGGACTGGCTCACTTCCCTCATTGCCCCTCTGTGTGGCGGGTCAGGACCGCTTGCCCCGCGTGTTCTCATCCACTCTCTAAATGTGTGATGACTTGAAATAAGCAGGTTTTCTCCCCTTTCGCGTCTAGGACTGTGAATTCCCATCCTGTCACCCTTCCCCAGTGGTCCCAGAAACAAGGAGAAGCGCACACAATGTTCCAAGAACCCAGTGGCGATTTGGATCTTGGACCCCAGTAAGAAATAGATGGGGCGGAGCAGGGAGGGCCGAGGGGACAGGTGTTCTCTGATGGATGACAGGGGGTGGCCCATGCCTGTAAGACCCTCCCTCAGTCCCCTGTCTGCACTGTTTCCCTCCCACCCAGTGCTCAGCCACCTGTGGCAAAGGGACCCGGATGAGGTATGTCAGCTGCCGGGACGAGGACGGCTTGGTGGCTGAGGACAGCGCATGTGCTGCCCTGCCCAAACCAGTGGCCAAGGAGGAGTGCTCCGTGACCCCCTGTGGGAGGTGGAAAGCCCTGGACTGGAGCCCTGTAAGCCATGACTTCTGAGGAATTGGGAACGGGTGGGGGATGGGCAGGGGTGGGGGATGGGCAGAGGGGGGAAGGGCCGGGGTCCCAGTGTCAGTGGTGAGATTTTAGAGGGAGGCAGAGTTTGTGATGGAGTTATTCCACCCACACATACAGCTGGTCAGGGGTACAAACCATGCACGTTTTAAAAAAGATGTAGATTGATTATCACGGGCTTGCAGAGCCTCCTGCTGGGCTGGCTGGAAACCCCAGTCTTCGTGGAGACATGTCAGCTTGTAGTGGGTCCACAGGGTGCAGGATGGGTGGGGGGAGAGTGCGAGAGACCCTCTTTCTTTGAGTCTGGAGGCCTCTTGTATACTGTGGTTCCTCAAAGTCAAGTGGGTCTAGTTCCCTGCCAAGAGTGGGAAGTGACTATCCTCCCGCAGTGCCCTGTGCACACCAACCACCATCTGTGGGTTTTTTTTTTTTTAACTTTTTCTTTGTTCCTTTTAGATATACATGACAGTAGAGTGTATTTTGACCTATCACACATACATGGAGTCTAACTTCCCATTCTTGTGGTTGAACATGATGTGGGGTTTCCCTGGTCATGGATTCATATAGGAACATGGGAAAGTTCTGTCCCATTTACTCCACTGTCTTTCCCATTCCCATCCCCTTCCCTTCTCCCCATTCTTCCCTCTCCAATCCAGTAAACTTCCACTCCTTCTTCCCTGCCCCGTGGTGAGTCAGCATCCACACATCAGAGGGAACATTCAGCTTTTGGTTTGGGGGACTGGCTTATTTCACTTAGCATGATAGTCTCCAGCCCCATCCATTTACCTGCAAATGCTATAATTTCACTCTTCTTTATGGCTGAGTAATATTCCATTGTGCATATGTACATTTCTGTGGGTTTTTATAAAAGTAGATGAACCTTTGTCTACAGGAAACTATTGCTTTCTGCCCTGAAAAACTCATGGAGTCCAGGGAAAAGCTTGGCATAGGTGAAAAGTAAACATAAGAAATGAAGGTTATAGTAGTAAATATCAAAATATGAACATAAAATTGGAGGAGTCAAATAGAACTCTCTAAAATCCCAAACCTTATGATTTGCCAGTTGTATCATCCTAGGCAATTTCAATTCTCATTTTTCTTCCTCTCTCAAAAACAAAAAGAACACCTACTTTGCAAAATGGCTGTGAGGGTTATTTGAGATTATAGATGGTAAATGCTTTACAGAAAGTAGGTTCTCAATAAACAGTGTCTGCCCTTCAGTCCAGGCATCTGTCTGTCAGATCCTGGTGTTTATTCATTAGCTATTCGTGAAAGAGCAGCGAACCAAGAATAACAGAGTCCTTGCCTTATGCAAGAATATCCCAGTGGAGAAACCTGTCAGCGAACAAATAAATCAATGTCTGCTACAGCAGCAGGTCCTGATGAGAGCTAGACACAGTCGAGCAGTGCATGGCCTAGAGAGAGCCATGAGCAGGACCTGAGTGAGGAGAGGCAGCCGCAAGGGGTCTGTTTGGCGCAGCAGGAGGCACAGCGGGGTGAGGCCCCGAGCCGATTGCTTGGAGTCTGCACAAGCACCCTTGAGGCTGGGGCATAGTGAGGGTGACTGAGAGGCACTCATCAGGTAGCCAGTGGTGTCCCCAGAAAGAGCCTATGGTCAGCGGAGGGACTTTGGTTATTATTGTGAGTGACCTGGGAAGTCACTGGAAGGACCCATGATGGGACTTTTGTCCTAAAGAGTCATGTTTTGGGACCTGCAGACAGCAGACTCGGGTGGAGAGCATCAGGTCCTGAGCCTGGTTGAAAGGCCATCGCAACACCCCAGGGAAGGCCAGATCTCCAAGTCAGGCCACTGTCGCTGTGGCCATCGTGACAAGTGGCTGGATCAGGGACATACCTTGAACACTGAGTTATGGGACAGGAGGAAGAGAGGAGTCAAGGTCCATTCCAAGCCTTTTGGGGCCTGAGCAACCGGGAAAGTAGTAGCCGTGTGCAGAAATGAACATGCGAGGCCTCCACAGCACCCCCCAGTGACCACCCCTTTTTCTTTCTGAACATTCGACATAGTGCTCTGTGACGTGTGGGCAAGGTAGGGCAACCCGGCAGGTGGTATGTGTCAACTACAGTGACCACGGGATTGACCAGAGCGAGTGCGACCCCGACTACATCCCAGAGACCGAACAGGACTGCGCCATGTCCCCGTGCCCTCAGCGGACCCCGGACAAGGGCCTCCCTCAGCACCCCTTCCAGAACGAGGACTACCGGCCCCGGAGCCCCAACCCCAGCCGCACACACGTGCTAGGGGGAAACCAGTGGAGGACGGGCCCCTGGGGAGCCGTGAGTATCACAGAAGACCCCCCCCCTCTTGCTTCTCTCCCATGAGGTCGAGTTTGGGGAGGGAAAGTTCTAGAAATGCCTCTGCACCTGTCTGCTCTTCTTTAGGTACTGGTATGTGATTTCACGGGCTCTGGGTGAAGGCAATGTAGTTAGAGCCACTCAGTATGGTCCCCGAAAAGATGCTCTTGGAGGACTCACTCTTCAAAGGGGCGAGGAATGCATGGAGGAGCGGGTGTCACTGCTGGGCAGTATTGTGAAAGACAGAATGAGTCAGGCAGCTCAGACCTGGAGGGAAAGAGCAGAGAGACTTTTCTAAAAGGGAGTTCTTTTTTTTTTTTATTTGTTCCTTTACATGTGCATGACAGTAGAGTGCATTTTGACCTAACACACATACATGGAGTCTAACTTCCCATTCTTGTGGTTGGACATGATGTGGCGTTTCATGGGTCATGTGTTCATATATGAACACAGGAAAGTTCTGTCCATGCACTCCACTGTCTTTCCTATTCCCATCCCCCTCTTTATTCCCCTTTGTCTAATGCAGTGAACTTCTTCTATTCCCCACCATTATTGTGTATTAGCATCTGCTCCTCAGAGAGAACATTTGTCCTTTGGTTTTTTGGGACTGGTTTATTTCACTTAGCATGATGGCCTCTAGTTCCATCCATTTACTGGTAAACACCAAAATTTCATTCTTCTTTAAGGCTCAGTAATATTCCATTGTGTATATAGACCACATTTTCTTTATCCATTCATCTCTTGAAGAGCACCTAGATTGGTCCCATAGCTCAGCTATTGTGAATTGGCTGCTATGAACATGAAAAGGGAGTTCTTAAACAAAGTGGCTTTTCTTTCTGCCATTTTCCAGATGAATACAGTCTATAGTGGCATAGTTGCTGTTTCACTGGTATTAGATTAAAGAGGAAATACTCCTGTTAGATAATCTAAGTGCTGCTTGGGGTAGGGCAGCATCTCATTCCCTAAAGGTTAGCAGTGCGGGTGGACCGCAGATGTCTCCATTTGACCAAAAACTTGCACTTTCAAATTTGAGGGGGCTGAGGAGGTCCCCTCACCTGTGAGCCTCAGTGTCCTCAATTGTAAAATGAGGGTACCGTTAAATCCTGCTCTCTTTGGTAGTATGACTTAAATGAGATGATCTGGGGGCAGTGGTGCACACCTGGAATCCCAACAGCTCAAGCAGGAGGATCCCAAGTTCAAGGCCAGCCTCAGCAAAAGTGAGGCCCTAAGCAACTCAGTGAGACCCTGTCTCTAAATAAAATACAAAACAGGGCTGGGGATGGGGCTCAGTGGCTGAGTGCTCTGGGGTTCAATCTCCGGTACGCGCCCCCCCCCCCCCAAAAAAAAAAAAAAAGATTGCAAATGCCATGTGCAACTTGATAATTTGTAAAAATGACATAGCTCCCAGGGCCAGATGGTTATTTTGGAGGCAAATCCATTTTATAACTGAAGGGGCAGAGTAAAGGATGCAGGCAAACACTCTGGGTTAAAAGGATAAGGAAATCATGGGAACACAAAACATTCCAGGTGCCGCTATGCGGGAGAGCTGAGAAGCTTGTGTGGGAAATGGGGGGGATGCCAACCCCAGCCATCAGCGTGTTAGTCTGAAGTGCCCCAAGACAGGCTCCTCAAGACGAATTCAACTAGGTTCATTGGGGAAGTAAAAAAATTAAATGAGCAAAACATATCTATCTTGTTCCCATGAAGCCATTGAAGTCAAGGGGGCGGAGGGAACGTCAGCCTGCTAGGGAGTCCTGTCTCAATGACACTCCAGGCTGCCTCCTGCAGTAACTGAGTGAGGTCCTGGGGAAGCATCATTTCAACAAGTGGCAATTCAGTAAGCCAGTAATTTGACCTCTGTGTTGAAAGGGACGTCCAATGTTGGTTCCAAATAAGCTCTCCAAATTTTGAAAAGAATCTCCAAAGGGGCTGGAGAGATAGCTCAGTTGGTGGAGCGCTTGCCTGGCATGCACAAGGCCCTGGGTTCACTCCCCAGCAGCGCCCAAAAAAGAAGAATCTCCAAATAAACTATGATGTCCATTGACCCTCCCCCCCACCCACTCCACCCCACCCTGCAGAGAAATTAAGGGGGACAATAAATGGGACTAATTTAGAAGTCTCATGAGCGTGGGAGGCTGAGTCAGGAGGATCACAAGTTCAAAGCCAGCCTCAACAATTTAGCGAGGCCCTAAGCAACTCAGTGAGACCCTGTCTCTAAATAAAATATAAAAAAGGGCTGGGGATGTGGCTCAGTGGTTAAGTGACCCTGAGTTCAATCCCAGGTACAAAAAAAAAAAAAAGAGGTCCCCAGCTGCCTTGTCCTGGTTGCTGATGCTCAGGAACAGTTTCTGTCACATTGTCTGAGTTGCAGCCAGTTGCTGCTTTGTCTCTCCAGCAGAGGTGATGCTGAGGGTTAACTTGTCATCGGTGTGTTAGTGTTCCAGTACCTGTGCCGGAGGGGCCCAGCGGCGTGTCGTGGTGTGTCAGGATGAAAATGGATACACTGCAAACGACTGTGTGGAGAGAATCAAACCCGACGAGCAGAGGGCCTGCGAATCCGGTCCTTGTCCCCAGTGGGCTTACGGCAACTGGGGAGAGGTGAGGACAAACCACCCGTCCCTGTCCCTCCGAAGGAATCATGTCATTGTTTGTATTATAAGGAACAAGAACCAGATTGAATAGAAACTTCTGAATTTGGGATTCATTAGAAACCTGGCTTCGTGCTGTTCTTATTTAAACAATTTGCTTATAACCAATAAGAGACAGCTTGAATACTTACAGAAGGCAGATTAGGAGAAAATGTTGATAAATATTGGTTTAAGTTGTTTATTAACTAATCTTTGATGATTTTTTAAAAATGGATGCTTTTAGCCGGGCACGGTGGTGCCCGCCTGTAATCCCAGCAGCTCGGGAGGCTGAGGCAGGAGGATCATGTGTTCAAAGCCAGCCTCAGCAATGGCGAGGCCCTAAGCAACTCAGTGAGACCCTGACTCTAAATAAAATAAAAAATAGAGTTGGGGAAGTGGCTCAGTGGTTGAGTGCTCCTGAGTTCAATCCCTGGTATCCCCCCAAAAATAATAATTGACATCATTAATGTTAAAAATCTTCATGATCCTTCGTGGTACTATTATGAAAGGGAGCTTGAGTCCCTGTTGTACTTAATGGTGGAGTTGAGATGCTTCTGGTTTTGCGTTTAACCAAGAATACAGCTCTCTCCTGCTAAATCCACAGGAAGAGCATGTACTTAAAGCTCATCGAGCCGTTCTGTCTGGACTGTAAAATTTATGAAATGAAAAATGTCAGTTAGCACCTGGGAGACCCCGGTGCCAAGAGGAGGAATGAGAAACCAGCTTGCGGGCCCCTTGATGCGTGCTCTGGCTGAGGGCAGTGGCGCCCACCTCCCCTGGTTCCATTCGCGCCACCTGGTAGTGGCAGGCAGAGCAGGGGCTTTGGCTGACTGTCCTCGACAGTTATGTCATCCTGGAGAGCTTCCTCGACGGGAAGGGAGGGGGAGGGAGGCTCGGAGCCTGGTGGATTGTGGGTTTCCCAAAACTCCTTGCGAAATCCCTGCCCTCTGGGACCCGCGATTAAGCTTCTGTAATTGGACCCACACCAGCCAAGTGCAGGCATTTGTGGGACGTGCGCTGTCAGCACAGAGTGATCCTTCCAGATTCTAGGGAGATCTGGCCCTCACACAGCAGGGGAACTGACTGTCAGGGTCCCTGGATGTGAGCACAGCAGTACTGTCCAAGAAATGCGACTTGTTCCTGCCTCAGAAGTTTGAGTCCCGCCAGGAGTCTGAGCCACATCTCCCACCACACTGCTTATTCATCCCAGGGGCAAGTCATCCTTGTCCTAAGATTCAGAGAGAGAGAGAGAGAGAGTAAAATACATTAGCATCATAAAGGTCTAAAGAGATTAGAGTCAGAAAAACATCAGAGGTTGGTGACACCTTAGAAGTTGCCAGAAAATAGCTGAGCATGGTGCTGCACGCCTGTAATCCCAGCAACCCAGGAGGCTGAGGCAGGAGGATGGTGAGTTCAAAGCCAGCCTCAGCAATTTAGTGAGACTTTGTCTCAAAATAAAAAATAAAAAGGGCTGGGGGTGTAACTCAGTGGTTAAGGGACCCTGAGTTCAATCCCCGGTACCTAAAAATAAAAAGAAGTTGCCAGAAGGTGGAGTCTGACTAAGGAAGTAGCTCAGAGGTAGAGCACTTGCCTAGCATGTGTGGGGCCCTGGGTTCCAGGCACTATTTTAAAAAAATAAAATAACATGCTTGCCAGAAAATAAAACTGGCTAGGTCATTATTTCCTTTATTTAATATTGAATAGTTTGGGGTTTTTTGTTTTTGTTATTTTTTGTTTTTTCCTGGGTACCAGGGATTGAACTCAGGGGCACTCAACCACTGAGCCCCATCCCCAGCCCTATTTTGTATTTTATTTAGAGACAGGGTCTCACTGAGTTGCTTAGGGCCTTGCTTTTGCTGAGCCTGGCTTTGAACTTGTGATCCTCCTGCCTCAACCTCCTGAGCCACTGGGATTACAGATGTGCACCACTGCACCCAGCTTTGTTTATGTTTTTAGATTTTGAATTTTACCCCAGCTATTTGTGCATAAATTAACTTTGATCGAGTTAATTGACTCCTTAACCTCAGTGGCCCCAAATATTAAGCGGGACAAATGTCATACTCTGCACATGAGGAGATAATGGATACCAAACGTCTTAGGTATGGGGAATCCCTCAGTGAGCGACCCCTACCACCCAGGGAGGAGGACTTGGGTCCACTGTAAGATAGTATCGCTGCGGTGACCCCTGGCTCTAGCTGTCAGAGTTACCTTGTCCAATGCTGTCATCGAGTTTGGCTAAGACAGGTTCCTTATGGGAAAGAAAATCTGTCGCTGGCCATTCAGACAAAATCACCGCAATGTCTGCTGTCCTCTCTGCAGTGCACAAAGCCATGTGGTGGAGGGAGCCGGACGCGGCTGGTGGCCTGTCAGCGGTCCAACGGCGAACGCTTCCCAGATCTGAGCTGTGAAATCCTTGACAAGCCTCCAGATCGTGAGCAGTGTAACACACACGCCTGTCCCCAAGACGCCGCCTGGAGTACTGGCGCTTGGAGCTCGGTACGGCCCTAACTATTCCTGTTTGTTCCCCAAACTCTCCAATCCCAGGGTGTTCTGGTGTGGTCCCTGCGACATCAGTGTCCCCTGGCGAGGGTGTCCTAGAGGCCGTCCTGGGGAATAGTGTGTCATCCTCTCCTAGTCACTGACAGTAGCATTAACATTTTTGCGACATGGCCAGAGGTGACATCACAAGAATCCGTGTACCTCATACAGGACCTGGTGCCAAGAAGTAGCTTCCTTTTCTAGAAGAACCATGTCCCTAGATAGTGACAGCTCATTAGCAGACACTCTCTCCTTTCTAAGCTACCGTAGCGTTGGCGCTGGGGACCATTTCTGCTTATTGAGGCCTCTGCATTTTTTTTTTCTTCAATGACTAATAGTTTGCTTCCCTGTCATTCGGGGTACAACTCAACCACAGTCGTCACAAAGCCTGGGCCCACCAAATAGACTGAAGTCATTATGAAAAGATGAATGACCCCCAGTGGAATCAGTGACCTGGGGCCTTTCAAGGTGTCTGGAATGTTCTTCTGCCCAGACAGAAAGCCTGTTGGAGACTTTTTTTTTTTTTTTTTTTTTGGTCTGGTCTCTGCTCACTGCTCAGCCAGCAGGTGACATGGTGAAGCAGATTTGCCACCGTGGACACAATGCAAACTTCTAGGGCAGCTCTTGGCAAACAGAAGGCTCAACAGTGTCCAACATCACCTTGACTTGGCTAGCTTGTGCCCTGAGCTATGGAGCCACTGACTGGTTCATAGAGCTAGGGCAAACGTTCTGGTCAATACGTTAATTGCACTGAAGTCGAACTTAGTATTGTATCAGGTCCTATCCAGAAGGCCTTTTTTGTTCACTATGATTCTGAGGAAAAGGCTTAAATAACCCTGAAACCAGCTGAAAAGCACATTCATTGAATTGACATGGTTGATACCTGTGGATGCTTCTAGAAACCAAGGTTTTCAATGTCTGAGGTTGTGTCTGCAGAAATAGCTCTGTGACCACTGTACTTTTGTTAGGTAGAAATCTAGAAGAATTGAGAAGGGTTATCTCGACTGGTACTGTATCGCTGAGCTGTATTCCAGAGTTTAAGAAATGTCACCCTGAGTCACATGGACAGTTCCCTGGGAGCACGTCTGTGTCCAGTAATGGCACCCTCCCCAGGTGCATGCTCTGAAGAGCACGAGAGATGACCTCAGGGTGTTGGCAACATCCCCACATGTCCAGCTTCCCTTTTCACGGACTTCATGATATTTTCCATGAAATGTTCCCTCTCGAACTTACTCCGTTTTCATCTCTACCAGTAGTAACACCAACACCAGAGTCACATTTCAAAAAGCCTCCTAGCCCTCCAAAAAGAAATATGTCACAAGGCATGGTGGCCCATTGCCTATAATCCTATGGCTCTGGAGGCTGGAGCAGGAGGATCATGAGCTTGAGGCCAGCCTCAGCAACTTAGCAAGGCCCTGAGCAACTTAGAAAGACCTTATTTCAAAATAAAATAAAATAACAAAAAGGGCTGGGGATGTGGCTCCGTGGTAGAGCTCCCCTGAATTCAATCCCTGGTGCCAAAAAAAAAAAAGTATGCCACTAAATTTCACCAAAAAACATAAGCCTCCTTGTTACATATTCCTGTAACTGGGTGAAAAAAAAGAAAAACAGAAATTTGTATTTCCCATGCTCTAATTCCTTAGATTGTCCTGTATTTTTCTATGAAGTATTCCTTGGGAAAATGACATCTTGCCAGGGTTCTATGCATGTGTATGTCCATGTACACACCTACGTACGTAAACACACCTGTGTACATCCACACTTATGTACATATATATTAATTTCCACAGAATTCTCTTACTTGAATGTATTCTTAGTATGGCTTTTTTTTTTTTCCTTCTCTGCACAGGATCACCACCCGCCCCCATAGATATTTTAAGAGCTTACATGCTTAAATTGTAAAATATGAACTGCTGATTATCTTAACTGAAGACATGACGTTTATTTAATATAGTTCTTCTTGGGCCTGTGTACGATTTTCTGAAATGCCAAGGAGGAAGAAAGAGGGAGAGAGAGTCAGACCCCAGTGCTGTGGCACTTGCAGAACAAGTCGGTGGAGTTGTAAATTGTGTGCGGGCTGTGTGATGTCTAACACTCCCTTTGTACAGTGATCATTATCTGAATGTCTCTTTCAACACCTCTAACGTCTTAAGGGCAAGGCCACTTCTGCAAGGCTTTTAAGTTGTGATTTTTTTTTAATTAAATCAAAAGTATTTTCTGGAAAAAGATACATTTGTAATATATTACTCTTCCTAACTAGATGTGTGAGAGGATAGTCTTTCAGATTCTTTTTTAAAAATTTTTTTAAAAAATTTTCCTCTTCTGTCTATTTCCATGGTGGTGGATGCTTTGGTATACAACATCTTAGTGGTTCTGAATTAAGCATACCTCAATGAATGTGTTCATAGCCATAAAGTCACTCCTACGGTGCTTGATCATTGTCACCAACAGTGGAATTCACAATAAAAAGTACATTTGAGGCACTAATATATTGCTTTTAACAGAAGGCAACTTAGATTTATTAGAGTTTGGGGGTAGGAAAGGTTCCTGCAGGTTTTTTTCTCTTCCCAAGGACTTCCACACATAGACGCTCTCATGCCAAGAACCAGCTACACTGAGTGAGGTGGCTTCCCCCAAGGTCAAAGGAAGCCTTCTCCAAGGTCGCAGTGGAGATAGCCTACTCCAGCACTTGCTACTAAAGAGCAATATCTAGGTGAGAAAGCCCAAATCACTGTTATCTTGGCTTCCAGAGTCTCCAAAATGAAGCTTCAGTGAACTTGAAAGTTCAAGGGTCCACTTTAGACAGATGGTTGGCTCTGACTCACATCATTGCAGATTTAAGAATCATGATTTAGCCTTTTCTGTCCTTTTGAAAATATGTCCTTGGAAGATGGGCATGGTGATGCCAGCCTATAATCCCAGTGACCCTTGAGGCTGAGGCAGGAGGGTTGCAAGTTCAAAGCCAGCCTCAGCAACTTAGCGAGGCCCTAGGCAACCTAGTGAGACCCTGTCTCTAAATAAAAAATAAAAAGGGCTGAGGAAGCATTTCTGGGTTCAATTCCCAGAACCAAAATATTGTGTGTGTGTGTGTGTGTGTGTGTGTGTGTGTACGCGCGTGTGTGTCTCCTTGGACTCTCCCTTGGCTATGTTTGTTTTTGAAATAAGGTTCTCCAACCACTGTGCCTTTGAGTGTACTCCTGAAGCCAAGAGGTAGACGTGGTGTCATGAATGCACATACCCCACGATTAGAACGGCAGATTGTAAAGAGAGCTTGATGCTCTCCAGCCAAAGTAGAAATCAGCTAAGACTCAAGAGCCATCTAGAGCAAGCTCACCCATCCAGATAACTCACGCAGCAAGTTCTGCTGGGTGGTGCTATGGCTCCAGATGGTTCTATGGCATTTCTCTGCTTGGCCCTGTGTATCTTCCTGCCAATCAACTTGGAGATGGTGGTTCTCCTTAGGAGACATGGCTTGTTGGAGTTTTTCGTGACCAACCTAAAAGTGTGTGTTCTCTGAGCCTTGCTTCAGGTGCTTTAGAATACTGCTTGTCAACCCTCATAATGAGAATTTATGAGCTCGTGAAGGATCGTGCTTTTGTTTCTGCCTAGCCAACTGATGAATTGTGTCTACCTCATTTTCATGTTCAAGTTTGCAGCTTCCCATAGGTAGGAAGAGAAAAATGTTTTGCATCAGTGTTTTATCACCTCATGACACCTGTCTCTAGAAGAAAATAAAGATTGTAAATAGCACGACCGTATTTCCTGGACAGTTTTAAGCAGCCACACCTAGTATTTTCTGAATATTTTGAGCAGTACAGATTTCTATGTTTATATAATAAAGCATATTTATTTTTCCATGTTATTTAATTTTATATACCATGTTTAAAAAAATCAGTGTTTATGAGCAGACTGTAAAGGCAAGTAGGCTGTGTGAATTAGAAATGAATGTATATGTTTCTTCCAGTTTTAAAAAGATACATTTTAATTTTGTAAATTCCTTCCAACCTGTACCACTGCACCCTTTCCCCTCCAATCCGTGTAGCCAAGAGTCAAGCTTTATGTAATTGGATAGTTTCAAGTGTGTATTTTTAAAGAGATACTTTCAAAAATATTTCTGAATTGGAAATGATACTTAGTTACATAAACAAAAAATATATGAGGCTTAACAATTTGTTGGGTATTTTTTCTTTTCCAATACTGTTGTCCTGATTCATTGAGTTTCCACTATGAAATATGAATGCTCCATTTGTTGAATTTGTAGATAATGATGAAACATAGCCAGAAGATCAAAAAACAAAAAAGTAGTTAGGAGAAATTGTTCTGAACACATAAGAGAAGCTAGGTACAGGAAAAAGCAAACAATGTGCATAAATTTGATCGCACCTTATTCTTTGTTCATATAACTGCCAAAGGCTTTGTAAAATTTGTCAATTTTGTTTCTTGTTTACCTACAATATACTTCAGAAAGCATTTCTTATTTTAAAAAAATACTATCCCAATAAACTGGGAAGTCTCAAGAGAGCCTACCTTTTGCAAAAACATATATTTATGTGTAAACCATAAAAATGACCCCAAGGCCTATGGGTAACTCGTTCCCCTCCTGAGCCTCCATATTGCCCTATAGTTGACTCTGATCCTTGGAGATGAAAGGACTAAAATAAAGGAGTTCTTATGAGCATTAGAATATTTTTCATAAGGTACCAAAAAGCATTCTAAAAGCAAACGATGATAATAGCTAAATTCTACTGAGCATTTGCTGTGTCTTGCCCAGTGTACACATCACATCAACTATCTTGCTATCCCCTGGGGAGGTGCTGTAAGGAAGTCTCTAGATTATGTGATGATCTGTGTTAGTGAGAAGACCTCATGTCAATACCTTGACTGTATTAATCTATTAATCTTATTTCAGTGGGAGAAAAAAGGCCAGATTTCAGAATGAACTTTTTTTTTTTTTTGGAAAAGGGATTGAACCCAGGTTCCTTAACCACTGAACCATATCCCCAGTCATTTGTATGTTTAATTTAGAGACAGGGTCTTCCTGAGTTGCTTAGGGTGTCACTGAGTTGCTGAGGCTGGCTTTGAACTCTCGATCCTCCCACCTCAGCCTTCTGAGCTGCTAGGATTACAGGTGTACACCACCATGCTTGAGGCTTCTGTTGATATTCAGTAAAATTTAAACATCACCTAACTTTAACAATATTAAATAATTTTGACATTGTCCATTTGACTCCAATAGAAAATTCCAATTTAGTACAGCAGTGGATAAATTCCCCAAATGAGCAGTTATGAAAACTTTTGTTCAAGTTTAGGGAATAAGAAAACATCCCTCTCATAATACAAAAAGAGTCCATTATTTGGCTCTATCAGTGTGGAGTATAAATGATAAGATTTTTTTTTTTTTTAAATCAGAAGGCTGAGGCAGGAGGATCATGAGTTCAAAGCCAGCCTCACCAACTTAGGGAGGCCCTAAGCAACTCAGTGAGACCCTGTCTCTAAATAAAACACAAATAGGGCTGGGGATGTGGCTCAGTGGTCAGGCATTCCTGAGTTCAATCCCCAGTTCCCTCCTCCCCATACACCCCAAAAGAAAAATGCCAAAACAATATGACCTATAGAACTACAGCATTTCTCTGTATTTAGTGTAGTTTAAGACTTTATAAAGCCCTCCCCTCCAGTGTGTTTAGAACACTCCGAACACGTGCCTGCATGGATTTCACTGGAGACAAAACTTAGCAGTCTTGAAACCCTCTTTCTTGTCCCTATGGTGATTGTGTGCCTACTGGACTCTGTTCTTGCTTTTGGACAGCTGCTTCCTGGTAGCTGGACTGATTTCTGTTTTCATGAGTCTTAAAAGTCCAAAGTTGGGGCAGGGAGAAAGGGTAGTAGGTGCTTGGACCCCAAGGAGTGTGTCTTCTCCCCAATTCCTGTCCTGGAGCTGTCCTTCTGGAATTGAAAGGAATGGCCACTTTGGAATGTGGAGGGGGAGGTTCAGCCTCATGAGCAGGGAGGGAACCCTGGAGGTTACAGCAAAGCATCCGGAAGATTTATTCTGTGGGGGATGGGATGCAGGAATAAAACTCTCCCATCATTCCTTTAAAAATAAAGATATTCATTTTTCAACAAATGCTTTTAAAGTGCCTACTGTGGGCCAAGCACTTTTTTTGGGTGCTAAGGATATAGCACCCAAACAAGTCAGAGCTTCTAATGGAAAAAAAGTAATATTTAGTATTAATTGAAGAAAACTTAAACTCGTGTGATTCAAGCACTTACACTTTTTTTCCCCTCACAGCCCCACCACCACCATAAAAATAAAAATTGCTATTAAGAATATACAGCCTCATGATCGCTGGTGATGCTTGTTCAAAAATATAAATTAGCCTCCAGTAGCTCAGGAGGCTGAGGCAGGAGGATCACAAATTTGAGGCCAGCCTCAGCAACTTAGTGAGGCCCTGAGCAACTTAGCAAGACCCTTATCTCAAAATAAAATATAAAAAGGGCTGGGGATGTGGCTTAGTAGTTAAGCACCCCTGAGTTCAATCCTCAGTACCAAAAAGAAAAGGAATCACAATGTGAGTTCAAGGGTCCAAGAGCCAGGGCTAGGGGTGAACTTGACTTTGCCTCCTCCTTGCTGGGGTCCTCAGGTTCCATGCAGCTGTGGAAGCTGTGGCCTGAGGGTACATTTCCCCTTTGTTATTTGATGGGTTCTAATAAAAAGATCTTGAATGTGTGGGTTTCTCCACCACCCTCTTTGCATCTTGGTGCTTTCTCTCAAGTGTGCTCATTTTCAAGGGTGTTTTTTTAAAGACCCCAACTTCCCTTTCCAGAACTTTCTGAAATATAAAATGGGCAGCCAAGATAAGGAGGTTCATTGGGTAGTAAGGAAGATAACACAAAATCCAACCCCAGAAACCTGTCATTCTTACCAAGATCTGCATCCGCTGTCTCATAAGAAAGAGATCACACCTTGGCCCACGCAGTCCAATAAACTCCCGTGAGATGGGCCTGTTCTGTGGCTTTGCTTCTCGACATGGAAGCCACTACCCTCAGGTTGCTAATGCCAAGCCCTTCAAATGTGCCCGAGTGAGAAGGAAACACTACACCTCTACAATTTTATTTAATGTCATTACTCTTCATTTTAAGCAGCCCCCTCAAGCTGATGGCTACCATATTGGACAGGGTGACCTCAGGCAGAGGTATATCTTAGCAGTTAACCATGCACTAGCCACTAAAACAAAGCTTACAAAAATAAATGGGGGGGAAATCCCCTGCGTCAGCATTTAAGAGGTCGCTGTGTAGGATGCCCTCTCATCCAGCCATCAGCGACTGGACCTTGTGTTTGGGCCTTCCTTTTGTAAGACGTGGGTGGGTGTTCCCTGACAGCTGGCCAGGAGGGAAATCAGAGATCAGCTGAAAGACAGGCTGTAGGGACCAGCTGTCCCCAGAGGAGGAGATGCAAGGCTTCATTGTCAAAGCAGCTGTTAAAACAAACTCTCTCTCGTGTATCTCACAGTTCAAGTTCACAGTGGCAGTAAGTTCACTTAAGGAGAAAGCAGGTTTATGTGTGCAGTGGGTCAAAAGGGCACGGCAGGATGGGTGGTTTCAGCAGAAGGCAGAAGGGAAGAGTATCATCAGGTGGCCACCATACCTCTGCAGTTCCCAGAGACGGTTCTCTCCTCGCAGGAGGAGTTTTAGGAAGGCAGCACTTCCTGGTTGCTAAACCCAGCAGGTGACATGGAGCAAATTAGCTTTGTAGGGTTCTGTTTTAAGGACCCATCAGAAGATTCAGAGTTGAGGCAGTGTCTCCTCCAGCATGGAGCTTCTCATCTATTTTTGCTTTTTTCTTTTTTGGCTAGGGGGCAGTAGCAAGGATTGAACCAGGGGTGCTTAACCCCTGAGCCCCATCCCCAGCCATGTTTTGTAGTTTATTTAGAGACAGGGTCTCCCTGAGTTGCTTAGGGCCTCTCTAAGTGGCTGAGGCTGGCTTTGAACTCTCAATCCTCCTGCCTCAGCCTCCAGAGTCACTGGGATTACAGGCATGAGCCACCAAGCCCAGAGAGCTTGTCATCTGTTAACTTTGCGATCCTCATCCTCTTCGGTGTTCAGAAAACCCTTATGGGTTCATTCAGTCACCTCATGTTGAGGACCCCAGAAATCTAAATTTATGGAACAGCATTAGCCACAAATGAGTGATGTCATCAATTCTTTTTTCTAGTGGCCAGATAGAGCTGTTTGTTTGTTTGTTTGTTTGACTGCCCCCCTGCCCATTCCTGAACTAAACTATAATCCTGCAGTCAGGCGGTCTGAAGCTCTTTCTGGTCTATGAAGCTCCTTCTCATGTTGAGTAAGCACCAAAAAGAAAAATAATTCAAATGATTCTCCCTAAGCCACTTTCTTCTGAAGTAGCTCCCAAAGTTTGATAGTTGCAGCAGTAATCCACAAAAGAACTGATTTCCACCCACTTAGTGTGTGTCCTCCAGAATTATAGGGAGGACTTTGAGTTTTTCATATAACGATCACTTAAATTGTGGATCTTTGGCTTTGGGCAAGAGATTATGCTAAGCAATTCACCTACGTTGTCTAATTGACTCCCCTATACTTGTTGAAGTCAACACTATCAGAGAAATTAGTTGACCCTAGATCACATTGCGATTGATTTGAACACAGAATTTTATGACTTTGAAGCCACAATTAAAGATTTTTTTTTTTTTTGGTCGTGCCAGATTGTAATGACTTCAAACATTCTGGAGTCATTTGTAGACTTTGCTCATGGGGTAACCCAAGCAAATTGTGAGAAAATCCTTGCTCTTAAAGATAAACTGAAGGGCGGAGCACAGTGACACACACCTGCAATCCCAGTAGCTCAGGAGGCTGAGGCAGGAGGATCATGAATTCAAAGCCAGCCTCAGCAAAATCGAGGCCCTAAGCAACTCAGGAAGACCTTGTCTCTAAATGAAATACTAATCCCTGGTACCCAAAAAATAAAAAATTAAACCAAGGAAAGTGCAAGTTATCAGAGGTCTTAAAAGATTTCAAGAGAAACTCATCCAGTATTTATTAAGCACCCTTTGGGTTGTTATTTCTGACATTTTAATATATGAAGAGAAACAGAAAAAAAATCAAGAAAATAAATCTGAATGCTTCCCAGTAGGTATCTAGGTAATTAGGTGGACAGATCAGATTTGATTAGAGCCACTTAGGAGATTTTTGCAGATGGTGGTGGCGGTGGTCAGATTCTTCAGGGAGAGGAGCAAGGTGCTGTAGCACTACAAACAAATTAACAAAAAATAATGAAATTAAAATTTATTGAAAATGGCCTCACACTAATAACGCTCAGATTTCAAATAAAACCTGCCACTCCATGCATCAAAATGTCACCCAGACTTTTTCCTGAGCTCACAGGAACGGAAGGATTCAAACTCTTAGCAATGTGAAGTCCAGTTCACTCCCACTGGTAAACCATCAGCCCCTGAGACTCCTGGGCTGACTCCGCTTCCTCCCCTTCCCCTTCATCCTCCCAACTCCTGCTCTGTTTGTTGGCCCACGTGGCCAGCGAATGAAAAGACCTGCTTATGGTTGGGGAACTTGCTAAGGTGAACAGAAGGATAACAGAAAAAAAACAGGAGGGATTTTATTTCTTTTTCTTAGCGAAGACAAAAGGGAGGAAATGTAGACAGATACCATCAAGGGTTAAGTGACAACCTTGCTGGCCAAATGATTTATTTAACTGCTCCAAACCTTAATTTCCTCTGGCATACCATGCCCACAGTTAAGGGGCATGATATACTTTATGTGGGCAGACCATAAATGTTAAACGAATGAATGAATAAATGAGCCCAGCTACTCAGGAGCTGAGCTTCTTATCACTAATCTAGAAATAAAAAAAAATAAAAATAAAAAACTGATTGGAGGAAATCATTAAAAAAAAAAAGACATAGGATCCTTCTATACCTTGACTTAGTTATATGATATTCATGTAGGAGAAGGTGTTTGCAGACCAAGGTTTTGGAGATGATGGGATATTAGGTTTATGATTTGCTCTCCAATTGTTCAGAAAAAGACTAAATAATGAATATAGAGGCAGGAGGAGCAAGGTTGGTAAAATTGGAGCCTCTGGTGAGGAGAGGCAGGTGTCCCATTCGGAAGGGATAAGGGAGACCTTTGTGATGTTTTTGCAATATTCTTTAAGTTGGAAATTTTTCAAATTAAGTTATTTGTTAAAATTTAAATATATATATATATACACACACACACACACACACACACACACACACACACAAAGAGAGTATGTGTTTTCTTTCCCAAGGGAGTGAAGAACAGAGCTGGTTTTATTATAGTATTTCTAAATTTCTGACTTGAGTCAGGTATGGTGGTGCAGGCCTGTAATCCCAGCAGCTTGGGAAGCTGAGGCAGGAGGATCATGAGGTCGAGGCCAGCCTCAGCAATTTAGCAAAGGCCTAAGCAACTTAGATACCCTGTCTCAAAAAATAAAAAGGGCTGGGGATGTGGCTCCATGGTAGAGCACCTCTGGGTTCAATTCCTAGTACGCCCCCAAAAATAATTCTGACATATTTTAGGAAGCTGTTTTTAATCCCAGATTTGCACTGTAATGATAATAAGAGGAGTAGCTGTTGCAGTCACAGCACAAGAGAAAAAGATCTCTTCCTACTTTTTCATTGATTTTTTTTTTCCCCATGATTTTCTCTCTCCTGGTCTTCTCCTTTCCTCCCTGTCTCTCCTCCCACCCAGGCAGCTGAAATAAAATGTCTCTGGGAATAATGCCAATTCCTGGCTTTCACTTCAAGTCTTACTATTAAATTCCAGTAAATATCAGATCATATGAAGAGCTCCCCCTCATATTTTTTTTTTCAACCCATTGCTACCCAAACTCCAGATTCCTTTGAAAACTAAAGACTTTTTCCAAAAATGTGTGATGTTAGTTTTCCTGGAGCCTAACAAAAATTAATTAAATAAATAAATAAATAAAAACTCTCAATCCCTGCATTGCTATTTGCAGGACATACCCTTGAGGTCCCTCTCTCCTTGTCCTTGGCTGTCTTTGAGTCAGACCTGACATATCTGGAACCCCTGGGTGGAGGTCACAGACATGACGTCAGGGAGGAAGTGCTGTCCCAAAGAACACGTTTGTTCATTGTGACCGGGATCTTTATTGCTGTGTGTGGGAACTGATTTCCCGGTGGACACACACCTTCTCCATAACCCCCCTGGAAGCCTCCGCACCTGTTAACCCTGAGCCCCTGACCTGGCTGCATTGATTCACAGAAGGCTCTTTGAAACTCCCAACATAAAGAAGCTGTGACTTAAAACTAAGTCACTCCTGAGAACCTTAGGGATAGTTCAGTGGTTCTCAATGAGCGGTGATTTTCATCCTCCTGTAGACCTACAGCAATGCCTGGGGACAGTTTTGGTGATGACATATTGTGCAGGAGTGCTCCTGGGATCTAGAGGTAGTGACCAGGGATGTTCCTGGCCAGCTTACCAGGCACAGCCTAACCCCTGATCTCAAAGGATTAGCTCAACTGAACTTGGGCCAAAATTGTAGCCTCTGTCGAGGAGAGGCAGGTGTCCCATTCGAAAGTCAGAGTTAAAGGGACAGTTGCCAACTCTATGTAATGACAACAGAGCCATTAGAAGCTCTGCTCTCTAAAGAGATCACATCCCTGCGAAACATTGTATGAGCTCCCAGGCAGGCATGCAGGGCTCCCAGATCCAAACGAGGTTTCCAAGGATGAGCCAGAAGTTGGTGTGCAATCGTCTTTCCAGGCTGTGAGTCTGAACATCTAGCAGCACCACTCACCTGGGAAGCAGGAAGAAGTCAGGGTGTGCCCGCGTGCCCCAGGAGATGGGCAGACAGTCTGCATTTTGGCACCAGTGATCAGCTTTTAAAGAATGGCATGAATGTAGGGGGACATTGCTTCCCCCCACCCCCAACTGGGGATTGAACTCAGGGGCACTCAACCACTGAGCCCCATCCCCAGCCCTATTGTGTATTTTATTTAGAGACAGGGTCTCACTGAGTTGCTTAGGGCCTCACTGTTGCTGAGGCTGGCTTTGAACTCACGATCCTCCTGCCTCAGCCCCCCGAGCCACTGGCATCACAGGCGTGCACCACTGAGCCTAGCTAGAACTCTGTCTTGTCTAGGTCATTTCTTTGCAGTCTGTCTTCAGTCTGTCTATTGTGTTTTTCCATCTGGAAGACACTATGTGGCATCGGGGTCCTGGCAATATCCATGGCTCGGAGCTGAACTTTCAGTGCTCTCCTGGCTTTTCCATAGTGGCATAGTATCTCGAGTTCCCAGCTTCTGTGACTTATTTGTTTGTCTGATGTTACATTCTCAGATGACCTTCCTCCTAAATGTCACCTGTGATCTACATAGCTGTGCAGTTATGAATTAAATTTTAAGCCATAAGAGTACTCTCTTAGTTTGGGATTGAACGGACACAGGAGATTAGAGAGTCCCATAGTTACTTACCTGGTCTTTAGGATAAATGGTGCATTGGGCGGAATCTTTACTTCGTCCTTATGTATTATGGTGGGATAAGTGGCTTTAGGTTCTATTAGACTATTATTGGATGCATTTGTTTGTGAATTACATTAGTCGAGCGTTTCCATACACCGGGCACCGTCAATTGAATAAACACACACACAGAAAAACTTGAATTCATCAAGCTTATGTTCTAGAGTAAGGGGAGACCTATAAATAACAAAATAAGAGGAATTAAATATATTTCATGAAAGGAAGAAATAAGTGCTATAGGCAAACTAAACTAGGGCAGAAAAATGGATAGGGCATAGTAGGGAAGAGAGGGGGTAGGAACTATTATTTTAAGAAGGTTTGGGGAAGTCTCTGTTAAGAAGGAGACATTTGAAAGAAGATGCTGAATGGCTTAGGGCCTCACTGAGTTGATGAGGCTGGCTTTGAACTCTCGATCCTCCTGTCTCAGCCTCCCGAGCTGGTGGGGTTACAGATGTGCACCACTGCACCCAGCTAAGCATCTTGCATAAGAAAACTGAGGAATATGTGGCACTAGCCAAACCAGTTCTGACTAGTCCCAAAACCATGTTCATAACCATCACATTTCTCTACCTCAGTCCCTGGACTCCCATCTGAATAAATCTTAGAGTAGTACAGAAATAATTTCAATTTTCAGAAAACCATCAAGTATAATTGTAGTCCTTCCTAATGCCCAGCCTTGCTGTTGCCTGCCATTTGCATGTTAGCCAATATCCATGTTGTATTCATCCTTTCATGGTGGCACTTGTGAGTCATTTCTTTGCCCAAAGATGGGCAGGAGGAGGGAACAGGAAGATTTTGAATCATGCATATTAACAGTGACTGTGTGCTCTCTGAACTAGCAGCCCATCAATGAAAGATTGGAGGGCGAACAGCTAATTTCCCCTCTGGCTGAGATACATTTCCCTGGATTCCACACAGATATTTATTCTCATCTCAGTTTCTAGGTGGCATTAATATCCAACCAAAGCCAAGTGATTATATAAGTTGACTCCCCTCCCCCGCAAAAAAGGTTGCAAACTTTTCAGCACACTGCCCCCTTGGTAACCATAGGGAATTGGTTCCAGGATCCCAGACAGATACCCAAATCTGCAGATGCAAATGCCCAGTCCTTTACAGAGAGTGGTGTAGTGCATGCATATAGTTCATGCATCTCCTTCCGAAATTTTATATCTTCTCCAGACTACTTATAATGCCTAATAAAGTATAAATGTTTCATAAATGATTGTTATATTCTATCTTTTAGGAAATAATAACAAGAAAAAATCTTGCATGTTAGGTACAGATGCAGTTTTTGGTTTTTCCTGAATGTTTTATTTTCGGGGAGGGGAAGGCGGGGATTCATTGAACTCAGGGGCACTTGACCACTGAGCCCCATCCCCAGCCCTATTTTGTATTTTATTTAGAGACAGGGTCTCACTGAGTTGCTTAGCGCCTCGCTTTTACAGATGTTGGCTTTGGACCTGCAATCCTCCTGCCTCAGCCTCCCAAGCCACTGGGATTACAAGTGTGTGCCACGGCACCTGGCTCTTGCATGTTTTTAATATGAGGTTGGTTGGATCCAGGAACCCCAACTCCAAAGAGATACAAAGGGCAGACTCCATGGTGTACTGGGCAGCTAGTCTGTAAAGATGCTACCCTAGCACTAAGCTCATGAGAAAAGGCAAGAATTCAGACAGTGGAGTGCACTCTGTCCTGGTGGCTTTTATTAAATCAAATTAACTTTACTTATTTAGGTACTGGAGATTGAACCCAGAGGCGCTTTACCACTGAACCACATCCCAGCCCTTTATTATTATTATTATTATTATTATCATTATTCATATATTTATTTATTTATTTATTTTGAGACAGAGTCTCGCTAAATTGCTGAGGCTAGGTTTGAACTCTCGATCCTCCTGCCTCAGCCTCCCCAACAGCTGGGGTGACAGGCATGAGCCTCCCAGTCCTTTTTTTTTTTTTTTGATTCTTTATTTTTGAGATAAAGTCTCTCTAGATTTCTTAGACTATCCTCAAACTTGTAATCCTCCTGCCTTAGCCTCCTGAGTGGCTGGGATTACAGATCTATGCAACTGTGCCTGGCTGTCCTGGTGTTTTTAAAATGTTCGATGGACATACATGTAGCTTATTGAGAAATGGATGAGATTTAGAGGGTGGATGTGTGTTGGGAACATGAGACAAACTGCACGTAGCACAGACAGGCCGCAGGGACTGTTTTTGGGCAGAAACATTCCTGATGGTGTCCTAAGCTCCCCAGATCTGTCCCTGATCGCCCTGGGCAATAGCATAGAACATCAAGTGAGACTGCTCCAGCACTGTCATCGCTGGCAGAATGACATCTCCAAGTGGCCTTGGGCCCTTCAGCCCAGAACTTTGATCACCTGAAAATACCAAAACCTTTGGTCGCTGTCCCCCACGCCATAGCTTCCCCATCAGCAATGTATTCAGACATTTCCTCACTCACCTTTGGAACAGCTGAGAGTCAGGATCCTGGGGGCGTCTCGCCCCTGCCCCTCCCTGTCCTCCAGACACAATTTTCAGAGACACTCCCGCAGCCAGCAGGAGGGAGGGCTCCTGAAATGGTTTCCATGTCTTCCCTGAAAAACGCCAACATCGTTATTCAGGTTGCAAAGAATCACGAGCTATAAGGTTGAAAGGGAAAAAATAAGTAAGTCCTGCAGAAATAGGTCAAGTGCTTAAGAAAGGGGACTCCAAGAACACTTGGGGGATGGCAGGGCCTGGTGATCGGGCGGGCATCATGTTCCCAGGGGTGCCCTGGATATGCCCAGTAGAACTCATCAGGTACCACATTTGCAGATTTTCTTAGCTTTTGTTTCTCTCTTTTTAAATTGTTTTATTTGTTCCTTTTAGTTATACATGACAGTCAGGTGCATCTTGACATAGAATACACACATGGAGTCTAACTTCCCATTCTTGTGGTTGGACATGATGTGGAGTTTCCCTGGTCGTGTGTTCATATATGAGCATAGGAAAGTTCTGTCCCATTCATTCCACTGTCTTTCCTATTCCCATCCCCCTCCCTGTTTCTTTCTCCTTCTTCTTCTTCTTTAGTACTGGGGAGTGAATCCAGTGGTGCTTAATCACTGATCCCCTTTCTCAAACCCCACCTTTTTTTCTTTTTATTTAGAGACAGGGTCTCACTGAGTTGCTTAGAGCTTCACTAAGTTGCTGAGGCTGGCTTTGAACTCACAATCCCCCTGCCTCAGCCTCCCGAGCCTCTGGGATTCCAGGTGTGCACCACCACTCCCAGCTTTCTTGATAGGGAGAAAAACTGTAATAATCAGACCCTTGCAGAGCAAAAGGAACCCTGATTGGGTTTCCACAGCTTATGTAACTAATTTCAGGTACTGCTGTATCTAATGCTAAAATACATTTCCCCTTCTACTATGAAGTTGTTACATTGTGAAGGGACAGCTGGAGAGCCCTGTGTCCCCTAATTCTCTGCAGGGAAGGGGGGTAATAATGGGAAGTGGAGGGCAGGGACGCCTCTTGCTGTGTCCCCTTATGTTCCTGGTCCTGCCATTGACCCTGTTAGGCAGGGCCACCTACTTGGCTCTTATATTGACAGCAGCCTTCACATGTGCTCCAAAAGTTGACATGCGAGTCTTAGTTCCTTTTCGTAGATCTTTGTAGAATTGTGAAGTCTGGACGTTGTGGGGCCAGTGGGGATGGCCAAGTGTCCCATCTGGCTGGAATGACAGTAACTCCCACATCCCCTTTTTTTCTAGGCTATTCCCTGCCACTCTCATTCTTCTCAGCTTCTTTCCGTGGTCATAAGTGCCAGGGTGGTCCCTGACACAAACAGCCATCAGGACTGTCAACCCTGGCTTTATGCTCTCAAGTCAGAGCCCTTGTTTCCTGGTGAAGCTTGCTCCCTGTTCCTCCTCAATATTTTTGGTTCTTGGTGGCTCTGTTCAAAGCCATTCTTGTTTTGTGAGAAGTTCTATAAAAAGCCTTTTTTTTTTTTTTGGTGCTGGGGATAGAACTCAGATTCTCGTTCATGCCAGGCAAGTGCTCTACCACTGAGCCATATTTTATTTAGAGACAGGGTCTCACTGAGTTGCTTAGGGCCTTGCTAAGTTGCTGAGGCTGACTTTGAACTCGAGATCCTCCTGCCTCAGCCTCCCCAGCCTCTGGAATCACAGGCATGTGCCACCACATCTGGCTGGAGCTATGCTTTTTTTGACCCAGGACTGTGACCACTCCCACAGCACCTGGGCACAGCAAGGAAACGAGTGACTATGTAGAATGTATAGGGTGACGTGATCACAGTTGCTGATTCTTATCTCTGATGCCGAGTCTGTGTCTCTGGACCTTTGAAGAACTGATATCACAAAATAGTAAAGAGAAACAGCTCAAGTTGAGAAAGAAAAATATAGAATAGAGAAGATGCATGGCATTTGGATGAGGTACCTTAGTTTTCTGTTTGTTGATGAGAGGTCCCCGTATTGGTATCATCTGTAGGAGGAAAAAGAGCACCAGAAACAGAATCTTCAGCATGTGTGTCTGTCCCGTGGACCTCTCTGTGCCCTTTAGAAAAGACAGCGCTTCACTCATTCATAAGGATGGGATTTTGTGTGATTTATTCCTGCTGTGCCTGTTGAAGTCTCTAGTAGACTCCTCAGTGAGCTGGGGTTGTAGCTTGGTGGGTACATGCTTGCCTACCATGTGCTAAGGCCCTGCTTCAATCACCCCCCAAGAAAATGAGTTCTCATCTTAGACTCTGTAGACAATTTTTTTTTAGAATATACCTTTACAAGCTGGGTTCTCACTAAGTGGCTGAGGCTGGCCTTTGAACTCAAGATCCTCCTGCCTCAGCCCCCTAAGCCACTGGGATGACAGGTGTGAACCATCAAATCCGGCTTATCCTCATTCCTCCTGGGAGGTAGAGGAAGCAGAGAACTCTGAAATAGCCCCAGGGTCCTGTTGCCACTTTGTCATGAGTAGGCAGACTTGAGCAACCTGCTGATTTAATCGGGTCACTTCTCTTGGATGGCCTTAGGATGATCAGATGGTTCTAGACACCTCTGTGCTTTCTAGAAAGCCTGACTCTGCTGTGACCTGGATTGGTGACCCAGGGCAAGTGATATCACTCTTTGATTCTCAGTCTTCTTATCTATAAGAAGGAATACTGATGATACCTGGGTCATAAGGACACTTCTGGAATTGAGAGAAGCCAGTGGACTTCAGCACAGTTTCTGCTTACAGTCAAAACTCAATAAAAGGTCATTTTGCTCCAAGGAAAAGAATAGCTTAGCATAGCTTTTTTGAATCTAAATAGCTTGTGCCGGATTCGTTGAGCATGAGTGCTGTGAGTCCGATTCTAGGTGGATCTTTCCTTATGGAAACAGGACATTTGGTTTACGATGTGTCTGTGGCTACAGCTCTCACGTGATCATTGATTTCCATCCATATTTGCTGACTGGCCACAGCCTAGGAAGCAGGAAGGACACGTGCGTGAGTGGCCCCTTCTGTCTTTCCTACTGGTGAGCCCACGTGGTTTCCTGGGCCTTCCGTGGAGCTGTGTGTGAGACTTTGGTCCCTAAGTCTGCATCCTTGACTTGGATTTTCTTTCCCCCGTGGAATAATAGCAACAGGCAGGATCTGTTCCCCTTTCCTAATGGTGTGACCCGTATGCAACATGCACCTTCATTTGTCACTGTGATTGGCACAGCCAGGCCTGTCCCTTGAGCATACACATGACATCTCCAATAGTACACTTTTCAGGTGAGCTCTGACTTTGTTTCAATAAGAGCTTTCTTGTGATGCAAAGGTACAACCGAATATTATTTAAAGGAAAGTGATTTTAGATGTTATTTTCAAATTCTGTGAAATCACAGGCAAAAGACCTTGAAAAGACCAGAAAGACCATTTCCTGTCTGCAAAAAGGATTTGACCCACCTGCCTTGGGGTGATGCTACCACCTGGTTAGAAAAAGACCCCAGGAGAGTCCTGACTTAACTTGGCAGGGCTCCAGGGTACAGCGTTCCTCCTGCCCTTTCAGTCCTTGTCATTTCTAACCTGCTGTCAACCAGCTCTGGGTTTGGAAATATGTACTACTTGATGAACGTGATGATGCACGCCTGTGATCCCAGCAGCTGGGGAGGCTGAGGCAGGAGGATCTCGAGTTCAAAGCCAGCCTCAGCAAAAGCGAGGCCCTAAGCCACTCAGTGAGACCCTGTCTCTAAATAAAATACAAAACAGGGCTGGGGATGGGGCTCAGTGGTTATGCACCCTGGTACAAATACATACATATATATCCTTTATCAGCATCCCCTGTGACACATTTGCAATATACAGAGTCTCCATCTCATCCATCCTGATTGTGAATCACCTGTGCCTAGAGACTAAATAAGCAAAGGCTGCCGCCCCACCCCCACCCCCAGGACCATCCATTAACCCCGTAGGTATCAGGAGGCATCTGCTCTGGCTCCAATGGTCCTGATTGGCACCCCGCCCTCACCAGGACTTCCTCTAAGCCCCAGCATCTTGTAACCCCACCCAGAAGCTTCCTTCTAACCAGAGCCTATGCATCCCTGACCCCCACCTGCCCTTCCTCCTCCTTCTTGGTCCATTTGGTGGACTTACCAACTCTGTGTGTGACTCCATCTTCATGGTGAGGTCCCAGGCCTCAGCAGTATCCTTGGGGATCTTGTTCTCTTTAAGTCTCCAGGTCTTCTCACCCAAACACACGGGGTTATTTGCTGGCTTCTTAATGATTAAGAAATTGTCGCCGAGTATGGTGGCCCACGCCTGTCATCCCAGCAGCTCTGGAGGCTGAGGCAGGAGGATCAAGAGTTCAAAGCCAGCCTCAGCAACTTAGTGAGGCCCTAAGCCACTCAGGGAGACCCTGTCTCTAAATAAAATGCAAAATAGGGCTGGGGATGGGGCTCAGTGGTTGAGTGCCCTTGAATTCAATCTCCCCCACCAAAAAAAAAAAAAAGAAAAGAAAAGAAAGAAAGAGAAGAAATTATGCTTCCCAGTGTAAGTTAAAGAACGAATAAAAGGAACCAGAACAGGACACAGGACCCAAATCTCTTGGTTCTGTATCCACTCAAGAGAGAGCAAGCCCTAGGAGAGAGGTTGTGAACACACTGCCCACATCTCGAATTTCATTTCCACCAGATGAGTTGAAATGTAAGACTTCAAACTCTTAGTCTGTCCTTATGGAAGGTGTTAACCCCAGATCTGAACAAAACTCCTCATCCTAGCATCCCCTCTGAATACCTGAAAATGTGACTGTGTGACCAATAGGATTCTGCAACATGTAAACTCAGGAAAATAAGAAATCATATCCCATCTATATATGATCTATCAAAGTGCATAAATGCATTCTACTGTCATGTATAACTAATTAAAACAAATACAAAAATTAATTAAAAAGAACAAAGCCTGAAAACCCCAGCATTTGGGATACTTGATTTTGTGATTCTACATTGTTCACCAGTCTTGCTCCAAGTTGTGGGGGAAATCAATCTCTTAAATAAGTTGGGTTGTTTCCCAGGAGGAAAAAAAATGTTAGAATCCTACTGGCAAAGCAAGAGGCTATTTCAGCTGAAAATTTAGGGAATTAAGTGTTCCCAAGACCAAGAGCTCTCCGATACGTAGCCAATAAATAACACGGAGTAGGTGATGCACTAAATATAGCTATTACAGCCCAGTGACGCACGCTGATGTGAAAGTCCTCTTTGCCTGGAAAAGGACTAGAAGTGATCAGATGGAAATTTCCCTGAGAACGTAAGAGCTAAAACCTGTGTTTATTTGATTATCGAAATGACAGCTCCTTTACGAAGTCATCCCAGACCCATGAATAAACCTGTTATTTTTGAACATTTCCATCAACAGCTGCTTTTCTTCATTGGTCATTTAGAAAGCATTAAATGAAGTGTTTGCTGTCAGATTAGATACCTTGAGTGGTTCCTAATCACTTTCAGATCTTAATGATTTCAGGCAAGGAATATGTGTGGTGACTCATGCAAAGTATTACATTCTCCCCTCCCCCACACCCAAGGCGCTTCCATTCAAGTCCTTAAGGATGGAAAAAAAAATGCACATTTGAATGGGTAGGATGCAGCTAGTCTAGATATTAAAAAGATATTGCCAGAGGCGGTGGTGCATGCCTGTAACCCCAAGGACCCTGGAAGCCGAGGATTGAGAATTCAAAGCCAGCCTCAGCAACTTAAGGAGTCCATAAGCAACTCAGTGAGACCCTGTCTCCAAATAAAATACAAACTAGGGCTGGGGATGGGGGCTCAGTGGTCGAGTGCCCTGAGTTCAATTCCCAGCACTCCCCCTCCAAAAAAAAAAAATCTTTAAGGCATGCTATGTAGAAATTCCTTCATCCAACCCCATTTCATTGGCAATATATATGGTGGCGGCATCAGTGACACACATCAGATGAATTACTATCAGGTAGATTGTTGATGATTAAATTACTTTTCCAATGTGTGGTTATGTTCCCAACAGAAATAGACCCACTTGTGAGAAGTAGGATTCAAAGCCCTTGTGGGGACACCATTGTGAAAGCACTACTTGTCTCCAATAATAGCACCTATCTCTGGTATTGAGCGCCACTGGTTATTGAAATGATTAAGTGAGATAATACACATCAAGTCTTAGGGCACTTCCTGGCACATAACGTGTTTGAGACAGTTAAGCCTCTGCTGATTCTGCCACCCTGGTGTGGTGGCCTTCTTTTAAGCTGCATCCTCTGCTGACCATAGCAGGTTACTTAATTAGTATTTCCATCACCTTCCATCACCCTCCTCATTGCAAGAGACAGCTTGTTTGGACTGTTTGTATGGAGGAATGACTATCCCTAAGGATACCCTTGCTTTAAGTTCATGCCTGTTCATTTGATTTAATAGAACTATGTTTCTTCACTCTGATCAAGCAAATGTTACCACCTACGATGCCATATTCCTGATGTCCAACCCATTTCCTACCAATGAATATATTCTTGACTCCCCATGCGGTTCTTCCCGGTACTCCCCATCTCTTAACAGGGTGGTAGATGTTATTATTGTCTATCTAATCATCCAAAACAGAAAACTGAAAGTCATCCTTGACTTTGCCCCCCAACCTCTACCCCACAGTGGATTCATTGGGCAATATCATGTATACACCAAAAAAAATATATATATAGATATAGATAGATAGATAGACAGACAGACACACACACACACAAACACACACGGTTTTAGTTTGCCACTCTTCCCCACCCAGACAGTGCAGCCTAATCCAAGCCACCATTGTCTCTTGCCAGGACAATTTCAGTAGCTTTCTGAGTGGTTCTTCTTCTTTCCACCCATGCTATATTCATATCCAATTTCCACTGAGTAGCCAAAGTAGATTTTTTTCTTTTTCTTTTTTTTATTTTTTTGGGTACCAGGGATTGAACTCTGGGGCACTTGACCACTGAGCCCCATCCCCAGCCCTATTTTGTATTTTATTTAGAGATAGGATCTCCCTGAGTTGCTTAGGACCTCACTAAGTTGCTGAGGCTGGCTTTGAACTCAAGGATCCTCCTGCCTCAGCCTCCCGAGCGCCTGGGATTATAGGCATGCACCACCTCACCCAGTGAATTGGACTTTTTTCTTCCATACTGAATACTATTAAGATTTTTCCAGAATAACTACTCCAAATCATAGCATTCAGAAGATGAAAGATCAAATGCATGTTTCCACCTTCTAAAGTGAAAAACCTAAACGTGTTGACACCCGCATTTTAAACTTCTCTACTCACTCCCATTGAAACTTTTATAATGGTTTGATTTACTAAAAAAACATGCCTTTGGATGGTTTAACCAGGAGCCTGCTTGGTGACCATGGCTGAATTAACATGAGGCTCCTTGTTTGACATGGAGCTATTTATCTATGAGGCATAAAAGGGCACTTTGGTAATGTAAGCTAAGGAAATCACCCAGTTAGCGGGGGGAAATGAGAAATATTGAATTGAGGGAAAGGAAGTTGAAATCTATTTTTATCGCATGTTCACATTTTGTTCTTCATTCTTAAATTCATTTCCCTCCAAAAAGCCGGACCATTATATTGGGGAGTAATGTGTCTTGAAAACCTGAGCCAGCAGCTTAGGATCCAGCGGTAATGACTTCTGGAACCGCTAATGAGGCGGTGGACGTTGACTGTCTCGGTGCGCTGATTAGGGCCAGCCTCTTGCCTGGTCCACAGAAGCTGTCAGATCAGATCTTTGTCCAGACTCCGTGGGCACTTTGATTCCTGAACCTTTCTGAGAAACCTAATCTGAAATCAAAGTCAAGCTTCTCAGATGCGGTCAGACAAGGTCACATTTAAAACAGCCCAGGGAACCCGCAGATCAGAGTTGAAAGGTGACGCCTCCCCCCACCACACACACACACACACACACACACACACACATACATACACACACACAGTTGGAACAGGCTTACCTGCTACTGCATCTTCCGGTTTTCCATTGGCCTTTTGCATCTCCTCCCAATGGACTGGAGACATGGGAGCTTTTTCTCTGGAAAATGGCCCAAGAGTTTTCCTTAAAAAAGCCTTAAAAATATGGACACAGGGGATTTTGAAAACATATCTTACTATTTGATAGTAGGACTTTTTATTTATTTATTTTATTTGTTTGTTTGTTTATGTATTTACTTTGGTACCGGGAATTGAACCCAGGGGTCTTAACCACTGAGCCATGCCCCCAGCCCTATTTTGTATTTTATTTAGAGACAGGGTCTCACTAAGTTGCTTAGGGCCTCGCTAAATTGCTGAGGCTGGCTGTGAACTTGGGATTCTCCTGCCTCAGCCTTGATAGAAGGACCTCTTTTAATCAGATTCTCAAGGTAACTCTGGGTACATGAGCTCTGTTTCTGGCCTCAGTGATCAGAATCTATCCACACTCTTAAGGGAGACAGGATGACACTTGGGGTTGCTGTGGGACATGTGTTCTCAATGCCACCTGTATTCCCAGTGGAGCCTTGAGATAGGATCCAAAGTGGCTCTGGAAAAGGAGGGCATGGTGACTCTGGTTAGACGCGCTCTTGACCTTGATGTCTCTCAGGCAGGCTTTACCACCTCCATGTGATTCAACAACAACCTTGCCGTTGCTTTATGTTGCAGTGCTCTGTGTCTTGTGGTCGAGGGCACAAACAGCGAAATGTTTACTGCATGGCAAAAGATGGAAGCCAGTTAGAGAGTGATTACTGTAAACACCTGGCTAAGCCACATGGGCACAGAAGGTGCCGAGGAGGACGGTGTCCCAAATGGAAGGCTGGCACGTGGAGTCAGGTGAGCAATGCTTCTCCCCTACTGGCTGCTTCCTCCTGCCGCGGTCGCTCCCGTTTCTCTGCATGGGCTTGGTGTCACAGAGGGGCACTCGAGACTGGGAGGGACGAGTCTTTATGGAACACTCTGGACACTCACCAGGTGACCTTGAGCAGGTGGATTCAGTCCCTGAAGCTTTGCATAATACCTTCTAGGGGTGATTGCAAGGAGGAGTTCCATGTGGTAGTGGGTGTCTGAGGTCTCGCACCCCTTGATCCTTGGCTAATGGCCTTGGTCACTCACCACTTAGAAAACCACTGATTCAGGTCCCACCGAGGCTGAGTGGGTTTGAATTTATCTTGGAGGTTCTCTCTTTCCTTCCTTCCTTCCTTCCTTCCTTCCTTCACCAGGGATTGAACCCAGGGGCCCTTAACCACGGAGCCCCATCCCCAGCCCTATTTTGTATTTTATTTAGAGACAGGGTCTCACTGAGTTGCTTAGGGCCTCACTAAGTTGCTGAGGCTGGCTTTGAACTCAGATCCTCCTGCCTCAGCCTCCTGAGCTGCTGGGATGACAGGTGTGCGCCACAGCACCCAGCCCGGATTTTTCTTAAATGTCTAGAGCTGCTGGAAGCCTTGTCCTCCCTACCCCCAGCCACATTTCATATCACAGAAGTGTGACATACAGGACACCATCCCTGGCACAGTAACCTCATCCCTCCCAAGCCCTTCGTCATCAGGAAACATGGAGCTGCTGTCTCTTCTAATTCAACAAAGAGTCTGTGCCCAGGTAGAGATGGTTCCGTAAGGAATCCCATTCAAGCATTGTGGCCTACTGCTCGTCCTTCTGCATGGTTTCTAATGACCACTGTCATCTGCTAACTGCCCGTCCTCCTTATTTGGGGAGCTCTCTGGTTCATCTGAAGCCTGCAGCCAGCGTGATTAAGATGCCCCACTAATTAGCTTGGCTTCTTGTAAACTTTACACTCTTGCTCTTCTTTATGTCCCTTGGCCTCTATTTATCTATTCTACATTTCTCCCTGAATATTCAGCTCAGAGCACATAAACGATGCTCATTTTAAAGGCCAGTTTACTCACTAAAGAGATGATTAAAAGACTCTCTTGTTCCTTATTGGTAAACACAGGGAGTTTACTCAGTATCCCATGATCTTATGGGGGAAGCCTAAAACTGCTTACAAAATTGGGATGATTAGGTTTAACTCTGGGCGGTTTGGGGAATGGGTACTGGGGATTGAACTCAGGAGCATGGACCACTGAGCCCCCCATCCCCAGCCCTATTTTGTATTTTAGTTAGAGACAGGAGGGTCTCACTGAGTTGCTTAGCACCTTGCTTTTGCCGAGGCTGGCTTGGAATCAGGATCCTCCTTTCTCAGCCTCCTGAGCTGCTGGGATGACAGGCATGTGCCACCGCACCTGGCTTTTTAATTTTTTTTTTTTAATTTTTGTAAACATAAGGTAATGGGATTATCAGAATGCCTTCCCAAACAAACCACACCAATTGTTCAAACCAATTGCCACCTTTAAAGGAGAGGCAAGCAAACCCAGTTATGTAATGGTCTGTGGCCAGCTTGATAATGTCCTGATATGATTTGTAGAAATGCGTTATAAAAGCTGGACAGACAGGGTGCAGCCTGGGAAGCTGTGCTTTGTGCAATTTAGAAGCGTGCCTGAAACTCATCCACATGATCAGAGACTGTTGGCTCCCTAGAGATCAGCAGGAAACAGCAGCGTCCCCAAGGCAGGACTGTTGGGCAAGAGTGATTATGGCCCATTGGCAAGGATATTTAGGAGATTTTATATCTGGTCTTCCTACTCTTTTGCTGGTAGCTATATTTCAGTCTTCCTGTCTTCAAGGTAGAAAAAATAATTAGTGCAATTTTTCACGGTGTCAAAAATACCGGATGATAATAAGGCAGACAGAGTATTGGGATGGGAGACTCCTATAGCCATGTTACTCTTAATAGTCTCTCCCCAAAATTTGGTGTTTTGAGATTTGAAATGGAATGTTTTGTTTCAATGTCTTTTTAGAAATCTTGAAGTTTTGAAGGGAATCAGCTGGGTTGGGTTTTGTTTGTTTTGTTAAAAAACATCATCACTAAAGACTTCAAGGGGCTCCCCCCCACCACTACCGAGAGTTCATGTTCAAGGCTGTGGCTGGGGCTCACTGGTAGAGCACTTGCCTCACATGTGTGAGGCCCTGGGTTTGATCCTCAGCACCACATAAAAATAAATAAATAAAATAAAGGTACTGTGTCCATCTACAACTAAAAAAGAGAGAAAGTTCATGTTCAATTTGTTTACATGGTTTGGATCAAGAGCTAAGGGATATCCATGAAATTTATTTATTTTTTTAGTTTTAGTTTTTATTGTTTTGGTACTGGGGATTAAACCCAGGAGCACTTGACCCCAGCCCTATTTAGTATTTTATTTAGAGTCAGGGTCTCACCAAGTTGCTTAGTGCCTCACTATTGCTGAGGCTGGCTTGAACTCTCAATCCTCCTGCCTCAGCCTCCCAAGCCACTGGGATTATAGGCGTATACCACTGTGCCCAGCTACCCATACAATTTTAAAACAAACATCACCATCGGCTTCTTAATTCAGCCTGATAAATTTGAAGGCTCTGTATTCTCATCTTTTAAAAACAGTTCAGAGCAGAATTTTAAAACTTATTCCTGTTCCTATATAAAGGATTTTTTGTTTGGCTGGTTGGTAAGCTGTTTTTTGTTTTGTTTGTTTGTTTGTTTGTTTTTACTTAAAATGAAGCTGAAAATAAAAATCAGTGATCGGTTTGGAATGAAAATGTACTTCACCATTCATTAGTCATGATTCTTTCAATCAGTTCATGCGTCAATCCTGAGACATAGGTCTCTATCATGATTCAACACCTTGGCAGTTAGCATGGGCCCAACACACAGTGGAATGCTGTGACTTAATTAACAGTCCTGGTTTCTTTCTTACTTATTCAAAAATGCAAGGATACATCTTGTAGTCCATGGTGTCTTCGATGTAGTGAAATAAGGACCCAGTTTTTAAAGATCTTCAGTGCTAAAGTTGAAATAGCAGCTGCTCTGTTATGACTTTTCTTGTAATTGCAATGCAAGCCACTAGGTGGTGGTGTCTGAGACTGACGCATGCCTCAATGTGTAATGGAGAAACGAGTATATGAGTATATGTGGACTTTGTATCCTTTGAGAGGTTAAGGAAACCATATGCATATGGCCAGGATGAGAACAAAGTTGCTTTCATGATTTCTGCTCTCCATTTGCCTGGGTTTTGTTTGCACTCCTCACCAACACTCTTGCTGAGAGATACAAGAAAACATCATGATTGCCATAGTTTAAAACTGGAGTCAGTTCCAACCCACAGTATCTATGCTGCATTGCCCTGGACAAGGTTTATTTGGATTCATTTTTGTTCCTTTTTGCTTTTGTTGGAGCTAAGGTGATTATCTCTGTTCTTTACTTATTTGTGGAATACCTACATAAAAAGGTTTGTTAGGAAATAAAAAAGATGTTTCATGGAAAATGCTGAGCATAGAACTAAGCCCTCAACTGGGGGTAATTTTGTACCCCATGGGACATTTGGCAATGTCTGGAGACAGCTTGGGTTGTCACAGCTCGAGGTGAGGGAAAGTGTAATTGGTACCTAGTGGGGACAAACCAAGGATCCTGCTAAATGCCCCACAGTGCCCATGCAGCCCCCACAAAAAGGAATCGTTAGGTTGAAGACCCTTCATAGAGTCTGATATCTATTAAGGGCTTGGTAAAAGTCTGCTATTATTGTTGTTATTATTCAGAAAAGTGGGTTGATATAGTTATCTTTCTATCTAATTCCTACTCTAAAATAAAGTCCCCTCTCCATAATTTTAGCGGTAATGCTAGAAGAAAGTGTGTAAAAATTCTCTCCAGGTTTTCACATATGTGTTATGATTCCCCAAATGCCAGAAGTTCCGAAGAGATTCTTCCTATCTACATAGATAAGCACCAAGTTCCCCCTCTGAGTTGGTGAATTCTGGGTTCCAGCAGCTCCCTGCTTCTTAGGTCAGAACTGACAACATCTCTCAACCCTGCGTAGTCCGCTGTGCTCGGATGATGTTGGCAGCAGCCACAGTGGTGGCCATGGGGGGGACACATTAACCAAGGCCACTCAAAGTAACTCAGAGGTACACTGAGTGGAGTTAGCAAAATTAAATACACATGAGCACACCCCCGGCCACCACCTCCAGGGTCACACAGAGGTCTTTCTGAAGCTGTTTTATTCATGGAGTTTCTGCACAGATCTCTTAGAATTCACCAACCAAGCCTGGCCAGCTCTGTATGCAAATTGCTATGTCCCTTGAGACAGCCCAGGAAGAAAGATCAAATACCAAAGATGAACTCGCAGGCTGTTTGAGCAATGAGCATAGAAGCAAGATTCAGAAAGGCAGGGCCTGTAGCTTGTTGTACCATTTCAGGGGGGCTGAAACTTCTCAATGGGTTATTTCAGAGCTGGTTTTGATAGTATGCAGATCAGAAGCCCCAAACAACACATTGCATAATTGAATTCTTTTGTGTGTGTGTGTGTGTGTGTGTCTTTAATTGTCTTTTGAAAAACGATCAAACAATTTAAGTAGTGATTTTTTAAAATTTTTAGATCATTATGACCCTTTATACCTTCTCTCCATTAACCATAATTTAACTATTCAATAACCAGAGCATCAAAAAGAGGTTCCATTTACTGAATAGCCAACATAGTATTATACACTCTAAAAGTCTTCAGCTCTTTTTCATTTTATTTTCCTTTAGGTGATTCAAATATTTATGAGTTTGTGAGTAAATAGCCAAAGGGCTTCTTGGTTCTTGCTGTTAATGGTTGGTGGCATTGTTGTTTGAACAATTCTGTCACTTGGGTAGCTCTGCTGTGCCTCAGCTCATTTTCTTTCACGGAGTAATCATTGAGAAATATTATTCCGGTCCCTCCCATGAGCATTCAAGGGCCATTCCCTGGAGACAGAGCTGTCCCTGGCATCCAGGAACCCTCCCCTCCCACCCAGGACATAATGACTTCAAAAGTATGGCTCCTTGTGGGTCACAAACTCAATTCCATTAATACAATTAACTTAATTAAACTCACTTAATTAATACAATTAAGCCCAAACAATACAGCAACGTGGATCCAACCTATTTCCTTCTCCTTAGCTAGCTTTGATGTGAACCCTGCCTCCCCAGCAGAGACTCAGCTGAAACAATACAACGTCCCCGCTGCCTTCTAAAGAGTGTCACCTGTTTTCTTAAAATCTGAAATAGGGGGGAACTTAAGATCCAGCAGAACCCTTTGGGTTGTGCACAGAGGAAGGTCATTAGCCCCAGAGACAGCAGAGACCGCTGAGGGTTAATTGAACCAGACCGTCTTTCTAGTTTAAAAGAGCAAGATCCTGTTCTTTAGGGAGACTTCTCTTAGCCATGTAGCTTTCATGTATATCAAACTCCTTGTCTCAACCCCAGCAAATTAATGGGGGCTGAGCTATCACAAAAACTGGGTCATCATTTGTAATTGCTCTAAGCAGTAAGATGTAGCTCCTTCCAATCAAAGGTTGCCTTTCGTTCCTGTCAAAACCTTAATAAAGACAATCATTCTTGGGTCTGAACATAAGTGAGATTATGAAACCCAGCAACGAGGAAGCCATTAAAAAATTAATTTAGAGGAAAGTTAATTGCAGATTTAATATGGTGTTTTGCAACTTGGTCAAACAAAAATGTTTCTGCGTGATTAACAGTTATTTTTCAACAGCAGAGCACATTAAGCCCGAGGAAGTGATTTTTTTTCTTGTCAGCTTTTATTCTTCATACATTTATCTGAGGTTGTAAATAGACACGAATACTTTAGTGAATTCCATGGTTTAAAAAAAAAAATGTTTCCAAAAATAGGAGCCAGAAAAGGAAGAGACTAGAGGAAATAATTCTGCTTATATGGCCCTAAAATGGTCCCGGGTTTACTCTCCTTGGGTTCTGACTTGAATCTGCCAAGAAATTCTTCTTAGACCAATTGTAAGTTTGGATTTGAATTGTAGAATTTCGATTTCTTGTAAATTCTTCCTGATTTTCAAGAACCTCAGACCCTCCAGGATAGACATCATCCCAACTTGTCATTCCCTGTGACAGCCTTGTCCTCTGGGGGGCTGACTGCTCCACCCCACTCTTCCCAGCGCTCCAATCCCCCTCGGGGGGCTTTGCTAACTCAGAGACCCCCCTGCCACTTGGGTGGCTCTTCCCAAGCCTGCAGCCCCTCCAGCGGCTGAGTTCCCAAGTGCCTGTGGGTCCCACTGTCGCGCTAGCAGTGAAGGTCACTGGGTTAGGAGGGCACCGCCAGCCTCCTCACCTCCCCCCACCAAAAAATGAGCCAAAGTGGCCACTTACCGTCCTCTGTCTTCCCAGTGCTCGGCGTCCTGTGGCCCCGGCATGCAGCAGAGGCGCGTGAGCTGTCAGATCGGGACGCACAGACCAGCGCGCGACACCCAGTGCGACCCCTTCCTGCGACCCGCGTCTGAGCGCGTCTGCCAGGGCCCGCCGTGCCCGCGCTTCACCTGGAGGGCCGAGCAGTGGCAGGAGGTGAGTGGGGACACCTGTCGCTTGCCCCGCCCCTGGCCAGCGTCACCTCCACCTTGGGAAGCCCGGGGCCCTGCAGCAGGGTGGCGTGGTGGCTGGCCCTTTCCCAAAGGCGGGCTGTCAAGTCTGCAGCATTCCCACCGCGGGGTGGGGAGCGCCCTGCAGAAGCTGCTCCTCCCCAGGCTCCGTGTGTCCCCAACGTCCTGGGTCTGACTGTGCCAGACAAGTTCTCCAGGCCTTGAGCCAAATGCCTAAAGATAAGACTCACAGGAGGGGCAGGCGGGAGGGACATGTTAACTCTGCAGGTCCAGATTGGGCCACTCTGTATTCTTGCAATAGCCGCCAGCCAGAAGGCAGACTGTAGGTAGGACCTGCTGTGTATTTTCCCCCTTTTTGCATGACTTGGGCTGTCGGATAGAAGACGGGTGCTCCTGTGAAACTGGGATTCACTAGTGAAGGATTTCCAGTGATTGTGAAAGAAGGACAGCATCTAAAACTCTTCCATGGGTGCAGAAATAAGCCGGACTTACTCCCCGCCCCATCCCCAGTTAATGTTTAGCTAAAGAAAACACTAAGTGTCCCTGGAGAAAAGTCTGGCTGGGAAGGTAAGACATTAATAAGAGGTGACCTCAGTTTCCAGAGCAAGTATGTGTGTGTTCTGATTGCACAAAGGGGGGAAAGAAAATGAAAAGCAAAACCACCTCCTCTGATGTTGCAATAAATAAAATTGCAAGCTGTTTAAAGCTCAAAGATAGGTCGGGAGTCCCCCGGACCCAGAATCGCTCTGGGAATGCACAGAAAGGGTTACAATTTGGGGAGCAGAGACACTATACTTGGTAGTGAGGTGGGTGCTTTGTGTTCATGTCACCTCACTCAATCTTTCTAACCACTAGATTAGATGAATATTATTATCATCATCCCATTTTATAGATGAGAAAACTGAGGTTCTGAGAGTCCGTGTCACATACTAATGACTGGGAAGAAGCAAAAGTTGGGATCTTAAGTTTGTTTTCTTAACTATGATGAGATGTCCACCTGCATTCTTTTTTATTTGGGAGGGGGAGTTACCAGGAACTAAACTCAGGAGCACTCAACCACTGAGCCACATCCCCAGCCCATGAGGCAGGTCTGCGTCCATCAGAGGGTAGCGGGCAGCAGTGCCTACATCAGATACAGTTCCGGTTCGTTGCACGGGAGCCCTGTACGTTACTGGGAACCCGGAGACTTAGAACACGGACCTGGTTCCTACCCCAGCTCTGCTGCCTGCCAGCCACGAGACTCAGAGCAAGGATTCTAGATTTCTCTGAGTCTTGGCTTTACCGTCTGCAGGGTGGGGATAACAGGAACTCTGAGAAAGATAGAGAGAGGCATCAATTATGGTTTGGGAATTGGCATGTCCAATGCAGAAGAAACTGGAGGCTCCTTTGTCCCCCTGCCTTAATAATACCTCTTAATTCTCTTGCAATTGTCTTTTTCTTTTTTTGGTACCAGGGATTGAACCCAGGGGTACTTAACCACTGAGCCACATCCCCAGACATTTTTTTATTTTTTTATTTAGAGACAGGGTCTCCCTGAGTTGCTTAGGGCCTCACTAAGTTGCTGAGGCTGGTCTTGAACTTGTGATCCTCCTGCCTCAGCCCCCACTGCTGGGGTGACAGGCGAGCACCACCACACCCGGCTTCTTCTCCGTGCAGTCCTTGTTTATTGGCTGCTTCCGCCCTGTCCCTCTCCATCTCTGTGTGACTGCTCCAGGGAGTAGAAGTAAGAGAGCATTGAGAAATGGACCGAAGTGGACTGTTCAGGCTTCAGCTGGTTTCTGAACCTGCTAGGACCAATCACCAAACCCCACCCCAAGCTCCCTTGAGACTCCTTCTAAATCTCAAAAAAAAAAAAAAAAAGGTGGAGAGGGGACCTTGCCCCAGAAGCACTGATGAAATTCTACTTTTCCTGTCCTACAAAGTAAACCTGAAGTTCATGTCTTCACATACGCTGTGCAGATGGATCTTTGAAAATCTATCTGCAGATATTGCTTTCAATCTCTGAGTAAGAAGACCTGCCGAGTGCAGTGGCTCACACCTGTCATCCCAGTGGCTCAGAGGCTGAGGTGGGAGGCTGAGGCAGGAGGATGTGAATTCAAGGCCAGCCTCAGCAACTTAGTGAGGCCCTAAGCAACTCAGTGAGACCCTGTCTCTAAATAAAATATAAAAAGGGCTGGGGATGGGGCTCAGTGGTTAAGCACCCCTGGGTTCAATCCCTGGTACCAAAAAACAGAAGAAGAAGACCGAAGGACACAGTCTGGCTGGGACCTGTGTTTAAGACATTTCCAGAGATTAACCAAGAGAAGAGACCCCATTAACAATGGAGGGAGTCTCCCTCCTGCCCCCGAGCTTGAGAGTTTGGAGGAGGACCCGGGGTCACGGGAGGCTGTGCGCTGTGGCAGAGGGATGCTCAGGGCAGCTGGAAGCTTGAGAAATCCATCGGGACCTTCATGTCCTCATGGAAAAGGCTGTTGGTGGCCTGCTCAGAATGTCCCCAGGGCAGCACAGTGGAGAGGGAGTGTCCACGGTGCCTGAGAACCTGAGCTGACCAGATCAGGAGCCCAGATCAGGAGCCGTGTGACCCTTTGCACGTCCGACCTGTTTGCCTGGGGCCACCTGATGGGATCCTTGATTGTTCCTACCTCTGTGGTCACAGGTGTCCTGGTTAAACAGTAAGGAGGGTGGTTGCTTCCCCATGCAGCCCACTCCTGGCCCCTAGAGCACAGGCACCCCCACGGCTCTGTCTTGTTCTCCTGGGACCCTCTCACTCAGGCACATGTTTTGACTTTCCTCCCTAATGACCCTCGACCTGATCTGGGGAGCAGGCCCAGAGCAACATCCGGGCCCCCAGGGTGGGACAGCTGGAGTTCCCTGGACAGGACCCTCTCTCTTAGTGGTTCTTGGCAAACACCTACATCTTGTGGCATGTTGCGAGTATCTTGTGCTTTCTGCTCCTCTCTCTGAGGTAGTATACTCACCTGTACGTTGGTGAGATGTCTTGTTTCAGCACATGACCCCCTTTCCTTGTCAGAAAGGCATCTGCCTCGATAAGCAAGACCTCTGCAGCTCTGCCCACCTGCTCCTGGCCCAGCAGAGGAACGTGGTTTTGCTCATGCAGATCTGGACTCCGAGGACGAGCAGGATGTCTTAGTGATCTTCATGATGGTCACAGTGGGGTGGGATCAGGGTGGGATGTGGACACAGGGCTCCTATCACTCAGTACTTCATTTGATAAATCCGTATGGCCACTTGCAAAGCTCCACGTACTGTGCTTTAGGAAGGCGTTTAAAATCCCAGTCCTCAAATCATGCCATCCAAGAACCCCGACTGCTTGAGCAGGGCCCCCCTTTAGCATTTGGAGTTGTCCTTGACCTCCTCTTCTTTCCCTGAGATATACTCAAGTATATTCTGTGAGGAACCCACGTCTGCTCACAGAGCTGTACAGGTGGCCCTAGGTGCTAAGCCCGGTGACCACCAGTGAGCAACTGAGTGACACTCAGGACACCGAGCTGACAGTAGTTGCAGCACTGTGTGGCACAGTAGGGAGGGAAGCTGGGTACGGAGCCCTCCGGGCTGTGTGTCGGTCCCCAGCCCAGAACCGGGCCTGCTGTGAATACTGACTGACTGAATGAGTGACGTCAAAGTTGTAAAATGTCTCCATGGTAACATTTCTGCCTCCTTTTTTCCTCAGAAGTCTGTTAATCAGGGGACAGAAATGTCCAAATTTGCTGGGCACGGAGATGCGTGCCTGTAATCCCAGGGGAGGCTGAGGCAGGAGGATCGAGAATTCAAAGCCAGCCTCAGCCACTCAGGGAGGCCCTAAGCCATTCAGTGAGACCCTGACTTTAAAATGAGCTTTAGAAGCCCTTGGTGATTTAAAAACAGTTTACTGTGGGGTGGGGGATTTTCCATCATTGCATCTCATAATATAAAAATTTAAAATCTTTGCTGGGTGTGGTGCTACACACCTGTACTCTCAGCGGCTCAGGAGGCTGAGGCAGGAGGATCATAAGTTCAAAGCCAGCCTCAGCAAAAATGAGGCCCTAAGCAACTCATTGAGGGCTGGGGTTGGGGCTCAGTGGTTCAGTGCCCCTGAGTTCAATCCCTGGTACCCCCCCCCCAAAAAAAAAACCCTTAAGGTCACACGAGGAACCCTGGGTTCCACCTGCGGTCTGTGATTTCTCCCTCTGTATGCTCTGCAGGCATTGCGACTCTAGAAGTGACAGAGTCTTTCCTCCTTGGAGAAAATCAACAATCTCAAAAGGCAGAGCCTGTGAATATCACATGACCGGTCTCCCCCTATGGTTAGGGAACTGCACCAAAAAGTATATTTGAAAGTATAAAGCAACCTGATTACAATCATTAAGGACAGACAATTTCCACCTGTTGCATTAAATGATCCTGTTTAGACCGGCACCCCATGGCTTTCCTACCTGGCTGAGCAAAATAGTACCCTTAAAGAGTTTATTTTAGGGCTTCCTCAACCTCCAATTTGGAAAGCTATTTCCCTGCTGTTAATTTTAGCACATTTAAAGGCACATGCAGCCCGAAGCACCCCGAGCAACCTACCCCACTGAGTCCAGCCCTGTGATTATTCTCCTCCTGAATTACACAGTGCGCTGGAATTCACGGAGGCTGCAGGTGTTTCTTATGCATTTATTGGAGGTTTTCCTCTAAAAGCTATAATGGAATCAGAGAAAGCCTTTTGGACATTAAAATAAGACTCCTTGAACTTCCTGGCCGCTTTCTAGAACATTCTAGAGATTGTATTCCAGGACATGCCGAGGAGTCCTAAGTCAGGAGTCCGAGGAGGCATCACAGCAGATGCTGCTGAACCCCCAGTCGCACGGCAGGACTTGTTTTCTAGTTACCCAGCCCCCACCGTCTCATTAGGATTAAAGATTCCAGGACAAAACCCTCCTCACGTGACTCTCAGAGCTGCTGTTGACCAGTTCCAAGGCATGGGCCAGTCACTGATTTACCTGGCTTAATTTTTAATTTTCTGAAATGGGAGAGGTTTTCCCAGCTCACTTCTGGTAGTTAACCAACTGTTCCTCAAGACGCAGGGACAGGCACGTAGCAGGCAGAGAGCATTCAGGAGTCTGGGCGCTGCTGCTCTCAGCCGTTACTGATTGACACCAAGTGAGCCTTGGGGTTAAGGAAAAGGAGCCGGAGCCCTGGAACGTGTAGTCCAGGTCGGCTGCTCACTGATCACTGTCTTCTCTGAGTCACCCAAGTCTTTCCTTTTTAAGGCATTACTTTTTCCACATGTAGCTACAAATTTCTTCTGCAGCTATCTGCACACTTTTTGGTTTGGTTTTTTGTTTTTCTGGTACCAGGGATAGAACCCAGGGGTGCTTAACCACGGAGCCCTATCCCCAGCCCCTTTTATATTTTATTTTGAGACAGGGTCTGGCTGAATTGCTGAGGGCCTTGCTAAGTTGCTGAGGCTGGCCTCAAACTTTTGATCCTCCATCCTCAGCCTCGAGAGCCGCTGGGATCACACACCTGGCTTACTAATGAAAAAACAAAAACATTATCCCTTCGAAATCACTGCCAGCTTAGTTCAGGAAAACAGACCCCCAAAATCACTGAGGCAGGGGTGAGCCGGGGAAGCAGGCCCTTCCTTGACATGATGTTTGCTCCCCCAGGCTCTCCTCAAAGTGGTTTTAAGTCAGATTTGTCCTCTGGGAAATGAGGATCCACATTCCAGACTCTTGAGATTTTGCTTCCAAGCAAGCAATTTTAAGTTCACGAATAATGAGAAGCTAACAGCACATAGCAGGAGATGGCTTCTGCTCCCTAAAGGAACAAAGTCATTCCTGAAGGACCCACAGCCATTCCCTTCTTAGAGGTCTACCCTAAAGAATTGAAATCAGGCCAGGTGCAGTGGCACATCTATAATCCCAGCCACCCAGGAGGCTGAGGCAGGAGGGTCGCATATTCAAACCCAGCCTCAGCAACTTAGCAAGGCCCTAAGTGACTCAGTGAGACCCTGTCTCTACAAAATAATAATAATAAGAAGAAGATAGGGCTAGGGACATGGCTCAATGGTTAAGTGCCCCTGAGATTTATCCCTGGTACCAAAAATAAAAAAATAAGATTTGAAACCGGGTTTACCTGTCTGTCCATGAATGTTCATAGTAACATTACTCAAAAATGGCCATCGGGCAGATTAGGAAAGACCTCTCTGAGTGAGGTTGGATCTCAAATGCCTTGGGGGCAAGTCTGTCTGTGACAGGTGAGATCTGAGGCTCTCCTTGGACTCCTAAATTAGAAAATTCACTGATTGTTAGATAACCCAGGGCAACAGGTTTATCACTGGGGTTAAGGAAATGGACACTGGGCTCAGCACATGTGTCTGTCAGCTCCCAAAGTCATCTGGAGTCTTAAAGAGAGAGACAGGGACTCTTTAGAAAGAATAGGTTTTCATCACCAAGATGAGACTTCTAAGGTGGAGTTTGCTGTTGGTTGAAGCAAAAAAGATAAGAACTTTGTGGACAACACAGAGATCATTCTAGAACAAAATATATCCTTAGCTTTCTTTTCCAGTCTTGACTGATAGGAGCAAACATGAGTGACCAGGGATGAGTTACTTAAGGCTCTTAAAATCCCAGTTTCTTGCCAGGCACAGTGGTGCATGCTGTAATATCAGGGGCTCTGGAGGCTGAGGCAGGAGGACCGAAAGTTCAAAGCCGGCCTCAGCAACTTAGCAAGGCTGTAAGCAACTCAGTGAGACCCTGTCTCTAAATAAAATACAAAAAAGGGCTGGGGATGTGGCTCAGTGGTCGAGTGCCCCTGAATTCAATTCCTGGTTAAAAAAAAAAAAAAAAATCCCAGTTCCTTTATCTGAAATGTAGAAATTATAGAAAACCCTAAATCTCACTTTCTTACTATTATCCTTAGTGCTTAAACAGGAGCGCCTCCCTGAGACCCTGGAACTCCCTGTTCTCGTCCACTCTCCCCCACCAGGACCTGCCCTGGGCCTGGCCATTGGCGGAGACTTGGTGAATACTGTGTGGGTGATTGGGGGTGTGAACCGTCCACCCTGGAGTAGGTCAGGCTGTGGCCAGGACAGCACATTTCCACGTCTGTGGGGCTTCCTAGGGAGAGGTGGGACTTGTCATTTGTGGTTCCCCGGGATAGGAGATAGGGCAAGGGCTGGAATCAGCACCCATCACCACATTCCTGGCACCAGAGGTATTCAGATGGCAGTTGGGTGATCCCGGGCTTTGGTTTTAAAGGCAAGTCTGCATTTGGGTAGGTGTTGAGTTTTCAGGCCTGAGGGCCTTTCCAAGACTGAGAGTCACTCCTTCGCCTTTCCTTTCCTTATTGGCTCATCGCGTGCCCTGGGGAGCCGAGGGTGAAAAATGGAGAGCTCTGACATCCTGCTTCAGGATCTCAGGGTTTTTTCTTATTTGTTCTTTTTAGATATACCTGAGAATATATTGAATTTTGACATATTATACATACATGGAGTCTAACTTCCCATTCTTGTGGTTGGACATGATGTAGAGTTTCCCTGGTCGTGTGTTCATATATGAACACAGGAAAGTTCTGTCCCATTCATTCCACTGTCTTTCCTGTTCCCATCCCCCTCCCTTCCCTTCATTTCCCAATGAAATTCTATTCTTCCCTACCTACCTTCCCTTGTTGTATGTTAGCATGTGCACATCAGAGAGAATATTCAGTCTTTAATTTTTTGTGATTGGCTTTTTTCACTTAGCATGGTAGTCTCCTGTTCCATCCATTTACCAGCAAATGCCATGATTTCATTCTTATTTAAGGCTGAGTAATATTCCATTGTGTATAGGTACCACAGTTTCTTTATCCATTCATCTGTCCGTAGGGCATCTAGGTTGGTTCCATAGCTTGGCTATTGTGGATTGAGCTGCTTATAAACATGAAGGTGTAGGCCCAAAGTAGGCCCAAAATAGGCCCAGTTCTCCACCATGTTGACTTTGGAACCAACTTCCTCAACAAGACAGGAAGTAAAATCAAGAATCAAACTAAAAAGCTTCTTTACAGCAAAGGAAACCATCAAAAATGTGAACAGAGAACCTATAGAATGGAAGAAAATCTTTACCACCTGCACCTTAGATAGAGCATTAATATTCAGGCTATACAAAGAACTCTAAAAACTACACACACACACACACACACACACACACACACACTAACCAGGGCTGGGCTGAAGCTGGTGGTGAGCGCTGGCCCAGCACGTGTGAGGAGGCCCTGGGTTAGATCCTCAGCACCACATAGAAATGAATAAATAAATATTAAATAAAAAAGTATTGTGTCCATCTACAACTACAAAAAATAAATAAGTAAAACAGCCCGATCAATCAGTGGGCAAAGGAGCTGAACAGGGACTTCTCAGAAGACGGGGCCTCAGCCTTAGGAGCTCAGAACCAGGTGGCCAGGTAACAGCAGGCAGCCCGGGACAACGGGAGATCGGGCCTCACCTTCTCTCCCACCTCTGTGTCCTTGCAGTGCACCAAGACCTGCGGGGAGGGCTCGCGGTTCCGCCGGGTGCTGTGCGTGGACGCCCGCGAAGGGGAGGTGCACAGCGCGCACTGCGCCCCCGGCCAGCGGCCAGCCGAGCGCGAGAGCTGCAGCCTACAGCCCTGCGAGTACGTGTGGATCACGGGCGAGTGGTCAGAGGTACGGTCCCGGGGACACTTGGGGCGCCTTCAGGTCAGCCTGGCCTGGGAGCAGCTGAGGGAAGGGACAGGGACCCACCTCCCAGCTCTGCCCTGAGAACCCTTGTGCTCTCGGGTGGGTCCTGGGTGCAAATTGGAGAGATCTGCAGCAGGGTCTCAGTTCCCTCAACTCCTCCTGCTACAGACTCCGCTGGATGAGATGATAAGTTGTGACAGGGACTGCAAGAAGATCCTTAGCAGCATAGTGAGACCCAGGCTTACATTTTAAAAAGTAAATAAAAATTAAGAAGGGCTGGGTGCAGTGGTGCACACCTGTAATCCCAGTGGCTGGGGAGGCTGAGGCAGGAGGATCTCTAGTTCAAAGCCAGCCTCAGCAACTCAGTGAGGCCCTAAGCAGCTCAGCTAGACTCTGTCTCTAAATAAAATACAAAATAGAGCTGAGCTTAATAGTTAAATGCCCCTGAATTCAATTCCCAGTTTAAAAAATAAAATAAAATTTAAGAGAAAGGTTGGGGATGTGTAGTCTAGCAGTAAAGCACCCCAGAATCTAATCCTCAGTACCAAACTAAGTATATAAGTATTAAAAAGAAATCATAAGGTTTACAAGGCAGGGTGGCCCACGCCTATAATCCCAGCAGCTCCGAAGGCTGAGGCAGGAGGATTGTATGTTCAAAGCCAGCCTCAGCAAAAGAGAGGCCCTAAGCAACTCAGGGAGACCCAGTCTCTAAATAAAATACAAAATAGGGCTGGGGTTGGGGCTCAGTGGTCCAGTGACCCTGAGTTCAATCCTTGCCCCCTGCCAAAAAAAAAAAAAATCATAAGGTTTGAAAAGAAGATGATCATGCTATCACTTGTGTGGACTGACCGATAGAGAGGGGTGTCTAGGTAGGCAGAGTAGGGGGGTGTACAGGGGAGATAGACCCCTGAGGTTCTTTGGATATCACAGAAGATCGCTGTTTCTCTGGGCAAAATTGGTGAAATGGGAAATCCACATTGGCCTTGCCAGACATGACTGGCCTGGCCTGCACAGGGTTGGAAATAGCAACGGCAGAAAGGAGGCTGCATTTGGGGAGTTAGGAGGCCTCACACAAAATCCCAGCTGTGTGGCCTCTCTGGGGAAATCAGGGAAGAGGGGCCACGTTTCTAGACAGCTGGGCCAGGAAGGAAGAGAACCCGCTGGAGTCACGCGGCCGGAAGGCAGGGATCCTGGCTGAGGAGTGGTCCTGCCCTGCCACGCCCTGTGCCTCTGTAGGGTGAAGGGATACCGGGTCAGGCTATTAGGAAACAGACGGACAGTTCCCCAGGCAGGAGCATGTGACCCAGGTGAGAGTTCAGAAGTCTTTGCCGTCGAGTTTGAGGCCTGCATCTCAACTGTCCTGAGGCCAGGGAGGTGGAAGGGATTCATGGGAAGTGGCTCCTCTGGTCTTCTCTTTGCCCCTTATTTCTTCATCAGACAGCGTCCCCAACTTCTGTCCCCAAGGCTTTCGCAGGAAGCCACCCCTGGCTCTCAGGGGAAAAGACATCCTGCCTTTCCTCCCTCTCTCCCGCTTGAGGGCTCTGTCCCTGTGACTGTGGACTCCTCTGCTTCCTGGGGACTCTGCTTCTTGACTTGAGCTCCATCAAGTGCTACTCAGTTGAGAGCTGGCTGGAGCTGCTGTGCCTCTCACTGGCCAAGACTTACAGCCTCCTCTCGGCCTCTATGACAGCCTCTTCTCAGCCTTCTATGATAGCCTCCTCTCAGCCTTCTATGATAGCCTCTCTCAGCCTCTATGACAACCTCCTCTCAGCCTCTATGACAGCCTCCTCTCAGCCAATCTTCTATGTGCTGCTTTTTCATGTTAAAAGAGTTTGCGTTTCTTTCTAAGACTTCAGTCAAGTCACTCTTATAGCTTTAATACAACACAAAACCCTTGACAGAGGAGATAGAAAGATTTTTTTAAAAAATAATAGTCCCATACTTCATCGGATTTTCAGCTGTATTATGAATTGAGAACTGTGCAGATCTGCAGACGGTCTAGAAGCCTTAAAACAGGACCAGACACAGACGGAAGGACCACAAGGAAGGGAGTTTACAAGGGGAGAGATGCAGAGAGGGGTTGGCAGAGCAATTCCTTCTAGAAGGATCTGTGAACGTGCAAGTGCCACCGCAAGGCATGCTGTGTCCCTGGGACCTCTGCTCCTAGAGAGCTCTCTGTGTCCTTCTGGAGGTCACCCCCTCTAGGTTGGCAGAGAACAGAGAAAGACCTGCAAAGACAAGCTCCACCCCAGACAGAGATGCCCTCCAGTGAGGCCTAGAGGGTCCTGCTGGGAAGGAGACACCGTCCTGTGCTTTCTTTTTATTTTCTTTCTTTATATATTTGTTTATTTTATTTTATGATGGTTATTTTCTTGGGTGTGGTACCAGGGATTGAACCCGGGGATGCTTAACCACTGAGCCCCATCCCCAGCCCTTTTTGTAGATTTTCTAATTTAGAGACAGGGTCTTGCTGGATTGCTTAGGGCCTTGCCAAATTGCTGAAGCTGGCCTCAAACATGCGATCCTCAGCCTCCCCAGCTGCTGTGATTACCGGTGTGTGCCTCTGCACCTGGTTTATTTTCAAATTAGATCAGGAAGACAGGCTCATGAAGAATCCCACATATAAGACCCGAACCAGGAGCACAGGCAGAACATGCAAGATTTTCCCTCCTCAGAGAGGGGCCACTCAAACCCTTCAACACTCTGGTCTGCTTTGGTTGGAGGAACCCAGAAGCAAGGGACATTTTCACAAGGCTTTTAGCAGCTGGTTGAGAGGATCTGCTCTTCCCAGCTTCCTTTCAGAGAGTGGAGGCCTCTGAACCAAGCCTGGCTATACTTGGGGCTCAGTATCCTCAGCAAATAAATGCCCGCCTGTGCCCCTCTGGAATGGCTGGTGGGCTGCTTTTGCTTGTGGTGTGTAGGGGCCAGGGCTCTCAGCACCCATCTTCTCAAACATACAGCCTCGTTGAAGTCAGGACAGACCAAGGTCGATGCCTGCAAGCACTGGTCAGCCCCGAGAGAGGCCCTAAGCAATCTTGTGAGACCCTGTCTCAAAATAAAAAATAAAAAGGGCTGGGGATGTGGCTCAGTGATTAAGAACCCCTGAGTTCAATCCCAGGTTCATCATCTCATCATCATCATAGTAAAAGGACTGGGGACATGGCCCATGGTAAAGAACCCTTAGAGTAACCCCCAGTACTGGGGAGCAGGGGGGAGCAAGATGATCCCTGGCCAGGGAGAGAAGAGACAGGCCCATGTGGAAGCACTCAGTTCCCAGGGAAGGGACCCTCCCCACAAGTCCCCTCTGGCTAAATGTTTGCATTCCACACTCAAAATGGCAGCTCATGGGTTGGCTGTCGGTGGCTTCTGTGATGTGGTGGCTGTAGGTTTGGAAGACCACAGTTTGGTGACAACTACGGATCATCCTGCTCCTCCTCCCCTGGAGAGGCAGAGAGGGGTTGGAGGGACCCCAGGTCCCTGCAGTGGGAACCCCAGGTGTGGGAGTGTCCCAGGCTGCCTGTCCCCTGGGTGCCTGGGCCGCCCTGTGATGGACTTCGAGAGCTGGCCACGGGAGAGCCCCTAGGCACCCGGGAGGCAGGGCCAGCTGGAGAGCAACCCCCGGAGCCCTGCCTGAAGCTCCCTGGGGGCCCTCTGTCCCTGTCCACAGTGCTCGGTGACCTGCGGGAAGGGCTACCAGCAGAGGCTGGTGTCGTGCAGCGAGGTCTACGCGGGCAAGGACAGCTACCAGTACACCTACCAGGCCAGCGCCCCCTGCCCCGGCCCACAGCCCGCCAGCGTCCGCCCCTGCTACCCCGGGACCTGCCCCGCCTCGGCCGCCTGGAGAGTCGGCAACTGGGGGAGCGTGAGTAGAGGGCCCCACGGGACCACACGTTAGTGCTGGGCTGCACAGAGCAGGAGAGGGGCATCTCTGGTTTCTGACAGGACGGCTCTGTGCTTGGAAGCCACTTGGGCTGGAACTGAATCCCGGGTTGGCCACCTTCCAGGGCAATGTGAGCTGGACAGCTCTCGGTTTCCTCATCTAGACAGTGGGTGGAGGTGAAATGTTAATATGCAAAAGTCTTAATATATAAATGGTTAGAATGGCCAATTTTATCATATATATATGTGTGTGTGTGTGTGTGTGTGTGTATTTTTTAATTACTTTTTTTTTTTTTTTTGGTACCAGGGATTGAACCCAGGGGCACTTAACCACTGAGCCACATCCCCAGCCCTATTTTGTACTTTATTTAGAGACAGGGTCTCACTGAGTTGCTTAGGGCCTCATTAAGCTGCTGAGGCTGGCTTTGAACTCAGGATCCTCCTGCCTCAGCCTCCTTAGCTGCTGGGGTGACAGGTGTGCCACCGTGCCCCACTTACTACCCTTTCCTTTCAAAGGAGGGCTGGGGGAGTCTCCCAGTGCTGAAGAGCTTGCCTAACATGCACAAGGCTCTGGGTTTGATCCCCAGGACTTTAAAAATAAAACAACATGAAAAGCACTTGGAGTCTGGCCCTTGGCAGGAGTTACTGACGGTAGCAGCTATGTCTTGCAGCCTCTGTTCTCAGGGAGTCTGTAGGTTCTTGTTGTCCTGTGTTGGGAGTATGTCATGGTGTTACGGGTTCAACAAGGCAGAGGACTTTGAACTGAGTTGGCCCTGCTGGAGAACTGCTGCAGCCGCCTGCCTGGGCTATGAGACTCCCATTCCTGAAAGGTGATTAGGCACAAGTATGTGGTGACTTGTGCCAGACCCAGTAGCTCACGCCTGTAATCCCAGCAGCTCAGGAGGCTGAGGCAGGAGGATCACAAGTTCAAAGCCAGCCTCAGCAACTCAGCAAGTTTTAAAATTAAAAAGGGGCAGGGCGCTGGGACTGTAGCTTAATGGTACAGCTCCCTGGGTTCAATGCCCTGTGTCCAACATACACACACAAGTATAAGATGGTTAGAGTAAGTGGTTAGCATTTGAATCCTGGCCTCACCATGACATTAACAAATTCCCTAACATTTCAGCTTCAATCTCTCATCTGTAAAAACAGGGCAATGGTAGTCCTATCTCACAGGACTACTGTGCAGCCTGAATTTAAAAAAAAAAAATGTATGTATGCATATAATCACATGTAATTTTACACATGTGTAAAAGTGTTTCCTGGGTATGTTGCATACCTATGCAGAAAGCTAAAATGTGTATGTCTAAGGCTTAGCACAGAGACTGGTCCATAGTGAGTGCTCAGCACATGCCGGCTGCTTGTCATCCATACGGGGTCTGAATGGTCACCCTGCCCGTGACGTCAGGGCTCTGAGCCCCGCCCGGCCAGAAGCCCATGCCAGCCTGGGTTGACAGCCTCCTGCTGACCCTGGTTTCCCTCGCAGTGCTCCGTGTCTTGCGGCGTCGGGGTGATGAGCAGATCGGTGCAGTGTTTAACCAACGAGGACCAGCCCAGCCACTTATGTCCCGCTGATCTGAAGCCAGAGGAACAAAAAACCTGCCATAATATTTATAACTGTAAGTGGTCTGACAGGAGCCCGTTCTCCAGCATTGGGAACGGGGTTCTTTGTTCATCTGTCTTAGAAACACAGTGGCAGGATTTTTTTTTTTTTGGGGGGGGGGTGTTACCAGGGATTGAACCCAGGGACACTCGACCTCTGAGCCCCATCCCCAGCCCTATTTTGTATTTTATTTAGAGACAGGGTCTCGCTGAGTTGCTTAGGGCCTCACTTTTGCTGAGGCTGGTTTTGAACTTGCGATCCTCCTGCCTCAGCCTCCCCAGCCTCTGGGATTAGAGGCGGGCACCACCACCCCAGGCCATAACGCTATTGTTCAAGAAATCCTCCCCTTTGCTCATACATCTTGGTGCCAAGGACGTCATCCATTTTATTGTCGGTCCTCACCCATCTGGGAGCATCCACTCCCTCTCTGCATTTCGGGTGTTCCAGGCGAGTTACCCCAGAACTGCAGGGAGGTCCAACGACTCACCGGTGCCAGAGACGACGGCGAGTACTTCCTGATCATCAGGGGGAAACCCCTGAAGGTGAGTGTTGTCCGGGAGCCGTGTTTGGGGACCCATCCGTCCTGTGTCCCCGAGCCGCTCCCCACGGCCTCCTCCGGCCTCCCTAGGTCTTCTGCGCGGGTATGAAGTCCGACCGCCCCAAGGAGTACGTGACGCTGGCCCGAGGGGACGCCGAGAACTTCTCCGAGGTCTACGGGCACAGGTAGGACAGCGGCTCAGAAACAGCCAGGCGACGCCCGGGGAGCCCCAGGAAACCGGGCCGACCCCACCCGAGCCTCCTGTCCAAGCCTCCTGTCCGTCCCATAGGTTGCACAACCCCACAGAGTGTCCCTACAATGGGAGCCGCCGCGATGACTGCCCGTGCAGGAAGGATTACACGGCCGCCGGGTTTTCCAGCTTCCAGAAGATCAGGCTGGACGTGAGCAGCATGCAGATAGTCAGTGAGTTCGGGGCCACCCACTGTCCTGCCCGGAGGCTGGGGTGAGGCTGGAGGCCGAGGGCTTGCATTTCGGTAACCACAGTCCCCAGCTAGGATGCCCCAGGGCAGGGTCTGGTCTTCACTCCCTGTACTGTACCCGGCAGATTTGTGATGAATGACCAAGTCCCAAGTCCCTTAGAAGGACCCCGTGGCAGTGTGGGAAATGGGGACAGCACCACAGACAAATGACACTTACCATGACCTGAGGATGAAGAAGGGCTCAGGCTGGGTTTGGTAGCTGCACGCCTGTAATCCCAGTAGCTCAGGAGGCTGAGGCAGGAGGACGGCCTCAGCAAAAGCAGGGGCTAAGCAACTCAGTGAGACCCTGTCTCTAAATAAAATACAAAATAGGGCTGGGGATGGGGCTCAGTGGTTGAGGGCCCCTAAATTCAATCCCCAGTACCTCCCCCACCCCAAAAAGGGGTCAGCAAAGAACAGGGCACGGTGGTACCCGCCTGTAATCCCAGCTGCTCACGGAGGTTGAGGCAGGAGGAGAGCAAGTTTGAGGCCAGCCTCAGCAATTTAAGGAGACTGTATGCAAACTAGTAAGCTCTTCTCTCAAAATAAAAATTAAAAAATACGGTGGTGGACATGGCTCAGTGGTTAGGTGCCCCTGGGCTCAATCAAAAAACGAAAAAGAAAAAAACATGGTCAGCCAGGCACAGGGGTGTCAGTGTGAGGAAAGCAAAGGTGGAAGCAGAAACTTCTAGAACAGACAGTAGGTGCAAAGCCCCAGAGGTGAGCAGATTTTATCCTATCAGCTCCCACCAGCACAGTGCCCTCAAACACAGCGGAAACGAAACTCCACCTGATTGTCAATTTCCAGAAGAAACATGGAGCACGGAATGACCTTTTCTAACAAGCCTGCAGGAGGGCTGCTCCATGCTCTGGCCACCCTGCATTTCTGCTGGGGACATTAATCACCCAGAGTGCTTAAAGACAGCTCAACTATCCAAACATGCTCCCTGGAACAGAGGAAAGACGGAAATGATGAGTAATGCATTTTTCCTCATTAACATTGAACCAGAATATGCATCGCTTTTCCTCTCGAGGTAGATTCAACCTGATTTGTTCCAACATATTTTTAATTGCCTTCGGCCGGACTGATGAGCGCTCAAGGCACAGGGACTGCAGTTTCTCCCCTTGGAAGGCACCTCAGCCTGCAGAACAAAGCTCTCCCATTTCCCTCCCACCCGAGTGTGGTTCTCTGCAGAAAGATGAAGGGCTTTGGCCATTCCTGAAAAGAACAAAGCTGGGCTCAGTGGCGCAAACCTATGATCCCAGAGGCTCCGGAGGCTGAGGCAGGAGGATCGCAAGTTCGAGGCCAGCCTCAGCACTTTAGCAAGGCTGTAAGCAACTTAGCAAAACCCTGTCTCTCAATACAATATAAAAAAGGGCTGGGGATGGGGCTCAGTGGTTAAGTGCCCCCAGATTCAATCTCTAGTTACCAAAAAGAAAAAGAAAAGAAAGAAAGAAAAGGTAGAAGATAAATAAAGATAAATAAACTCCGGCCTCCAGTCCCACTAGAAGACATGTCCGACGGCCTTCTCACTTTGATGGCTCCTAGGCGCTTGCAGAACTGGTCTCTGGAGCTGCGGCAGGGTTAAAAATGCAAGCTCTGGGTCAGCAGTATTTTAATCAGCTTTTTCTTGTTCCTTTTTTTTTAAAAAAAAACTCCAGTTAGCTACACTTGGGAAACTGCCATTAATCATGTCAAGATGTGGGTTCTAATTGCTCCACATTTTGGCAATCAGGGTGCCCAGGCCACAGAAGGACAGATGGACCCTCGGGGGATAGGCCCTGAGTGGCTGGCAAAGCTCCCCTGGCCCCGGCCTTGAGCCTGGGAGGCAGAGTGACAGAAGGTCCCTCAGGGGTCGTGCCTTTCAGGGAGGAGACTCACCTATTTATTTATGTAGGACTGGATTCCAAAGTCCCGTGAAACTCCCTTTGGGCTTCCATACTGGGGGGAGAAGAGTCAGTGTCGATAAACCCCGGGAGCGAAGCTCTGTCTCCGAACCACAGATCTAAGGAGGAACCCCCGCAGCACATCTGGATCCAGTTACTGGCTAATCCTTGGAATTGTTTCTTTCTCTCCCATTCCTGCGCACTCCTCCTCTTCTCCTCTTCTTCCCTCTTTCTCCTCACTCATATCCTGTCCCTCTCTGCCTCCCTGCCCCCCTCTTCCCTTCCTCTCCCCTTAACCCTTTCTCCCCCGCAACAGCCACTGACCTACAGTTTGCAAGGACAAGTGAAGGGCACCCCGTGCCTTTTGCCACAGCTGGGGACTGCTACAGTGCTGCCAAGTGTCCACAGGTATGTCCTCAGAGCTTCGCCCCTTACCCAGCCTCCACCGCCCTGCCTACCCCAGGGCCACCCTCCTCGGTTAGCATATGCTTCTAAGGATGAAATGGGAACAGCTTCTCTGCAGGGTGTGTGGACATATGCATTAGCGGGTCTCGCAAATCTGTGCAGAGTCTAATCCAGTGATTCCATTCCCAAGAGTGATTCCCAACAAAGTAACCAGAGCTGCATGCCTGATCTCTGCATTTGGCAAAAGGCACCAAGTATAGCCGGGCATGGTGGTGCACACCTGTAATCCTTGTGGCTCGGGAGGCTGAGGCAGGAGGATCATAAGTTCAAGGTCAGCCTCAGAAACTTAGTGAGGCCCTAAACAACTCAGTGAGACCCTGTCTCAAAATAAAAAGGGCTGAGGCTGGGGCTGGGGCTCAGAGGTAGAGTGCTCGCCTAGCATGCCTGAGGCACTGGGTTCGATCCTCAGCACCACATGGAAATAAAGTAAAGATATTGTGTCCACCTATAACTGAAAAAATAAATATTTTTTGAAAAGGGCTGAGGATGTGGCTCAGTGGTTAAGCACCCCTGGATTCAATTCCCAGTACAAAAAAAAAAATGCCCCATGATTGATTTCAAGCTGTCAATCTGATGTCCCTGAATGGAGAGTTGGAGAGAGATGCTCACCATTGACTAAAAAGCCTGTTTTAGGGACCCCACCGCACTCCGCTCAGCCACTCAAAATTCTGAAGTTTGCATAATGTAGAAAACGCTTATGGAATTAGTGATCAAAAATAAGCGCCGTATTCTCTATGGCCCCTCTCTGGTTTGGGTTTTGGGTTTTGTGGTGCTGAGGATCCATCCAAGGCCTTGTGCGTGCTGAGCATCAGCGCCACAGTGAGCTCTTCCCCCAGCTCCTGTGTCTTGTGTATGTTTTGTTTGTTCGTTTTGGGGTACAGGGGATTGAACTCAGGGGCCTCCACCACTGAGCCCTGTCCCCAGCACTATTTAGTATTTTATTTAGAGACAGGGTCTCACTGAGTTACTTAGGTCCTCACTAAGTTGCTGAGGCTGGCTTTGAACTCACAATCCTCCTGCCTCAGCCTCCCAAGCCACTGGGATTACAGGTGTGCGCCAACGCCCAGCTCCCATGTGTTTTAAAAAACATCTAAGTGGAAACAGCCTGGAAGAACCTTTTTCTAAATACTAGTGAGATATATTTCGTTAAACATTTTTGAGAAATAAATGTTGGACCTAGGGGTCTCGAAATTTGCAATCCCTATATGGGTCCCTTTGATTCTGTAGCTGGAACACTTCTAGAATCATCTTAGCAGATCAGTTGTTCTCTCTGATACGCACCATTCTGCTTAGTAGAGACCCACAAATGTCCATCTCCTGAGGGATTTATAGCTGTTTGAGGAGAATAACAAGTAAACTAATATCCATGATGTAATAGTATGTTCTAGAAGTCTGATAGGACTGAAGCTTGGGGCTCTGTGGATAGTCATTAGCTGAATGGGTTAGTCCTGCTTCGGGTCTATAAAATTTGCAATGTTCAGGTCAGAAGTGCAAATTCATCCTCTTCTACTGGACTGCCCATTCTGTAGTTCTACCCTTTCAAGTCTCTTCAGAAGCATGTCCGTTTTGGTTTTGATCTTATTTTAATTTATTTGAGACAGGGTCTCAGTAAGTGGCTGAGGCTGGCCTCAAACATGCAATCCTCCTGCCTCGGCCTCCCAAGTGGCTGGGGTTACAGGCGTGCACCACGGCACCCAGCCAGAAGTGTGGCCTTTTGAAACATGCTGGAATCATCAGCCTAGGCCAATTTTGCAAAATAAGCAACAGTCTTTGCAAGAAGCTTCTCCGCTTGGGAAGCAGGACAAAGCCTAATGAACTTGTGGATTCTGGTCCAGAGAACTTGGTCTGGGTTTTTTTCTTTGGTCCATGTGAGGTCTCCACAAAGCTGTTATTCCACTCTCTGCTGGGAATTTCCCACTTGGCCTTCAGAAGTCTGGGGATCAGGACAGAAGGCTGTGCTCAGGCACTGGCCTCCCGTAGGATGGATGGATTTAGCCCCAACCACAGAGAAGGCCCGAGACAAACACATGGGGATTTTCTTTTAAGGAAGTGTTTTCTCAGCCCTATCCTAGACATTTAGGGAAGTGAAAAGAGAGCTCTTCAGGGAGAAAGAAGGTAAACACAGGCCCTAATGGTAAAAAGGGGCCTTTCCTCTATTAGTCAGGGATTGAAAGCGTTTGAAGTGCTGTTTCTTTAGGGCCGTCCTGGCTTCAACACCCGGGTGCTACGGGTCGAATCTTAATGGCTCATAGATGGGCCTGCCTTGCCTCTTTCAGATGGCTCAGAGGTCTCTGATTTCTGTCTGCACATCTTTTGGGAAACATGACTGAAGGAAGGGTCATTTGCATTCATTTATTTTCATAATTCAGAGACAAATGGCCTAATGGATTTGCTGAATTCTGACAAAGAACGCAATTGCTAAAGGGGAAAAGCCCCAGCCGGTGAGGAGCTCATGTGCATTTTTTTTAAATCTCATGGTGTCCTCTGGGATTCGACTCCTGAGACGTTTAGGGAGCCCCAGGTACTTTTGAGAGAGGGGAACTTCTCACATCTGTTTTCCGGGGAAAGGTTTGTAGAAAGAACGATTGTGCACAGTGCTATGGAGCAAATGATGAGTCCTTGCTCCTAGTGACTGTGCAGAAACCAGAGAGGGGCTCTGTTTGGATCCCCCACCCCCACCCCGTCCTGGGGATCAGACTCCGGGCCTTGAGCGTGCTAGGCCAGGGCCCTGCCCCTGCACCATCTCCCCAATGGACATTCTCTGTTTGAGGCTCTGACTCTTCTTCCTGTTGCTTAGGGTATTTATTTTCCAACAGAAGTGCTCTCACCTCCAGAGAAAGCTGGAGTGAGCCAGGCACGGTGATTAATGCCTGTAATCCCAGCGGCTGGGGAGGCTGAGGTAGGAGGATCTTGAATTCCAAGCCAGCCTCAGCAATTTAGCAAGGCCCTAAGCAACTCAGGGAGACCCTGTCTCTAAATAAAATACAAAAAAGGGCTGGGATGGGGCTCAGTGGCTAAGCATCTCTGGGTTCAATGCCCAGTACCAATAAATAAAAAATTTAAAAAAAAAGAAATGGCAGGAGTGTATGTGTGTAAGACGGTCACCTTGATCAAGCATGTGCATTATTGGGATTACCCTTGTTGGCATTCATAGCTTGCCATTACTGAGCCTCCTGTATGTCTCAGGCACCAGACTCCCTGTGTCCATAGCCCAGCATCCTATGTGGTGAGGAAATGGAAGAGGTTTGGTTCTTGTCTGAACCACACAACCAGTACATGGGAGAGGCTGCATTGGATCCCAAGTGTATCTGAATCCATATCTGTGATAGTAGATATCTTTTTTTTTTTTTCTGGTACCAGGGATTGTACTCAGGGGCACTTAACCACTAAGCTATATCCCCAGCCCTATTTTAATGTTTTATTTAGAGATAAGGTCTTGCTGATTTGCTTAGGACCTCACTAAGTGGCTGAGGCTGGCTTTGACCTGGTGATCCTCCTGCCTCAGCCTCCCCAGCTGCCGGGATGACTGGCATGCGCCACTGTGCCTGGCTAGATGTCTTTTCTGATTCTGTTTCCAGGCAAGATTTCTGCCTCATAGTCTTTTGGTCAGAGGACAGGATCTCTCTTTGGCCTAAGCACGTCTTTTGCAGATCTCTAGGGGATGTGCCTAACTCTTAATTACTTTCCCTCTTTTAAATCAGCAACAGGAGGTAATAGCTACAACTCTTACGCCATTTAGGCCTTGAAGGTAAAGCCTTTAGGGGCAAGGGTGTCCCAGAACAGAGCTAAAAAGACATCAGATAAGGTCTTTGCTTCTTTGACAGTCTTCAGCTTTCAAAGTACGGATACTTAGCCAGGATGTTTGCAGATTCCTGATCCAGAAAAAGCAGGAGGAGTGTGAGGACCATCTCTCTTGCATTTGGGGTTGTTACCCTGCTGAGAAGACAGAGCTGGTCGACTCTGTATCGGTGCTCAGACACAGGACACCCAGATGAGCTGGGGCCATTGTTGGGACAGAAGCCAGGTCAGCGGTCTGGACTCCCTAGGAACTTGGACGCTGGGACAGGCCGTGCAAGGGGTCAAACGGTGTGAGTGGAAGCAGGATCAGAGGGGTTGCAAAGAAGGTGATCACATTGGGGCTGGAGCTCAGCGGTAGAGCGCTTGCCTAGCATGTGTGAGGCCCTGGGTTCCATCCTCAGCACCACATAAAAATAAACAAATAAAACAAAGGTGTGGTGTCCATCTACAGCCAAAAATATTTTTTAAAAAACCGATCCTTGGCAACTTTGCAGTCTGGGTATTATGCATGGTGAGACCCACAGCTCCGGGTATGAATGACAGCGACTAAGCAAATGGCCAGATGGGAGGGTGCAGAAGCTAGAACCCAGGATCTAAGGGACAATCGAGGACAGTCCCCCAACAACACCAACACCTGGGTACTGAGGCCGCTGCCTGACATCTGTGTCGTACTGTCATGAAAATCTTTCCAAAAATAGTTTCCAAATGCCTCCTACTCTCTGCCAGGTGACAAATTACAAGAGTTCTGCCTCCTAGTCACAGGTTAGTTCTCACTAGGCGATTTTACACCTGGGCTCAGGAGGGCTGAGCCGTTTGCCCGAGGTCACACTGAAGAGAATAAAGGAGTCGGCATTCTAGAGTGATCCAGCCACTCCCCAGAGATCCACCCCTCCCCAGGCTTCCCATGCGCAGTGTTCTTGACCCTGGGGGCTGGCGGACTCTCTGTGGTGGGCTGAGACGCATCCTCAGGCTCTTCTCATTGTCAGGAGGTGAGATGATTAAAAATGTCTCTGGACAGTGCCTGGTTTCCTCTGGCAGCAAGAATCTTCCCCATGGTTGAGAACCGCTGTGGGTGAGACCAGACTAAACCTCTGGTCACCTCCAGGAATAGGAGTCCTGTTCGTCCTCATTCGATGTTTGTGGAATCTAAGGCTCCAAAGGGGTCCATAAGCTCTTGTTTATGGAACAGGCAGGGAGAGGAGAGTCCTGGTCCTGCACATCTTCATTGAGCAGCTAGAATGTAATATTTATTAAGAGTCTATCAAGGCCGGGCACGGTGGTGTACGCCTGTCATCCCAGGAGCTTGGGAGGCTAAGGTAGGAGGATCGCCAGTTCCAAGCCAGCCTCAGTAACTCAGTGAGGCCCTAAGAAACTCAGTGAGACCCTGTCTCAGAATTAAATATTAAAAAAATAAAAAGGGTTGGGGATGTAGCTTAGTGGTAGAACACCCCCATAGTCCAAATATTAATAATAATAATCATCAAGTGACTAGTTATATGTTATAAACCATAACTAATATGCATAAAGCAATACCAAGGCCCTGCCTTCAATAAGCTTACTGTTATATTGGGGAAAGTAAACTAACTCACAACACAATTAGAAAATGCAGGACAGATATCAGGGGTTTTGTATCTCTGCTCCCTACCTGGGGATGATTTCATTTCTCCCTCACTACAGCATCTGAGGGGTTACTTTTATTATTATCTTCCATTTTACAGATGGACAAACTGAGATTCTGAGATGCTAAAAAATCTGTCCAGGATCTAATTGCTGGTAAAAGAGCTAACCTCATACTGGGGTCTGTCTGGTCGTGAACACCCGCTCCCACTCTGTCTTTGCTCTGTAAGGAGTGTCTTGATGAAAGCACTGGGGCGTCCGAATCAGAGAGAGCTTGCACATAAGAATATGTCCAGCCCTGAAATTGCTCACCAGGGAGGAAGCCTCCAAGAAGCAGCCGGTCCCAGAAGCCTTTGCAGGGTCATTTTTAAGAGAGAGAAACGAGGGAGGGAGCAGCCAGAGGATCGCTCTGCTGCTCCACGCCTTAGGAATAAATGCTTTGCAAAGCACCCAGGAAACCTTTGCGCACTGTGTCCCTGGCCTGGAAGGAGCAGCCCGGCGGGTCCTGCGGTCTTGCGCGGGCCAAGCGCGCCCTCTGCTGGCCGCGGCGGGGAAGCGCCTCCTCTTTGAAGTCCCGCCCCGCTGTGCGGAGGCCGCTCTGTGCCCAGCGCCCCGGGGAGCTCGAAGCCCAGGACGCTTTGGCAGCGAGATCTTGTTAGAAAAATTACACGGTGGCATTTTGTTCCCGGAGGAATCTGATAATTGTGAGCAACACCAGAATGGCCGTGCTAGGGAGGCCGAGTCGAGGAGGAGGGGGGGGGAGGATGTAAAAGTGAGGCCGGGATGAGCCTCCCTCCTCCTGCTCCAGCGGGGACACCGCACCGCCTGGCCTCAGTTTCCCCATCTGTAAAGAAACCCCTTCTCAGAGCTCTCGCGAGGAAAAATGAGGCGATGCTTGCAAAGTGCCTGGCCCTGCCCCAAACGAAGTACCCTCCACAATCAGGGGCCATCAGAGCTCATTAACGTCCTCCTCCCTCCCCGGCACCTCTCCTGGTGTCCCCTTGCCGTGGCTTGGGACATCACATGGGCTAAAAGGCCTTTTTGTGTCGGCCCCGTTTGTTGCAGGGTCGGTTTAGCATCAACCTCCACGGGACGGGCCTGTCTCTGACGGACTCGGCCAGATGGACCTCGCAAGGGAACTATGCAGTCTCCGACATCAAGAAGTCGCCGGTAAGGCTGCGGGGTGGCACGGGCGGGGCTTGCTTTCAGCCTTTCTTAGGTTTTGGAGCCACGGTGGTGGTGCCAAGGGCGAGTGTGCTCTGCCATTTATTTGCAAAGTTTCGGGAAGAAAATGTAGGACTGAAGTCCAGGGTGGCAGCCTCATGGGGCTACTAGGTCCTTCTCAGGCCGTCACTGTGTGAACCATCCCAGTGGTTGAGGCCACCTGGCCTGGAGGCTAAAAGCAGGGAGAAGCCTCTAACATGCCCTTGCAACAAGTCATTGTGGCCACAACCCCAGCCCTTTTTAATGTTTTACTTTGAAACAGGGTCTCACTGAGTTGCTAAGGGCCTCGCTAAGTTGCTGAGGTTGGGTTTGAACTCGAGATCCTCCTGCCTCAGCTTCCCAGGCTGCTGGGATTACAGGTGTGTGCCTCCATTCCTGCCTCCCACCCACTCCCCCCTTTTAAAATAATTAGAGACAACTGCAATTCAAATGGGTCTGGAAGAGAGGGATAACTTACCAAGTGATATCTCTGGACAATTAGGGATACATACGCAGGTTGTACAGTAATCAGGTTTTTGTGCTTTTATTTTATTATTTTTTAAATTAATTCGTTTATTTATTTGCTCTAGTTTGTTAGTGCTTTTAAATCTTGTGCTCCGGGTGTGGTCTAAGGGACATGTGGACGTTATTCCCTCAATGTGGCAATCTTATCAATAATAATTCTGCCTAGTCAAAATCAGAATATACGGAAGCAACTCAGTGCCCTACCTCTGGGAAGGGAGACACCCAGTTTTGTCTTCTGGAGGAAATCTGTTTCCTGATCCCTTTTTCTAAGTGCCAGGGTTACATTTGCGAAGAATAAGAAAAAAAAAATCTACCTCACTCCTTCTTTTCTCAACCTGAGCCAATCAATCACTGACCTCCAATAGAACTAACTAAATAGCCATATCGATTGCTCACAATTTGATCGTTAAATATTTTCATAGTACTGAAAGGAACAGAAACAGCCCCCAGGGTTAAGAATGTGCCCTGAGATTACAGCATTCTTGCCTTTCCTCTTCCCTCCAGCAACTGTGCATTATGGATTTTAGTAGTAGTAGTAGTAGTATTGAAAAATAAAGTTAATATAGTTTTATTGTGTACAAAGTGTTAAATATACATTGTTTCAGTGACCCAGAACAACAACAACAATAAAAGTTGACTGTCCAGCAGGGTGTGGTTGTACACACCTGTAATCTCAGTGGCTGGGGAGGCTGAGGCAGGAGGATCAACAGTTTAAAGTCAGCCTCAGCAACTTTTCAAGGTGCTAAGCAACTCACTGAGACCCTGTCTCTGAAGAAAATATAAAAAAGGACTAGGGATGTGGCTCAGTAGTTGAGCACCCCTGGATTCACTCCCCAGTACCCCCCCCCCCCCCCGGCCAAAAAAATTTCCAAAACCATGGTTGAAGGTGTGGGGAAGCAACCATCTCAGTAAACTGCATAATGTGAGTGGCAATGGCAGGCTAGCCTCTGGCAACCTTGCCTCTGGCAACCTTACTGCAGTTTCAGGGGAAACTAAAAATAATGAAAGCCTGGAGCGCCACCTTATGGAGAGAATGATCACTGCAAAGGCTCTTCCTCACGCCTGCAGGGAGGACTCTGCCTGAGCTGGAGGAAGCTGGTGTGACAATAGCCTGTCACCATTTTTTTTGTGTGTGTGTGTGTGTGTTCTATGACAGTTTAGAGAACCTGAGCTCAAAATTAATCTCCAGGGCCTGTGGAGCTCTCCTTATGAATACCCGGATCTGGGACACCTCATGGCCCCTGGCAGCCTGGACAAGTGCTGCTCTGTGGCTGACCTTCAGTCTAGACCACAGAGCAGGGTCCCCTACGGCCTCGTATGGAAAGACGCACGTGGGATCTCCTTCCTGAAGAGTCACAGAGAGCGTTGCCATGTTAGAGACTGGAGCAAGCACACAGGAAAGAAACCCACAGGACTTTATTCAAACCCACATTCCCCTCAGGCAGTGGTTCCCAGGCTGGAATGTGTGTAAGCCTCAACAGGGTTTGTGTGGGGTTTTGGTTTTGTTTTGTTTTGTTGGTTTTTGTGTGTACTGATTGATTGTTTGGTACCAGGGACTGAACTCAGGGACACTCAACCACTGAGCCCCATCCCCAACCTTATTTTTATATTTCATTTAGAGACAGGGCCTCCCTAAGTTGCTTAGGGCCTCACTAAGTTGCCGAGGCTGGCTTTGAACTCCCAATCCTCCTGCCTCAGCCTCCCAAGCCACTGGGATGACAGGTGTCTGCCAGGCATCCCAACCACACCCAGCAGGATTGTACATTTATAACAGTTTCCAGGTGATGCTGGTGCTCCTGATCAGTAACTCTGTTTTGAGAACCACTGACCTAACTTAAAGCAACCACAAAACCTGTCAAAGGCACACCTTTTAATATTCCCACAGAGTCGGTGTGCATGGGAGACGCTTTGCAAATGGTGCAATAACCTGCCCCCACCCGATGCTCACTGCCATCTCGCCCTAAGGGACCGAGGCACAAGCCCTCTGCAGTGTGGGCCCTGGCCATTTATAACACCCTCTTTTCCAAAGGTGAAAGCCTCCCTTTTCCAAACTTGCTTAACAATAAAATATTTCCCCAGGCAACACTCAAAGCAAAATCAGGACATTCAGGTCGAACTGGATCTCGGGGCCAATGCAGAGCTGAGGTGTTGCCTCACCACCAGGGGCAAACCCGGCAAACAGAAGCCTCAACACCAAGTTCACTGTTGTTGACTTCCTTGTGTGCCATGAAAAGAACTCTCTCCTACTTTCACCTCAGAAAAATAACCATGATTGTAATTCAAATACACTAGTTCCTCCTTCATTCCCAGGGGATGCCTGAAATCTCAGAGAGTACCAAACCCTAGAATTACTAGGTTTTTCTCTGTACATTCATATCTATGATAAAGCTTAACTTAATAAATCAGGCACAGTATCTGTGGTCAACTGGAGTCCAAAAATAGCATATGGAAAATTCCAGAAACAAGCAATTCATACGTTTTAAAATGTGTGCCATTTTGGAAGAGTGCCATAAATCAGAGTGGCTTTGGGATTAAAAATTAATGAAAGTTGTATTTTATTTATTTATTTGTTTGTTTGTTTATTTATTTTGGTAATGGGGATTGAACCCAGGGGCACTTAACCACTGAGCTAGTAAGATATTAACAACAATAATTAATAATACAATAGAAATATCATAACAATATATCATAGTAAAAGTTATGCAAATGTGGTCCCTCAAAATATCTGACTGTGCTGTACTCATTCACCCTTTTTGTGACAATGTCCGATGATACAGAACCTACTCGATGGGATGAAGTGAGGTGAAAGATGTGCCATTGTGATGTAGCATTGGGCTACTCAGTAAGGTTTACTTGAACACAGACACTGTGGTACCATGAAAGTCCATCTGATAGATGGCTACTAAGTGACTAAGGAGAGGGTAGCATATATAGCATGGATACACTGGACAAAGTGATGGTTCACATCCTGGGTAGGACAAAAAATTTTATCACACTACTTCAATTGGCACACACTTTAAAACTCATGAATTGTTTTCCATTTAATATTTTTGAATTTTCCATTTAATATTTTTGAACCTCCAATGACCACAGATAGTGGAAACTGTGAAAAGTTAAACCTCAGATAAGAGGAAGGCTACTGTAGATATTTATTGGGCAGTTTACAGATATGAATTCTGTGTGTTCCTCCCGGCTGTCACACCACCAAGGATTGGGACAGCAAGGTTTAAGAGTGAGGTCAGTTCTTGGGAGAGCAAGGTGATGAGGTGGGCAGAGGAATACAAGCCTGATGTCGTTGGGTGTCGGGCTCAGTCTAGCCTGCAGCAGGCCCCCGCCTTGGGTGCCTCAGTCAAGCCCTCAGTGGCTGCACAGAGAAGGGGAGCCCTTGCTTTCTTCATCTGTGCCGTGCAGACTGTAGTGTCCCTCGTCTCTTTGGGCTCTTGAGAAGCATAAATGGAGTAAGGAAGTGAAGTTGATTGCGTGTCACCAGGAAGATAACAGGAGTGGAGCACTGGCTGTGGGTGTCAGCTGAGTGAGCCTGTACACGTGGGCCCACTCTAGACTTCTAAGCAGATGCTTTGGCTGCGCCCACTCAGCACAGGGCCTAGTAGTTTCCATGCGCTCCGTTAGATCTTTGCACGAGGGCAGGTGAGTTTCTACTCATCCGTTAGATCTCTGCCTGGGGGGCAGGACCATGGCCCGGAGGTGAGATCTGAGAGAAGATGATGGAATTCTGAGCTCCTCTGCCAGGGGAGAGCTCCTCAACTCACCAGTGTGCTCAGGATACAAAAATGCCCTTCGAGCACATCCAGAATCCCCTTGCACCCCAAATGCCCTTCTCAGAGCTGCCCCTCTAGTGCAAGTCCAGAAGAAGGTTCTAGAATAGGCCTGTACAGCCAGGCAGCACAAAGAGCCCTGGGGCTGGGGGAATTCCTGGCCAGGAGGGCAAGTGGCTTTGTGTACCCTGTGTGCCTGGGGGGTGTTTAAGGGCAGGGGACAGGGGACTGTTTTCTACATCCTGCCATCTACCTGACATTCTTTGCATTAGGAAAAGGGCCGTCAGAGTTGTTTTGGAATTAAACATTAAATGAAAGATGGTTTTCTTTTTTAATTTAATTTTTAGGGGGTACTGGGGTTGAACCCAAGGGTACTTAACCACTTAGCCACATTCCCCAGCCCTTTTTATATTTTATTTAGAGACAGGGTCTCACTGTCTTAGGGCCTTGCTAAGTTGCTGAGGCTGGCTTTGAATTTGCAATCCTCCTGCCTCAGCCTCCTGAGCCGCTGGTATCACAGGTATGCACCACCACACCTGGCCATGCATGCATTTTTATTCTGTACATTCTTATAGAAACTGGCTATGTTTATACATATATTTGTATATACATAACTGTCAAGGACTAAATTTGGAATATGCATATATGTATGTGTATATATGCATA